AGAAATTGAACATGGGGAACACTGACTTAAAATTCTGACCCATTTTTAAAGTTTTTGAGACAAAGTGTCACTCAGGCTGCTCTGGCTGGCCTCACCTCTGCCTGTCGTGTAGCTGGTATGCCCAGCTGGTGAGTGGCCTGGGAGACCCTGTGGGTCGAAGAGACCAGAGCCTGGTGCCCACCGCTTGGCTTCCACCTGGTGACCTTTGAGAATATGCAGGCTTCTAGATGCCCTTTCTGTGTGGCTTAGGGGTTGAGTCTAGCACCCTGTGCTGTTGTACATCCCCAGCCCATCTGTGGTGTGTGCTGAGCTGAACTGCTCCCTGAATTGCTTTTGGGTTTCAGGCTGGAGTTGGCTTCGCATTTTGGAGCACAGACGGGTGGGACCCACATCAGACCCAGGAAGGGAGTCATGGAAGTGGGTGGCTGCTGAGATGCCAGTAAAATTACCAGGGGTACATTATTCAACACCCCAAAAGGCCAGGGAATCCTTCTGAAAGGTGGCGCTGTGCTGGTTGGCAGGGCAGTCCAGTAGGGCCACCAGAGGCCCATAGTATGTTCATAGAATACTACAAAAGGATTAGCATGCACTGAGGGAAGCTCAGGCAGGAGGAGTGCAAATTCAAGTCTTGCCTGGGCAGCTTAGCAAGATTTTGTCTCAAGGTTAAAAAGGGCTAGGGACATAGTTCAATGCAGAGTGCCCTTGGTTCTATCCTAGGTACTGCCAGGTACATAAGCCATCTAAATTTGTCAGACGTCCATTTAAAGTCACTGCATAGATAATGGCATTCATTACAGCCCTAGTCTTGCAGAAGCAGGTAACGCTGTGGCTCTAAGGGGCACTCGTGAGTTTTATTTGTGGCCCAGCTGTTCCCTAAGCATTCATTTGCAACAGATAGAGCTGAGACCTGGGGTGGAGCCCGGAGCCTGCCTGTGGAGGTGCTGTGATACATTGGGGCTGGGCTAGGCTCGGGCTGTGTCCTGCACGGATCCATTTCACGGAGGAGTGCAGGGCTAGAGATGGTTCCTGCGGCTGTGAACCGTGGGGCCTCTCGGCTGTCCTGGATGTTCCACCACGGCCTTCACTTGTTCCAGGGCCAGTTCAGCTTTCCTGGAAACTCAGACTTGGGCTCTCCCTGCACTGTTTGTTTCAAGATAAGCTTGGTGGTTTTGGCTTGGTGGGAATGGAAATAGCTGACAGTCTCCAGATTTCTGCCTCCTAGGAATGCTGCTTGCAGATGCACACCCCCACACTTTTCTCTGTGCTGCTGGGCGTTTGAGCCCTCGGCCTTCTGTTTCTCCCGCCAGTTCCTCCTGCCTGGATTACATTTTGACACAGTCTGATTTGCCCAAGCTGCCCCGCCTCAGCCTTTTAGAGTGCAGCTGTGTCACAGGTCTGCACAGTTGCACCAGCTTTAATTTCTTTCTTGATAGAGTGATTTGGAAGCCACAGTGTATACATTTTTGATGACACTAAGATGCCACTGGTCATAGGGCAGGGTCGTGCCCAGCGGTCATCCCAGCACTTTGGAGGCAGAGCCAGGGGAATCACAAATTTCAGTGTAGCCTGACAACTGAATGACTTAGACCCTGTCTCAGAGTTTAAAAGGGATGGGGACATAGCTCAGTGTGAAGGCAGGATCAGTTGTGGAGGAGGGTGGGGATGAGCTGCCTGCCTTCCGCCTCTTGTTCAGACATCATCGTGGCCTTCCCCAGCCTGCCCAGGTCCCGAGGTGCCAGTCTCTCCCCCAAGCTGGTCGCACAGCTGGAGCCTGGACTGGTCAGGCCCAACATTGCCTCCTACCAACATCTTTCACAATACATGTAGCAGTTACAGAAACTACTCGGTGGGGGCTGGGGATTTAGCTCAGCGGCATAAGCGCCTGCCTTGCAAGCAGGCAGTCGTGAGTTCGATCCCCGGTACCGATAAAAAAGAAAAAGACAAAAAAAAAAAAAAAAAAAAAAAAAGATCAAACTGAAGTGAATAGACTACCAATCAGTTCCTGTTTTGTTTATAAACGTGAAACTTTCGCAGTATACTGCCAGGTTAAAATATAAGCCCGACATTTGAGACCAGGAATTCCAGGCCAGCCTGAGAAAGTGAGATCCTGGTTAAAAAAAAAAAAAACAAAAGAGGGGTGACGTTCAGCGGCAGAGGACCTGGCCAGCAGGCCCAAGACCCAGCTCTGATCCCCAGCACTGCGAGGAAGGAGAACAGCAGTGGAAATGTGTGCTTCTAGTCTGTGTTTTCCTCAACATTCAGACGTTGTGCGGGTGCTGCCCTGACTCACTGTCCACGGAGGCTCTGCTGCCCTCTGCTTGCCCTCTGAAACAAGGATTCCTGGGTGTCTGCAGGGACACCCCGAGAAGCACTGCAGCCTGACCTGTGTGGGCAAGAGGCTGTATGTTCCCTGTGAACTGCTGTGCGGTGTGGCTCCTGGGAGTTAGGTGCATTCAGAGGTCACGTTGGCGGCCTCCCCACACTGCCTGGTGCCAAGCACCAAGGGACGCTTGCTGGCGTAGGGCCACCCATGCACCTCCTACATGCTCTGCTCTGTCTCAGGTCTCAGTGTAACATCTGCACCATCAGGTTATGTATGTGTGGGAGTACAGGAGACTACACCCAGGGCTTCTGTGCTGAGCTGCATCCCTACCCCTTTTTAAAAACTTTTGAAACGGTTCCCCTGAGTCACTGTCACAGGCTGGTCTCAAACTTGCAATGCTCCTGGCTAAACCTCCCAGAGTGCCGGTCTTAGCACACGTCAGCCACTACAGTAACAGCCCTCTAGTCTTGTTTGCTTCAAAGGTCCTGGCTTTCCTTGGGGACCCTTTGGGCATCCAAGGCCTCCAGACTTGGCCCATCTTCCCTGTCTGGCTTGGTTCCATTGGTCCCTAGATGAGCCCCCAGGACTGGAATTAGTGGGCCTTGGCGCTTGTGCATGAGTTGCAGCCTTCCTTCAGCAGCTCCTGAAGTCCCTGCTTGTTGAGGTCCTTCAGACAGTGAAGGGATGTCCACGCAGCAGCCTAGGCTGCCCTGGGTTCTTGGCTCCACTTCGTGCTGTTTAAAATTTTTGTTGTTGCCTCTGAAAACTGATTTTGGTAAGACCCCTCTTACTTACCCTTAAATTCTGGAATCGCTAGCATCTCCTAGGAGAGGAAAACAATCTGTTCTTTATTTCCTGGCCCAGAGTGTTTTCAGCCAGTCCCACAGGCCCCTCCACAGAGGCCACAGGGTGTCGCAGTGCCGGCAACAGGCAGAGTTGCTTGTGCTTGTTGCATGCACTGGGACAGAAGCAGGTGCCAGACGTCTGTTCGCCTTGTTGCAGCCTCCTGCAGTGATGCCAAGATTGATCTGGGTCAGAACCACGTTTGCTGCTTGGTGTTGAGAGTGGGGCCGACCTGCTCTCTGGGGCAGTTTCAAAACTCAGCTGGTCTTACCTCGCATCAACTTTCTGCTTTTGTTTTGAAGTCTTGTACACTTCATGATGCTAACTGCAGACATGGGGTGGAGACTAGAGGTCCAGTGCTTCCCGCTGCCTTTTCTCTACCCCTTCCTCACGGTGCTGGGCATCAGACCTGGCTCAAGTGTTTGGCTTACATCTTAACCTGGCAGTGTACTGTGATACTTCTACATTTGTAAACAAAACAAAAACTGATCTGTACTCCGTTTACTTCAATGTGAGGACACAGTGGTCAGGAACAGACACTGATCCTTGGGAGTAGCTGTGTCACTGCCAGGCAGGTGCCCCTGCACCAGTCTAGGGGCTGGCAAGAGGCACCATGGCTGTTGCAGACATAGTTGCAGTGTAGAAATAAACATGAGCCTTTCCCGCACAGCACTGTGGTCACCGTGGAGACCCTGAGTTCAGCAGAGCCTGCTGGTTCCTGGACCTCTGCCCAGCTCTTCCCCACCCTGGGTGCCTGAGGAGAAGCATAAGTGAAGCAGCCCAAGACTTGTGCCCATTCACTTGAGCCAAACCACCTGGAGTCTGGGAACAAGTGGGCCCAAGTGTAGCAAGCCACTGGGGAGCTGAGGATTGTGAAGCCAGGCTGGTATACACTGAGACCTTGTCTCAAAAAACCAAAATAGCTGGGCATGGTGACACACACCTATTGTCTTGTCATGAGATCACCCTGGGCTACATAGTTCAAGACCAGCCTAAGCTACAGAGATCCTGCTTAAAAAACAAAACAAATTACTAGTAATAAAAGGGGAAGGGATCACACTCAATGGCAGAGTACCCTTAGATTGGATTCCAGTATTGTGGGGGAAGTTAACAGAGTTCTGGGGCTGGGGTGTACCTTAGGGGCAAAAAGCCCTGGACTCGACCCCGAGCACCCAAACACTTCCAGAACAGCTAGTCTTTCCTAAAATAGGACTCAAGAAACTTGTTCCCAGATGCCTGGAGACACTCAGATGACCCCTTTGGCCACAGGGCTCCAGTTCTTTGCACCCTTGGGTGTCGCCTGGGTGAACCCTCACAGGCAGAGTCAGCAGATACCCGTGGTGGACCCTTTCCAGCATGGCCACAGCTCCCTGCCCGTTTGGCAGGTTTTTTTTTTTTTCTCGTTTTTATTGGTACCAGTGATCAAACTCACGACTGCCTGCTTGCAAGGCAGGCACTTATGCTGCTGAGCTAAATCCCCAGCCTTCCGTTTTGCAGGTTTTAAGATGAGGTTTCTCAGGCCTTCCTGCTCCCAGTCTCCTCCTGGAAGGGGGAGGGGCGGATTTGCAGAGTATGTCTCATGCTCTTTGCCAGCCTGACTTGGTGTTTGGTTCAGGAAGGCTGTGTCCCCAGAAATAGGTGCCCAGGGACACTGCTGGCTGCCCTGAGGACACCCTGCTGCTTGAGCAGTCAGGGCCACAGGGAGCCAGAGCTTTTTCTGTCTCCTGGGGTCGACCTGAGGGGGCAACAAGAGACTGGGCCTGGTGGGAACAACAGGGCTTCTGGATTAATGAACAGAAGCTGCTACCCAGAGTTCCTTAACATCAGCACTCAGCTACACCCAGAATGGAATTTTGCATATGCTGGACAGAAATAAGAGAATCAAGCCTCGGCCAGAAAGGTTCCAGAACTGCAAGGACTTGTTTGACCTGATCCTGACCTGTGAAGAGAGGGTTTATGATCAGGTGGTGGAAGGTGAGCCCTGCGTGATTGCTTGGAAAGGGCAGGGCCGGGAGGGCTTCGGGGCAGGTGGATGCCGCCCATGGCACAGCAAGGCGATGCCAAGTCCTCTGGGCTCCGGCTCTGTTCCGTGTGGCACTTGATGTGCCATGGGGACCATGAATGCCACTGCCTCCGTGGGGGTCTTGGCCATGGTGGGCTGGTATCAGGGGTGGCCTTGCTGTGTGTTCAGCTTTTGTCATGCATGGTCCTCAGGGACTCCCTGGCCCGGCTACAGGCACAGTCCTCAGTCATGTTCCCAAACCCCAGAGCCGGCCTGGCAGCAGTGGAGCCCAGCCAGGGCTAGTGGGGCCACATGAGGGCACCTTGCTGTCTGGTTCTGGAGCTTCCAACCTCTTTGTCACTTTGTCCCAATCAGATCTGAATTCCAGAGAACAGGAGACCTGCCAGCCAGTGCACGTGGTCAATGTGGACATCCAGGACAACCATGAGGAGGCCACACTAGGAGCCTTCCTCATCTGCGAGCTCTGTCAGTGTGTGAGTGTGGGGTCAGGTGCATCTCCCCATGCCACAGGCAGAAGCAGAAGACCCAGTTTTGTGTAATGCTGCGCACACCTCTAGGGGACATATCAGGTGGCTTTGGCTCAAGAACGGCCCGACACTTGTTCGTCTGATGGCGAGTGTGTGCATGAGGATGGCCATGTTTGTCCCATTCCCTGCAATAGCAGAGCTCGGGGCCAGGGCCAAGCTTGGCTGCTTCACTGGGTTTGCGCATATCTGCCGCACAGATGCGCGTGTCCCTTCAGACAGCCTCCTCCCAGTCAGCCAGGGGCTGTGGAGTCACCACACAGTGCTCTGTGCTTGGGATCTGCCCAGTCAGTGGGCTTGTGTGACAGTCATCAAGGAATTGGCTTAGCGGGGAGCAGCTCCACAGACAAGCAGGCCCATCAGCCAGAGTTCCATCCCACCCCAGCCGAGGTTTGGTTTCCTGCAGTCTGGTAATCAGTGTGGCTGCTGAAGCTCTGATAGTTGTGTCCATATCTGGCCGGCACACAGTAGAAGCACTTGGAGAACAGAGCTGTCACGAAGGGCTTCTGCTTGGGGGTCTGTGCCAGGCAGGGCTGGAGCTGAGGAGGGAAGGTGTGATGGCAGGCATGGACATCAGGAGGTCTCACGGCATGTGGTAGCGCCTGTGGTTGCAGCCTGGTGGAGGTGAGGCACTGGACACTTCCATGGACAGCCACCTCCCTGCTGGGCAGCTCCAGGGGAATGCCTGGCCCTTGCTGTGACCCATTTTGCTTACCCGCAAGGTGGAAAGGAGTCCGAGCCAGGTTCCTTTGCTCCAGGTCCAACCCCAGGAGGCTGCCACTGGGGGTTCCGCAGGGCCCCGGAGACCAGGGGGAGGCTGCGCCTGGGACTGGTGCTCAGGGTGTGCTCTCCGCAGATCCAGCACACGGAGGACATGGAGAATGAGATCGATGAGCTGCTGCAGGAGTTCGAGGAGAAGAGCGGCCGCGCATTCCTGCACACCGTGTGCTTCTACTGACCCCACCCGGCCTCCTGGATGCTCCCCACCCCCACCCCTGCATCCCACTCCTACCCCCGTGTCCGGGGTACCGCGGTGTCACCCCATGCACTGCGCGGGCACAGGACGGAAGGTGGGCCGCGGGCACGGTCGTCTCCGCCCCCTTAAGCTGGAGAGGACGCGCCCAGCATGTGTGCCTCTGCCTGGCCTGGCCCTTGATCCCCAGCTGTAGGTTGTGCATACCTGAGCGGCCACAGCCCAGCCAGAGGCGCTGGAGTTGCCCAATAAACGAGATGCTGCTAGTGGTCTTGCCTTGGCCTCATTCCTGCGCATACCTCTCCCTCCCCGGGCCCTGCCCAGGGCTGCTGTGCCCCCACTGTCTGGGGCTGAGATCCTTGGCCCCTCGAGTTCTTCAGGCGACCCTCCCGGTGTGTCTTGGTGCAGAAGCCGGGGACACCTGTCCGGCCCTGCCGACCGACGGGATCCCGAGCTGCAGGGTTTGCGCCTCACGACGCAGGGCGGGCTGGACCAGTTCGAGCCGGCGGACTGTCATTGCCCTCTGCAAGGAGGGCCAGGCTTGGGGCGGCCAGCTGGCCTGTGTGCCATCCGCCTTAGCCTCGCTCCTGCTCTCGGCCGCTTCCAGCCAGGCCTCCGGAAGACCTCGCGGGCCCGCGGACGCGCATCCCAGTGGGAGGAGGGGGTGCACCTCGTGTCCTCACCTGAGGCCGAGGAAGGGCGGGAGGACGCCGGTGCGCAGTGGGCCGGCGTTCCGAGCACGCCAGCGTGGGGCGGGGCGGCAGCAAAGTCCCTCCCGGAGGCGGAGGCAGGCGGCCGGGGGAGGGGAAATAGACGGAGCGAGGCCGCTCGGAGCCTGGTAGCCCGAGCTGGAGTCGGGCGGGCAGAAGGCGGAGCGCAGCGCTGCGCGGCCGGCAGCGGCAGCGACCCCGAGCGAGCGTCCGCGTCTCAGCCGCTCCCCCGCCTGCTCTGGGCAGGGGCTGTGGCGCTGACCTCCGCGGAGGCGGCGGGGGCTCAGCATCGGGCCGGGGCCGGGGGGGCGCCGGGGCCGGGGGGCGGCGCTCCGGCCCGGCCCGGCCCCGCCCGATGTCCATGAGCGCGAACACCATGATCTTCATGGTTCTGGGGGCGTCGATCGTGATGGTGAGCGGAGGGGCTTCCTGTGTGCGCGCCCCCTGTCCCCGCCGCCCGCGCGCGCGCCTCCCCCTTCGCGGTGCCTTGTTTACCGGCCTGCGCGGTTCTCTCGGGTGCCTTCGGCGCCCTGCGCTCCCTCCCTGCACCTCGCGCTCCCCTTCCGGCGCCCCGTGCTTCACTCCTTGCACCCCACGCTTCCTCCCTGCCCCTCCAACCCGGTCCACCTCTCCCCTGACCGGACATGGGCTCTTCTAGGCCATCGCGTGCTTGATGGACATGAACGCGCTGTTGGACCGCTTCCACAACTACATTCTCCCGCACCTGCGCGGCGAGGACCGCGTCTGCCACTGCAACTGTGGCCGGTGAGTGCGCCCCGGCACCGGGTACAACACGCGTGATCACACACGAGCGGCGGGCTGCGCGGTTCGGGCCGCAGGGCAGCGCTAGACCCGGGCGCCTGGAGCCTGGCGCTGGGGGAGGGGCGTCTTCTGGGACGGAGGCCTGCCGAGTCAGGACGCCCGGTGACTTCAGCGCCAGGGCTCCGGCTGGTGGCAGAGCTGCCTGGGCGGCACAGGTGGTGGTCCCTCACAAGCTTGGTCCTGGGAGGTTCACGGCTGAGGCAGCAGAGGCTGTTGGTGCTCCTGTGCCCGTGGCCCTTGTTATAGGCCCTGGCGGACCTAGGCGCTGATCACGGTGGCGGGCAGGACCTACTTGCAGGGCGCGGGCGAGACCCTCAGGGTAGAGGAGGAGCTGAGGCAAGAGAGGGGCTGGCTCAGTCAAGGTCACAGCCACTGCCACGCCCACCGGCGATCTCCTGTCTCCTGGCCTTGCATGTCTGTATGTCCATGTACTAAATAAACATCTTCTCATGAGCCGCGCATGTGTGTACCGTCTGTGCATATACATGTGCGCACACGCCCCGTGCACATGGGCATGCGCTCATCCCACACCGTCCCACCAGCGTGTCCACCTTGACCATTGGCACTGCAAGGCAGGTGAGGGAGTGGACAGAAGCTCTAGAGTAGACTTGCCCAAGGTCACACAGCTCGGCGAGGAGGGCGCTCAAGCCTCAGACACGAGTTCCCAGGCACCGTTGCATCACAGCGCTGGGCTCAGGCATGTAAGTCTCCGGGCCACTGCACGTCTCCTCATGTGTCCCAGGTCTGTGCTTCAGAGTAGAGTGTCAGAGTGCAGGTGTTAGAGCAGGTGATAGCACATAACCCTGCGCACAACCACTGATCTGCCTAGTGGCCTGAGACCCCTTGCAGCAGGTGGGCACATGCTAGGCCACAGTCCCCGAGAATGCCAGACACACACACCATGTGCAGGCCACAGTACTGTGATCCGCGTGGGTCTGCCCGTGATGGCACGTTCAGTGTGTGTATGCAGGCGTGCATGTGTACCTCATCAAACGTGCCAAGCCATTTGGTCCCCTGTAGAGCAGGCACCTGTAGTAGAGGGTTGTGTGTGCAGGAACGTGGAGAGTGACACCTGCTGCGGACAGTGTCCTGCGTGTGTCTCCATGTGTGTGCTTTGTACACATTTTTGCATATAGGGTTTCATCCTACAAAGACTTGTATATTGACGACATACATGTGTGTGCCAAAGGACATGTATACAGGACAATATACAGTGGAGTGCACAGCACACGTGAGACACTGGCTGCATCATGGGTTTGCACGTGGGGCCTCTGTGCATACACGTATATGCATTGCCACCACCATCTGCTCGTGTACCCAGGTGTGCAGTGTGCACATGTGCCTTGTATGTGCCTTCATGTGAAGTTGGTGTGGAAGACTTGTGTGAACCAATGCTGAGGCATGCACGTCAGAGGCACCATCTGTGACCGTGCACACACATACATGCGTGTGACTCAGCCTGGGAGGTGGCAGTACCAGAGCTGAGCACGTGCATCCATGTGTGACACACGCCATGCTCGTGCCAGGAGCGTGTGCAGTGCATGGATGTGGGCCCTGGGCCCATGTCCACAAGTATACACGCTGTGTCCAGTGCATGTTTCTGGCATGTATACACAACATGCATCAGGCCTCAGGTGGACACATGGCATGTGTGGCATAGGCGGGACATATGTATGTCCCCATCACACATACGTGTACACGTTGCGCATCCTTGTATCTGGGAGACCTGATACTATAGCCAGCCCCAGAGGCCAGGCTTCAAGGTAAGAGGAGGATCCGAGCAAAGAGCTGCAGTGGCCAGGTTTAGAGGTGTGCACAGGTTATGACCTTTGACCCAGAAGCCCTGCTTGGGGAGCGGGTGCCCTGCTGCCAGGTGTGTTAGGACAGCCCAATCCTGGCACAGGGCACAGCCGCCGCCAAGACTACAGATGAGTTGGGCAACCCTTCCGCTCCTGGGGCTGGAGCTGCGCAGTAATCCATAGGTTTTCCTTGCTCTGGATGGGAATGCAGGCATGTGAGGGGCTGGAGGGCTGCAGGTCCAAGGCTGGCCTGGGCTGCCGAGTGAGACTGTCAGGGAACAGAGAACAAGTACTGTCTTTTCTGCCATGATGATGGAGAATGGCTACTGAACTCAGGATGGGGTAAGTAGCAGCTGTCAAGTGTCAATTATGGTCACTCCTTAGCTACTGGCCAAGGCTGGCAGCTGAAGCCCTGCCCACCAAGCCTGCCACACTGCACAGAGCCCCAGAGAGGGCTGGAGGGCCAAGGAAGGGGCCCTGCTGATTAGACTGGGCCTTGAGGACCTCAGATGTCTGTGTGGCCTCTGCTGGGCCCAGGACAGCAGCAAAGGCCCTCCTGCCTTTGGGGCAAACCTTTTGGGGTGGGGGGCGTAGGTGCCATAGCTCTTTGTGTGGAGAAGACACAGAAGCAGGTTTAGGGAGCAGAACTATTTTCAGCATGTGTCTGAGGTATCTGGATCCCACGTGCAGACACAGGCAGCCTGAGCGTGGGGCGGGTGTGGGGGCAGTGAGGAGGCCAGGAGGAGCTGAGTGGCAGGAGAGCCCCGCACACTCCAGGCCTGCTGCTGGTGAGAAGAGGCTGGCTGGAACTGGGCCCACGAGCAACAGAGCCAGCAGCAGCCCTCCTGCCCAACAGGGTATCCAGTGTGGTTGGGGCTGCCCCTCTCAGGAGATGCCCACCAAGGGTGATATAAGACACAGGAGGCGAACAGGAGCCTTAATGCACTGGTGGCCTGAGCCCCCTGTGGGAGGCTGAGGTCCTGGGTGATCAGACCAAGGAGAGGGCCAGATCTGTTTGGCCCAGGCCTGGACCCCTGTCCACGCAAGGGCAGCACACAAACAAGCAGTCCTCAGCACAGAGAGGTGTAGAAGTCAAGGCCTCTGGCACAGTAAGTGGGGTGGATGGGGACACAGTTGAAACCAGAGGCTCAGGTGGGTGCAGTCCAACAAGGATAGCGAGCAATGAAGCACCCAGAAGCAGGTAGGGCTGGGCAGGGCCGCTGGGCCTGCATGTCAGCGGGCTGTGGTATCCAGCCTGGCAGACCCCTGTGCTCTGGGCCCATCCTGGGCTCCCAGGAGCCCCAGTGTGCCCTGGGAACACACCCAGGTTGCAGAGAGGTGCCAGCCCACCCTGCCACCCGCAGGCACCATATCCACTACGTGATCCCATACGACGGGGACCAGTCTGTGGTGGACGCCTCCGAGAACTACTTTGTGACGGACAATGTGACCAAGCAGGAGATCGACCTCATGTTGGGGCTGCTGCTGGGCTTCTGCATCAGCTGGTTCCTTGTGTGGATGGATGGCGTCCTGCACTGCGCTGTGCGCGCCTGGAGGGCCGGCCGGCGCTACGGTGAGTGCCTTGCACCCGCCGCGGGGACAGCCCGCCCACCCGGCGCCTGACCGCCCTGTCCCCCCGCAGATGGCTCGTGGACCTGGCTGCCCAAGTTGTGCAGCCTGCGGGAGCTGGGCCGGCGGCCTCACAGGCCCTTCGAGGAACCCGCAGGGAACATGGTGCACGTGAAGCAGAAACTCTACCACAATGGCCACCCCAGCCCGCGGCACCTGTGAGCCGTGCACAGGACTCTCGGGGCCGCTGTGGGGATAAACAAGGGACCTCGTGGATGCCCAGTGGGCAGGATTGCACTGCGGCCTTGGGCCCAGGGGTCCTGGGCTGGGCTGGCCAGGCTGGGGCTGCCGGGTGCGTCCAGCGGAAGGTGCTGTCTCCTCTTCTTTTTATAAAGGGGGTCGGGTGGGGGCTGGGGTGGGGACGCCGCCAGCCTTGGGGCAGGAGCCTGGCTCCCTCGCCCTGGAGGTGCTGGGGGCCATCTGGGGGCCTTCAGGGGACAGGCTGGGGCAGAGCTGTGCCTGTGAGAGGCCATGTTTAATTGAAGGCTGCTGTCTGTTTCCTGTGAAGCGCTGTCTGTCCATCTGTCCCTCAGGGTCTGGAGGGAGGGAGGCGTGGGCCGCCGTCTGCACACGGGAGCATGTGCATGGGGCGTGTGCGGCTGGGGGGCGTGGAGGGGGTGCCCCAGCATCCCAGCACCTCACTGTGAAGCCCACCCTGCTGGCCAGTAAATTCTCCAGAAAGCTCCAGCCTCCGCCTCATCAGTCATCTCTGACCCCAGAGCTGATGGGCCCGCCCCAACCTGCGTGGCCTGGAGACTTGGGCAAGGGTCACCAGAGTTTTATTGCATTCTAGATTCAGAGGTTCAGCTGCAGCCCCACATGGGCAGCAGATCATGGAGCGCCCGGCACTTTTGCCCACAGCCAGGTCTGCCCACCGGGTGTGGGTGGCAGGGTCCAGCTGGCCAGGCAGGCAGCTAGGGGTCCCTGCCCCTGGCCACCGTGGGTCACAGCCACAGCACTCGCCTGCTCCCTGCTCAGGCAAGCATCCTAGGCTCCCACGGGAGGGCCTGCTGCTCCTCCCTGGTGGTAGCCAGAGGGCAGGGATGGGAGCTGGCCACCAGTGCAGCCCTGGTAGGAGGGAACTGCTGGTCAGGTGTCAGGGCCAGGCACGGTTGACAAGGACACAGGGCTGGGTCCCTCCACATTCAACCACTGCATCTTCTGCCGGTGCTGCAGGACAGTGTCCTGGACGCGGGTGTCCATCATGGCCTCTGTGAGGACACCATCCTCAGAGGCGTATGCCATGGCCTGGGGAGAGAGGGAGCAAATCAGGGTTCCATGCCCAGCATGCACACAAGGGGCAGCTCCTGGGGCCAACACAGCCAGTCTGTGCCCCAGTGCTGCCTCGGGCTTCTGCTGCTCGGACCCCGACACACCAGGACCAGTCCCAGCCACTGTGCCTCGAGTTCCTCTAACAGCGATCAGACTCTGGCCAACTAGGCCTACACAGGTCAGGTGCTTCACAGATGCAGAGGAGAGACCACAGCCTTCAGAGGGCGTGCGGCCATGGAACCACCCAGGGTGGGCTCTGCCACAGCCTCTGTGAGGCCAGGTGTGCCACCCTGGCAAGTGAAGTGCATGGGGACATGTTCCGCACCCACCAGCCTGGCTTCAGCCCCGGGGTGTGGACCCGACCCTGCGGCCACTCAGCAGCCCAGGGAGAGGCTGGGCACAGGGACAAGAAGACTTAGCCAGAGGAGTGGCTGACAGTGGCACTGGCAGGATGTCCTGGACAGCATCTGGGGCAGGCAGGTCAGGTGGAAGTGGCCCCAGCAGTGATAAGACACCTGCTGGGCATGTGTGACACCTAGGCCTGGCCAGGGCTGGAAGCACGAGCACCCTCCATGCCAGCTTTGCCACTTTTCTTTAAATCTTAAATTATCAAAAAGCTAAGGTTAGCTGAGTATGGTGGCACACACCTATAGTTCCAGCACTCAGGAGGCTGAGGCAGGAGAAGCACAAGTTTGAGGCCAGCCTGGGCTACAGAGAGTTCAAGGGCAACCTGCGCACACAGCTAGATCCCATCTCTAAACAAACAAAACATTAAATACAGGGTAACTAACTCCCAACAATCCCAGAGACTGAGGCAGGAGGATCAATTGTGTCCAGGGTTCAAGGCCAGCCTGGGCACACAGGGCAACTGGCTCAGAATCAGGTCAGTGGATGAATAAGCAATGTTAAGGATGTAGAGAGTTTAAAGGTGTGCCCAGAGCCTGCTGACCTCAACTGGCAAGTTCCAGAAGAATCTTCCTGAGAGCCAAGGAGGAAAGGTCGCATCTTAATTCATCCCAGATGGCCAGCGCCACTGGACACCAAAGTCAATGTGAGAAAACCACAGACCAACGGCCCTTATGGACACTGATGGCAAAGCCCTCAGTTACACATGCCAAAGGGGCAGGACCTGCACACCACCCAGCTACACAGAATAGGCTACGGGCAAAACTGCACCTTTCCTTGCTGTCACAGGAACAGACGGGACCCCTTGGTGGCATCAGGGCTGCAGGCCCCAACCCCACGTGAGCACACACACTCCAAAGGACCACGGCCGCCCTCCCAGGTCAGCAGCCACACAGGGATCCCGCTGTGCCACTATCTGGCCAGTGCCAACACTCTGCCGAGGAGCTCAGTAAGAGATCAAAAGCCACCAGGTCCAAAATGAGCAGAAGATGGGCACAGCTCTCAGATGACAGGATTCTGTGCAGAGATTCCGAGTCAAGCCAGGTGTCATCCCGGCACTCAGGAGGCTGGCGCGGAAGGATCACCACAGGTTTGAGGCCAGACAGCTACATATAGAGACCCTGTCTCAACAAAGAAATCCTGAGTTCACATTCAAAGATCCAGATGTTGAGCTGGGAGGTGTGGCACTTGCCCTGCAGCATGTGTGAGGTCCTGGGTTGAATTCTGCGCAGCACAAAACAAACAAGTAAAAAGCTCTTAAGAGCTGGGCCTGAGCTGGTGGCCCTATACTTGTCATCTCAGCCCTTTGGAGGCTGAAGCAGGACTACAGGCTAAAGTTCTATCCAATCAATTTAGCAATAAGCGCCTGCCTGGCAAGCGCCAAGTCATGAGTTTGATCCCTGGCATTAAAAAAAAAAAAAAAAAAGGATTGGAGATGCAGCTCGGAGACAGAGGACCCTAGGGTGCCAGTCCCAGGCCTGGGGAAAGAAGAGGCTGTGTGAAATGGTACATGATCCCAGCCACCCATGAGGCTAAAACAGCAGAATCACGAGCCAAGGCCCACGTGAGCAACTGAGTGAGGCCCAGCCTATTTCAAAGGAATCACATTAAAAGGGCTGGAGGTCTAGCTCAGCGCTCTCGTGGTTAGCACCGCACCTCAGTACAGAGGAGACGAGGCTGCACTTCAGCAGGCGTGGGTCTAGGGACCTGCAGAGCACAGGGCAGAGACCAGCCCTCCTAAAGGTGGGTGTAGATCTAAGCGACCAGACAGAACTGCCAGGGCCAAGGCAGTTCTGCACCAAAACCCCAGAATCACAGTTGGGTGGCACTGATGGGCCTGAGGGGAACCAGAGCCCTGAGCAGGACAGGATGAGAAATGGCACAGCTTCGGGGGGCAGTGCAGCTCTGCGGGAATCAGTGGTAACCAGGCAGCCCTGCAGCCCACCCTGTGCACAGCAGGTACCCAGCAGGGGAATGGGCTGCAGGCGGGCACCCCTCACCTGGGGCAGAAAGGACCCAGTGCTCCCACCCCTGGGGCCCAGAGCACAGGTCCCAGCCGGACAGGCTGTCACTCAGGGGGAGGGCACCACCCCAGCCATGCCTGCAGCACAGGCAGCATGACAAGCGTGTGGCCTGACCCTTAACAGCAAAGCCCTGCCACCCGAGGCATCTGCAGATGGGGACAAAAGCAGTGACATCCAGACACACAAGAGTTTGCTCCGCCCTCCCCCCTCCCCCCCAGAAGATGCCTCGAGGTTAAAGCCTAAACCCAGGACCCGTCACCAGCCAGGCGCTGCCCTCTGGCGTGACTTCCAGCACCATGCAAACACGAACTGGTCATTTCAGCAGCTTACACTTTGCTGCACTGCCTGCTCCCTGTGCTGTCACTTGTAGAGACAGCACAATCCTCACTGGCCCCAGAGGACAGGACTGATGGTAGCTAACCTAGCCCGACTCGTGCACATTCCTGGACTACAGTATTTAAACCCAAGTAGCCGTCCAAGTAACAACCCGAGCCTCATACCACGGACAGCACTGCTGTGCATGGTGGCTAGGCCATGGCAGGCCCCAAGGATGTGGCCAACTGTATGTCATGAAAACGAAGCCCAGGGAGCACCAGCACCCCTCCCAGTGGGCTCCCATCCTGGTGCTTTGGCTTGGGGTGGGAACAAGAGGCCAGCCTGGCCTTGTACCATGCGACACTGAGGGTGAGGCAGCCTTGCCCATTGAGGGTTGTGGGCATCCAGGCCCTTAACTCTGCAGTAAGCTTTTACTACACAGCTGAGGACCAACACACATACCTGCTTGGCGCCTGGCGATGCCTTCTGGGCAAATCCTGTTATCCAGACTGGGCCAGGCCTCAGACTCACCTGCCATGCCACAGCCAGCTGGGCAATCTCTCGGCCTGACATTCCCTCCGTTAGCTGGGCGACCTCAGAGCACTTCTTCCCGTAGTCAAACTCAGCCAGCTTCAGACGCCTGCCGGAAGAACTCCAAGTGGCACAGGCCGGAAGCGAGGCAGGAAGGCCGCAGCCACACTGAGACAGCCCTGTGCCACTGCCCGTACCTCTTGCCCTCATCCTGGAGCCTGGAGACCTTACCCAGGCCGTACACCCAGCAGTGGCCCACAGTTATGGGCTTAGCCCTTCACCAAGGTCGCCTATCCCAGTAAAAGACAGGGAGGCAGGGCCACAGAGCCCTGGGTTATAGCAGTGACACTGACCAAGGCCACCCCACCTGGGAGGAGAAGAGCAGGAGCCAAGCTGAGGGGCCCAGGCTGAGCAGAGAGTCACGGCCTCTTCAGAGAAGGGGAGGTGACACATGCCTGTCACCCCAGCACTCTGGAGGACTGAGATGGGAGGCCCATAAGGTGGAGCCCAGCCAGGGCAACTCAGTGAGACCCTGTCTCAAGGTCTATAATGAAGAAAGCTGAAAACACGGCTCAGGGCAGAGGCCCTGGGTGGTGTGCTCAGTACTGGCGGAGAGAAAGGAAGGGAAAGGCACAGTGTGGCACAGGAGGGATGTAGGTCAGGATGCGGGGGAGACGGGACGGCAGCAGCCTCTGCTGCCCAGCGCGACTGGATGCTCAGGCCTTGGAGCTGGGCCTGTCATCCCTCGGGGCCCAGGGCACTCACTGCTCCCAGAAGGCATGGTGCCATCACCTCTAAAGCTGACCCGGGGGCCCAGGTTCCTTCAGGCCAGTGGCCCAGGAACTTCAGGTAACAGGAAGGTCAGGACTCACAGTGGACAGGGCAGCTGTCCTCAGGGAGCCCAGCACAGAGCTGTCCCTGCCAGGGAGGGACACATGCAAAAGTGTGGGACAGACGGGGCCCAGGACGCCCCAGCGGACGAGGGTTGTGCGGGCCCGACACTTACTGCTTTCCTTCCGTGGCTGGCTTAAGAACATACTTGTCAAAATACATTCTCACCAGGCGCTCGCGCTCCTCCCGCCGCGGCAGCGCAAAGCAGACCATCTCATCGATGCGGTCATTGATGGCCCAGTCAAACTGCTCGGGCTGGTTACTGGCCAGCACCAGCATAAACCTGCATGACAAGCACCGCTGCAGCCCAGCTCCAAAGCCCTTGGGACCTTCCTGAAACAACCCACTGCCTTCTCGAGAGGTGCCAGGTGGGTGCCTGCACTGAGCCGCCCTCCCAGCCCTCAGCCACCTATTGTTCCTCAAGATGGGTCTCACCATTCCTCAGGCTGCCTTTAAACCTGGAGTTCTCCTGCCTCACCCTGCCAAGTGCTGGGATTACAGGTGCATGCCACCACACCCATATACAATTGCAGCTTTTCAGCCTAGAAAACTGCAGGACCCATTCTGCCAGACCCCGAGCTCAGCAGCACTCAGTGCCCTACTTTCTGCTCGTGCCCTGAGCTTACTTCCCCCACTGTGCAGCCCCAGCCCAGACCCTGATTTTAGGGACAGACAGCTGCCAACAGAGTCCTGGTCATGTGTGGTAGTATTGGTGTGGCCTGTAGGAGCCACACCTTGCAGTGTGAGAGGCCAGGCCCTCCCTGGGAAGGTAGGGGACAGGGGCAGCCACAACCGCTGCCTGGTGGAGCGGTGGTTCCCTCACTTGCTGCTGTGCTGGCCGGTTCTGTGCAGGAAGGCATTCAGGGTGGCCCTGAGGTCTTCACTGATCTTCTCCTGTGGGGAGAAGCCCCACATCAGCCCCCAGTGAGAGTGACCTGAGTAGGCAGAAACCATGGCCCTTCAAGCAGGCTCAAGCCTCCAAAGCACATTTGGGTCAGGAAAGTTCCCAGGGCACCGACCCCAACCAGAGTGAAAGAGAGCTGGATAGCAGCCCAGGCCCAGCAGCCCATGCATCACCGCAGCCCCCAGCAACGCAGGCTTCCGGTACTCACAGTTGCTCGCTTTCTGAGGAAGGCATCTGCTTCATCCACAAATAGCAGGAGGCTGTGAATGAGGGGGGCAGTGAGGGACACGAGCACCCCCAGGGCTCTGGATGCACCTGGGAGCTGTCTGGGAAGCTCACGGTGGTGCCCAGTGAGAAGCCACCATGCTAGCCCAGGAAAGCACCGGTCAAGCCTCCAGTGACCAGACTGACTCTGTCTTCGCTGCCCAAGGGTGCTCGGGTTCACAGCAGCAATCAGGGTCATCTGATCCCCAGGACAAAGGCCAGTGTGGGAGGTACTAACCAAGAAGGTGACAACATGAGGGACAGCTGAGCTCATGCAGCTAAGCTGGCCAGACCACACAGAAAGGGCTGCAGGGACTTCCTGCTTTAGGGGCCCTGGCTCCTCAGCTGAGTATAACATAAACTTTAGCACACACACCCCAGGGAGGGACCCAGCCAGCCCAGGAACAGCCCAGCATACTCGGGCAAGAATGGCACAGCTACCCCTGGTCTGGCATCAGCCTCAGTGTCCTCAGATGCCAGAGGTCCTGCAGCCTGGAGGGGGAGAGCAGGCCTGGGTGCTTGGGGGGCTTACCCTCGCCGGCTAGTGTTGGCCCAGTCGAAGACCTTGTGCATGGCAGTCACACCCTCACGTCCCATAGGGGCCACATCCCCACCGGTCATGATGGCATAGTCCATGCCTGAGTGCAGTGCCAGTTTCTAGGCAGGGAGGGGACGACAATGTTCCACTCGCCTGCAGGGCCCTCTTGTCCCGACATCCACCGCAACTCACCACGGCCTGGATTGGGCCCCTACCTTGGCGAACAACGTCTTGCCAGTGCCTGGAGGCCCATACATCAGAATGTTCCTGTACAGGCTCCTGTTCTTCTTGGTGTTCCTTGTTGCTATGGCGATGTCCCGTACCCGGGCCTCCAGGCTGGGCTGCCATGGAAGGCATGGTTTGGGAGAGCTTTGGGGGCAGGGGACACCCGTGGATGCGCAAGTATTGCTTGCTCCCTGAGGGGCTGGCCTAGGTTTCTGGGGCCAAAGCCCCCAATCAAGGCCTGGGTGCCTGGCAGCTGCTGTCCCCCCCTAGCCTGTACCCCCCCCTTGCCCCAGCTGCTCCCAGACTCACACTGAGAATGACTCCTTCCAGCGCATCCTGGGGCCTGCTGAGCAGCCGCCTGCTAACCTGTGGGGACCAGTGGGGTTGGCTAGGCACACAAGCAAGTGGCCTGCTGCCCCCACCCAGGACATGGGCATGAGGGCCAGAAGATGGGCATCTGTGCAGGGCTCTCCTGCCCAGGCAGCCCATGTGAGTAGCAGGCTGTGGGGCAAGTGCCCTGACCACAGGAGGACAGGAAAGGAAGGTGGGTGAGCTCCTCCTGGGCAGATGCAACCTGGCCAGGGTACCTGGACAGGGTGCCTCAGTGCCTCCAGCACCGAGATGCGTGAGGTTTCCCGCACCAGTGATGGGGTCCCCAGCCGGGCCTCGATGTACCGGCCAGCAACAGCGGTAGCATTCTTGGCAGAGTAGACTCCAACAGCCAACAGCGTCAGTCCTGCCACCTGAAGCAGACAGGCAGTCACCGGTGAGCAGCACACACCACCCCTCCTTCAGCCTTGGGACTGGATCCTGGCTGAGTCCCCAGCACGGCGTGCATGCATTCCTGGGGCAGCAAGTCAGGGAGGATCTCCTCTGAGTGCCTCGTGAACCTGCAGGCCACCCCTGCCCGGCTTTCCCGTGTGAGACATTATTATACTTTGTCCCAGAAAACGAGGCTGACTCCCTCATGGACTCCTGTGAACACTGGTCACGCACACCCCGAACTTCCTCACCACCGTGTGATGTGGGAAGGGAGCCCCATGGGCGCTGCAGGAGCCACCCAGTGTGAGCGCTTGCCTCATAGGTAGGGCAGGTTCCAACCTACACCACACAAATCACAATGGGAATGAGGAGGAGACGCAAAGAAGATTCAGCTGGGTGTGGTGTGCATGCCTATAACGTTAGCGTTCTGGGAGGCTGAGACAGGCTGATCACAAGCTCCAGCCCAGCCTGGGCAAATGAGTGACTCTGGAAGACCCTGTCTCCAAAAAACAAAAAAGAAAAATCTAAGGGTTGGGGATATAGCTCAGTATTTCAATCCCCAATATCAAAAACAAAATAAAGCCAGGTATGATGGCACAAGCCTATAATTCCAGCACTCAAGAGGCTGGGGCAAGGGGATCTCCATGAATTCAAGGCCAGCCTAAGCTTACAGAGAGGCCTTGTCTCAAAGAAACAAAAAGAAAAGTGGGGCTGAGGCAGGCCGTGTTTCTTATCACTGCTGGCAGCAGCCGCACCGTGATATGCACTCACACTTAAGAGGATGCTGGCTCCCTCTGCCCAGGGGTACTGATCATGGCCATGAGTGATAGCTAGTCTCCGGCGGGAGGCCTGCCAGGCCCACTTCTGTCCCTCCTGCTGAAGCCAGGGTAGAAGGTCCTGGCTCCATCTCCCAGGACACTGGACATGCACTCCCCCTCCTTGTCTGTCCTCTGGCCCCTGGACTGGAGGCCACTGAGATAGCCAGGCCACAGCAGACCGTGGTTTGCCCCAAGAGGCTCATGCACTGGTGGCCAGGACCCAGGATGGCTCCTGGGTTGCAGGTGGTATTGGGGCTTTCATGCACATAGCCCATGCTCTAGGGTAAGCTGGTCTCATGGGCGAAGGATGGGGCACAGTGACAGGTGGCTGGACCCCCAGTATTGGTGAAATGAGGTAAAGAGACCCATGCTTTAGAAGCCACCAGAACATAGATGAGGGACTGTCCCAGACTCCCGAGAGCCTCAGGTCCAGCCAGCGGTGGACAGGAGGAGTAGAAGGGGGCCATCTTTTAGGATACCTCACCAGGGCAGTGTTCAGGGCACAGGGTGGAGGCAAGGCAAGGGCCCCAGCCTACACCAGGGACACATGGTGCATACCGTGCCTGTCACTTTGTCCCAGTCAGTCACAAAAGCACGAAATCCTTCACCAAACAGGGTGCCAGCTGTCCTGCAGGGGGAGAAGAGCCATGCAACTAAGGAACTGGGGGCCTGAGCACACCCAGCACAGTCAAGGGTACAACCCCAGTGGCCCAAATGTCGGCACACAAAAGACCTGCTGGGACGGGCAGCGGCCCCCAGAGCTGCCCCCAACACATGGATTGGGGCATCCAGTGGCCACACCTAGGCCCCACGGGTTGGGAGCAGGCCCAGTGCACCGCCGTGGCCGCACCTGATGGACTCCAGGATCGTCTGGCGGTGCTCTGCGGCCTTCAGGCGGATCTGCTCACGGATGATGTCCGCATTCTCACGCTCTGCCTGGGCCCGGGCCCGCGCCTCTGCCTCCACACGCAGCATCTCGTTCTTGTGCCGCAGCTCCATCTCCCGCTCCACGGTGGCTGCCCAGGAGGCGGCAGGGTACAGAACTCAGTCCAGGGCACACAGGCCTCTGCCTGCACTGCAGCCGCGGACTGCGGAGGGTCCACGTCAGCAGACCACACCCCAGAAAGTACCGGCGTGGAGAGAGGCCTCTGAAGCAGTGCTGGACCAGGAGCGATGGCCCTCCTCAGGATTGCTATGCTGGGGAAGGGGGTGCTGGGGACTGATCCCCGAGCCTTGCACATGCCCAGCAAGGTTCTACCATCCCAGAACCACATTTCCTGCCCAGCAGCCCTTCCGGACGATGTTTGAAGAAACAAAACACCAAATTGCAAAGGACCCACTGACTTTGAAACACAAAAACTGTGGGACACACTGACACCAGCTTATCACCACTAACTGCAAACACCAAGGGACAATCCCAAGGCCACCACAAAGCACTACCGATGGTCACCACAAGTGTCAGGGCCAGGAAATGCGCATCTAGGCTATGGGGCAGAAGTGCACACAAAGCTGACAGTGTGGTCTGTTTACAACACAGACTCCAGGCAGGACTCCAAGCTGCAGGAGCGGAGCTACAAGGGACCCCTGTGAGAGGGACCTCAGGCCTCAGAACACCTAGAACACCCAGGAAGGGCCCCCGCTCACCCCAGTCACCTCTGCCACCCCCGGTGACCTCTACCTCGCCGCATGGCCTCCTGCTTCTGCACTGACTCCTCCTGTTTCCGCAAATTCTCCTCATTGAGAAGTTGCTAAAAACCAGGGAGAAAGGGAAAAGTAAAATCAGAGCACACCACCAAGCAAGGCCGCAGCTCCCCTGGCCTGGGAAATCTGCTCCCCGGAGGGACCCTGCCTTCTCCGGGAATGTAAAGAGCCTACAGCATCCACACTGTTGCAGGTATCTGACTCTGGCCCATTACAGGCTGACCAAAGGGGTAACCTCAGGACCCCCCGCCAAGTAGATGCAGCCTGTACAGCAGCGTCACAAGTGTGGCCACCACACAGAACCTACAGGTGTCACTGCCCAACCCTGCAGCTAAAACGTTTGGCAGTTTCATCTTAGGCCCCATGGACTGAGGCTGGGCCTAACAGGAGGACACTGGGCAGGGGACTGTCCCCTGGTCTTATTCAGCAGCCACTGCCCTCAATGGTCAGTCACCTGGAGACACTTGTCAGAACAGCCAAAGGCTACATGTCATCCAGACACACACGTGCGTGTGGCTCTGTGTCCAAGGGTTCCCCAGGACAGCAGCCACCACTGGCAACACAGTCCAGGTGTCTACCCAGGACCAGCCCCTAACTGCCCCTTACCTGCTGCCTCAGCTGGTCATCATAGCGCTGCCGGGCCAGCTTGTCCTGGTACTGGGCCCTCTGGGAAGACAGGAACAGTGAGAAGAAGCCTCTGGATGGTCAGAAGCTAAGTCTGAACCACCTTGACTGGGCGCCCCATTAAAATCTGCTAGGAGCTCTGGGCACCACCTAAAGCAGATACCTGGGAGACCCAGTCAGTGGAGACCCAGCCACACCCCACCAGGCCTCCCACATTCACGGCCCCTTGCACCCGTACCGCCTGGTGCTGCCGCGTCTCCTCGGCCAAGGTCTTCCTTCTCTCCTCAGCCTGCACACGAATCTGCTCACTCTTGAGCTGCTCCACAGCGGCCTCATACTCCTGGGGACACGGGCACCCCGTCCCCATGAGGCTCTCTCCAGTGCATCCCTGTTCACCCATCCGGGCTTCCCAGCAGGCCCAGGTAGGGCAGAAATCAGCCTGGACCAACTCCACACACACCAAACTGGGCCACACTGGGAGGACCAGACCCCCATGGACCCCCAAGAAGCAGGAGCACTCCAGGACAGACTGTGCCAAGGGGCACTGGCCACTGCCAAAGGCAGAGGGTACAGCCTGCTCTCGCATGGAGAGCTGGGCTGGTGCAGAGAGGTGAGGCAGGAACCTGATAAAAGATCCCTGCCATAGGAAGGCCCCCCTGGAGGCTCTGTAGCAGCTGGCTGCAGCCCAGCGGCAATCAATGAGGGATGGGGTCCTGGGCTGGGTTTCCTCCCTGCCATGTCCTGCAGCTCACCTTGAGCTTGGACTGTTGCTCCAGCTGCAGTGTCTGCTCCTGCATCTGTGCAAGACTCAGTGCCTCCTTGGCATGGCCTGCAGGGCAGCAGAGAGGGCATTGAGACTCCAGACCCACCAAGGCTCTGCCCAGGGCTTTCTGAGAAACCAGTCTCACCTGAACATCACAACCCAGGGAAATAATTCCCCACTCCTAACAGAGAGCACAGCAGGACCTGTTGTCAGCCTAGGGATCATCCCATTGTGGGGTACCCCCTCAGAAGGCCCCTATGCCAGGCAGTACAGAGCAAGGTTGCAGTGGTGAGTTTCCCAACAAGACACAAAGAGGGGCTTTGGCTGGAGGCACTTTTGTCATTCAGGTTACACACATTTTTCTTCAGCTTCTACATCCATTATCACTGGTCTGCTAATGAGCACAGACAGGTACAAAAAAGCATGAAAGAGATTTAAAGAAAGCCAGAGCCATGGGAGATGCCTTCAATCCCAGCTACTCAGGAGGCTGAGGCAGGATGACCAGCTTGGCCCACTTTGCAAGACCCATCAGGGCTGGGGATTTAGCTCAGCGGCATAAGTGCCTGTCTTGCAAGTGCGGGGTCCTGAGTTTGATCGCGGGTACCGATTTAAAAAAAAAAAGACCCATTAAAAGGGCTGGGAATGTAGCTAGGTCATAGACTGTGCCTAGCACATATGAGGCTGTGGGTTCAATCCCCAGTGTTGCAAAAAAATTAAATAAAGGCAAGAATTAAACCACACATAAGCCAATAGCCCTGGGCTTATAAACATATGTTACAAATATGTTCTATGTGTTCCATGGGGCAAAACTGACACTTGTCAACATTCAGATGTTCTGGAGCAACACCTGATCCTGGCCCTCTCCTAGCTGAAGAGGCCTCCACTTCAGGGTCTGACAACTCCCCATTCCTAATATTGCACCACGAAAATCTTCCAGTGCACAAAAACATGGCAAGGGTGGCAATCACTTGGGAGCCCAGCCTTATGTCACAGTGTCCCTGTCTTGTTCTTTTTTTTTTTTTTTTTTTTTGTCTTTTCCTTTTTATTGGTACCAGGGATCGAACTCACGACTGCCTGCTTACAAGGCAGGTACTTATGCTGCTGAGCTAAATCCCCAGCCCCTCCCTGCCTTGTGCTTATGCCCACTGCTGACCTTGCTTTTCCAAGCCCACGGGGTCAGAAGGAACCACCCTCCAACCTCAGCAACTCGCTGAGGACTGGAGCTGACAACACAGGTCATGGGCTTGACACCCAGTCGGGAGACTGAACTGACACCAGAGCCAGCCTGCCACTGACAGAGCCCACACGGCACAGACTTGGCCAACAGCCACAGGTCAGTGCTCAGGAAGGACCTTCAGAGCCAACACCCTATAAGTTCCACTCTCTGGTGACCAGAACAGATGACAGAAGGCCCTGCCCCTGAGGAGAAGTTGCAGGAAGGTACAAGCCTGCCACATTTGCCACACAGGCATATGGACCCCCAGGAAGGGAAGGGGACAGTAGCTCCCAGACTCTTGTCCCAGCATGGTAGACAGGAATAAGGATGTCATGGTTCAACAAAGCTGAGGCCAAATCCCAGATGGCCTGTGTACTTTTTTTTTTTTTTTTTTTTTTTTTTGTACAGGGAATTGAACTCACAACCTCACGCTTACCAGGTAGGCACTTATGCCACTGAGTTAAATCCCCAGTCCCTGCCCTGTGTACTATTGATGTGACCTTTGGACAGCTCTGTTAACTCCGAGATCATTTCCTTATAATACTTGTAACTCTCTGGGGAGACTGAAATCACAGAAAGCAGGTAATCTTCAGCCCAGCCTTGGGACCCATGTGACCCCTGAGAGTAACAAGCTGTAACTTAACTGACCAGTGATGACTCACCACCCGAGACCACCCCGCCCCAGGAGCTGTGCACTCAGTACTCATAGACAGTGCTCTCAGGGGCCCACACTGGTAGGGCCTGGGAGACCCTGGGAACAAGGCAGCACCAGGCCAGCAGAACAGGTGGTCAGGCTGGCAGAAGTGCTGCTGAAGACAGCTCCCACTGGCCGGGAGAAGGTAATGGAGTTGACAGGATGCTGACCAAAACACAGCTGCTGCATGAAGGCTGGGCATAGAGGAGCCTCCCGAACCAGGAGGACAGAGAGGACACACTTTCAGAGGAGCTGTCAGGTGGACAATGTGAGAAAGTTTGGAGTCAGGAAGACTAGGAGAAACCCAGCCAGCATGAAGCCAGGGAGGGTGGCAGGAATCAAAATGCAGTGCCCCTGGGACAGAATCCACAGGAGGGCCCACCAGACAGGTAAAGAGGGTGCAGCCAGAAGGAGCACAGGCCAAGGCACAAGTCTCAGCAGAGAAGTTCCGAGGCCAGAGCTCCAGAAGGCTGGAGAGCAACTCAGAAGCAGGATGTAGAGGACAGCAGGGCTGCTCCCTGCGGTGCCATGCCACCACCACAGGCCTCTGTAAAACTACCTGGAGTTGGGGGTGAAGAGCCAAGATCCACATTGAGATTTTGGGCTTATTTTTTTCTTTTTTGAGACAGGGTTTTGCTATGTAGTTCAGGTTGGTGTTGAACTCACTATGTAGCCCAGGCTGGCCTCAAACTTGCAGTGATCCTCCTGCCTCAGCCTACTTAGTGTTAGGATCACAGGCATGTACCATCATGCCCGGCTGGGCAAGGATAGCAGGCAAAAATCCTAGAAAAGGTATATGAAAGTGTCCTGTAACATGATCTCGGTCCACGGTCTGCCATCTGAGATGCCTGAAGCCCACCCACTGTTTTCCTTTCCAACCTAAACATTAAAATTATCTAGTGGCCAGGCATGGTAGTGCATACCTGTAATCCCAAGAGGACAGTGAAATCAAGCTTACCCAAGGTAACTTAAACCCTGTCTCAAAATAAAGAATAAAAAGTGGGCTAGGGATATAGCCTAGTGCAAAGGCCCCTGGGCTCAATTACAGTACCACTACCATGAACATTTTTTTTTAACCTAGCAAACTTAATGAATTACCTATAAAATTACTTGCCCCAGCCTCAAAAGTAGGCAGACATGATGATGCATATCTGAGATTCCCGCACTTCAGAGGCTAAGGCAGGGCAGTTTTAAAGTCTGCCTGAATTACATAGCAAGTTCAAGGTTGGCCTCTACCACAGAAGTCGTTTTAAAAAATTAAGTATGTGCCCAGCATGGTGGCATGCCCAGTAATCCCAGCAGTGGAAAGGCTGAGGCAGAATGATCACAGCGAGTTTGAGGCAAGGCTGGGCTACATAGTGAGTCCAAAGCCAGCCTACAGACATAAGACCCTCTTTTTTCAGAGGCGGAGACATGTTACCCTGAGCCCAAATTTGAATGCTCTGAAATGTCCCTCGGGAGATCTGAGAGCTAGCCAAGCTGGAGATTATTACCCAAGATGTTCTTACAGCCTCCTGGGGAAGAGCAGAGGTATAAGACAAGAAGCACCAGATCCTGTACCTGTACCTGCTTCACACCAAGGCTTTGTAAGAGGATCTTCCTTTAAAAGAGAGGCCACGTTTAAATAGACGTTCAAGATACATTGTATTTTTTCAGTCAGTATTTATTCAGCACCTTCTACATTCCAGGTTCCTAAACTCTTAAAACTACACATTAATACAAATCGTAGAACCTGCACAGGAGAAAGGAACACTGGGGCAGAGACCTGGGCTTAACGAAAGTCTGACAGTTGGTGCTGAGTCCCAGTTCAGGGTGATCATCAACCCCGCCCAATACCCTCAGCCTGAGCTTTTACAGATCTGCCCCCCCCCCCACTCACCGGACTGCTAACGTTTTCACTGGTAAATGTAAAATCTACTATACTCTTGTTAAAAACGGAAAACTCAAATACCCTTCCACAGTTCAAAGGAAAATTTCTACCAACAACCACACACGGTCATCTCCCGACTCGGCCACGCCTTGGCCTGCTCCACGTGGATGCGGCAGGTGCAAAAGACCCCAGTTTTCGCAGTAACTGAAGACCTGGCCCGGCAAGGCACAGGAATCTGAAATTCCGAAACGCCCTCTAAACCGGCCTCATTTGCCGCGTTCGCGACAGCTAAAAAGTGCAAGAAAGTGACACGACTCGACCCTCGGCACACAAGATGGCTCTGCTCCGTGGACTCCTGGGCCAGGTGGCTCACTTGCAAAACAGGGCTGCAGACAGCCACTCAGTCGCTGGCCCCGAAGGCGCTCCCGACCACCCCCCACTTCACTCACGCGAGTGCTCCAGCTCGCGCGCCGCCTTGGCCGCGCGCTCCAGGCCCGTCGGGTCAAAGTTGCTCCATTTGTCCTTGGGCGCCGGCCGGTCTCCAGCGCCACGGTCGCCGCCTCCCTCAGCCCCAGGTGGTGTGGGCGGCAACAGCAATGGAGGCCCTGTGCCCTCGCCTTTGGGGCCCTTGTTGACGCCAAATAGCCACGACATGGTCGGTCGCCGCGCGCCACTGGACCCAACACGAGGCGACTTGCGCGGTTCAGAGCAGCAGCCACGCGCGACCAACCAGTGGTCAGGGGCACTGCGCAGACGCGACACACACCCCCCTGCCTCCCGGCCAACGGAGACCCATGAGGGCCATGCTGCGTGAAGCTCTGGGATTGGCCAGGAAGACAGTGACGCCATTGGCGTCGTCGGCGCGTCGCGGAGCAAGTTCTATGGAGTGGAGGGGGTGCCTGGTTACCGAGGCCGAGCAGGGACAAAATTATCCTTGCGCCCTGGGTACCCTTAATTTCGTTTAGCAACGGCGCCGTCAGGTTGCTATGGACGCTCACCCAGCCTGTCTGGCCTTAGGCGCATCGGACTTCCAAGACGCGCGGAGTCGGGTCGCCGCCCCCTTGAGTCCCGGACCGGGAGGGGAGCGGCGGGTTTGGAGCTCAGGGCTCACTTAGGCCGGCCTGGGCGTGGATTACCTTAGGTGGACTGAAAGGCCCGGCACTGCGAGACGGCGACCCGAGACGTACCTCCGGCTCCGCCGTGACCCCGCGGTCCGCGGAACCTCTCGCGGTCTGGACCTAAGAGCCACGATGCGCTGGCTCAAAGAGAAGGTCCTCGGGGAGTGAGAAACAGAGGGTCCCAGGCCAAGCTTCTGAACGCCACTGGGATGGAGGGGCGGGCCTGGAGTCACAATACGTTCCCTGTCGCGCTCGCCGGATCGCAGAGGCTTCTGGCTGCGCAGTACTCTGCATTACAAATCCAGAACATAGAAAAGGGGAGCAGCCCCTAAAGCCATCGCTAGGAACCTGCCTTGCAAGCAGGTGGTCATGAGTTCGATCCCCGGTACCGATAAAAAATGAAAAAGACAAAAAAAAAAAAAAAAAAAGCCATCGCTAGGAGCCTTCTCTTTAGAAACCCGCTAGTCACGAGTCTGTTTCGGGCACACGGGCACGCCGAACCCGTAGGAGGCAGAGCACAATAGGACGGGCCGCGGGCATCGCGCGGGAACCTAGGGTCAAAAACAGGCAAAGGCTGCGTCTTTGGTCCCAAGATTTCTTAACAGAAATGGTTTAGTTCTTGGAATTACATAAAATGACTTTTCTCCGTACACTGACAACTTCTTCTTCTTCTTTTTTTTTTTTCTTTCTCTTTTTTGCACTGAGGATTCGACCTTTTTAAACTTTTCAGACGAGTTCTTACACATTTGCCCGTACTGGCCTTGGCAGTCCTCTTTCACAACCTCTCGAGTAGCTGAGATTACAAATGAACACCGCCGCGCCGGCTTCTGAAAAGTTTTTAGCCTGAATGAAAACAAGACAAAGTCAAAACTGCGAGGTAATTCAGTTTGTCACACACGAAGAGAAAAACCAAATGTTTCCCAACAATAGCAGGATGCCTCCTAGTGGCCATCGTGAAGATATTTATTGACTCACTGCAAACCACAACTTGCACAGCACCCAGGAGGATGGATAAAAACCCCGGGCCCCTGTCCACACACAACTCATTTGCCAAACTGTTTTTTATAAAGCTCTGCACTTTAAGAGTTTCACTCCAGGCTGGGGATTTAGCTCAGTGTCTTCCCAGCAAGTGTGAGATTGTGAGTTTGATCCCTGGTACCATCTCCCAAAGAAGTTTTACTTAAGTTGCCTTAATTTGAAGAAAAAAAACAAAAAAAACCCCTGCTGATTGCAATTTTAAGATTTTGGTAATTGCTTTAAAAATAAATTGAAAAATAGAATAGAAGCATAGCCCCTCCCTCTGAGCCGGGAGCTACACACACTCTGATGGAACATAAGGGATTTCTTGTCCACTCACATTTGATCCTTCAAATCTTTGACCATTTTGAGGACAGACATACCCCTCCTCAAGACAATGAGGTAGGAGAAAACTACAACAGACTTTTTTGCCCAGGGTACATTCATCAAATGGACAGATATGTATGAAGCTCTCTGCTCTTGAGGCTCCCTTCTAACCCTCCAAACACATACTAGGGATCTTCCAGCATTGAAAACCTGCAAGAAAGACTGCAGAAATTACAGGTGACCTGGGCCCAGACAGCTGGGTGGGCCTTTCTTTTTCTTACTTTTCCTCGTCTGCAGGCTGCCTCCATGCCTGCTAGTAGGTGCCATCTCCTGTGGGTCTCAAGGTTGTGTCCTTGGGCTGTTAGTCTTCACTATGTGTACCAAAGAGGGATCCCAGCTCTTGTAAGGCTCCTGAGACCTGCAGCATGTGCCAGTTCTCCCAAAAGGTGGTAGTTCAGGGGAGACATGATGCCTGCTGGGCTCAGGACTGTAGTGATCTAGGTCAGAACCCAAAGCTTGTACCTATGACTGAGTAGCTCATCTGCTAACCCAAAGTCATAGCCACCTGGTGTGCCAGCCCACCAGAATCCTCTGCTGATCCCCCCTATCATCCCCAGCATGCCCTCATGGTGGTGTGGCTGGCCTTGGAGTGGACAAGGTAGTGGCCAGGGGCCAATAGCTCAGGCAATAGAGTAGCCCTGGATCTTGCCCTTCCCTAGGAAATCCTGTGTCCCCCACACCTGCAGCACCAGAGCTGTGGCCTCTGAGTCATCGCTGCTGTAGGCTTTGGTAGGGGTTCCACCACTTGTTGCTCTCCTGTGCCTGTCCCCAAACCCCACCCTGATGACATCAGGGATCCCTCTTCTTCAACAGCTTCAGACTGGTATGGAGGGCTCACCAGTGACTCATTAACATTTCTGACATTCGAACTGTTAGTATTGGGGGCAACAGTCCCCCTGCTCATGGGACCTGAGCCCCCCTCACCTTAGGGCCTCTTGTCCAGGATGGGACCCCTGGATCAGGGTCCCCCAGGCATTCCCACCTCACCATACTCACCTCCAGGACGGATCACATTCTTGTCTTAAAAGATGCAGAAAATACTTTTTCACAAAGCTTTTGCACTTCCAATTTGCTCATGTCAAGAGTTTCCATTGTACCACACTGACTTCTCTCCCTGGCTCTGGACTGGGGACCTGACCACTGTCACAGTGGAAAAAGCTCTATTCCTGAGTGGTGATGGGCCAGGCTTAGTGTCCCTGGCTGCACAGCCCAAACCTAGACACCCTATTTCCCAGAGGTCACATGGTCATCTCATAAACACCTTTGTCCTGAGAGCTTCAAGGACTGGACACCTGATGTGGCCATGGAGTTCAACAGCCCTTCTGCTACCCAGGATCTGCTGGGCCGGTCTGACTGCAGTCTTGATGACATCCCTGCCACTGTGTTCTACAAGCCCGGGTCTCAGAGTAGAAACAACCACAGAAGCTGGCTGCTGGCCCCTGTGACAGCTGTCCTTGTGGTCTCCTCACTGGGCCAAGATCCTCCCAGCCCTCCCCCTGGCCACATGGGGGCACAGCCTTGTCACTTTTCTGGTCTCAGTCACAGCAACCATATCCAAACCTTTCTCCTATCCAGGTACACACTGGAAAGCTCACGGTGATCTCAGGAAGTAGCCTCAGGCATCAGGCTCTCATAGAACTGTGGAGCCACAGCACAATGCCCTGTCACATCATCGTCACACATACATCACGAATGCAAAACACTTAGCTTGTGGCAGTGCCACCTTGGATACAGGGCCTGCCAGGCAATGCTCATCAGGGTCTCTGAAAACAGTGGCAGGCAGGCTCTCAGGAAAGCTCCCTCAGTGCACATGCAGACGTACACACACACACACACACACACACACACACACACACACACACACACAGAGTACTGGCACACACCCTGCACAGAGAAACAGACAGCTCCTTTTAACCCTGCCAAAGTAGCCACAGTGAAAGGCAAGGCTTTGCCAGCAGTGGTAGCCACTGATTTGCCATGGAGCTGAGGGTGCCAAGTGGGGACCAACGGAACAAGAATGGTTATGGTGATGGCCCTGGAATGCCAGCTGGCTGTCCTCCAAGGGCCAGCCCCTGCCCCAATCCAGAGAGTGAGTCACGGGCCCCAGAAACAGGGCCGTTCCTGAAGAGAAAGCCAGGCACTGTGCATGCAGCCTGCTGCCTCTTCCACACGCACAGGTTCATCTGAACCTTCGCACCACCTGTCCTCAGCTGCAAGGTCGCAATGAGGAGTAAAGCATTCCATGAGACCACGGGCTGGGTTTACATCTGATTTACTGTGTTTTGGAGTCTCGTTCATTAGTGGGGAGAGGCAAGCTGGGCTCCGGCAGCAGCAGGTGATCCTGGAGGCACAGGCCCTGTCCCAGATGACAGGAGGTGACAAATGAATGTAACCCCTTGGGGTCGGACAAGTCGAGGTGGCTGCAGTGGTCCCCATCCCCCAATTTGTCTGTGACCCTGTGAGTGCTGGCCTTAGAGCCTGGCGATAGCAGGAGCGGGAGGCTCTTGTCCCCAAGGTCCTGAATGCCAGACTCCAGTCCTAACCCTCTGCACCTAGAGGCTGCGAGTGAGGCCGGGCCAGGTCGCGCAGGTCCTCCAGGCAGCCAGGAGCCTGGCAAAGCCCCCTGCCCTCCTTTCCTTCAGGAAGCTTTCTGGGCCCCGACCGGTGCCAGCTTCTCCTCCACCTCCGGTCCATTTTCTCTCCACACGGGACTCTGGTGGCCCCTGCCTCTCGCGGGCCCGCTTTCCACTGCGGGGGCGGCTGCAACCTCCTCTCCGGGCGGGGGCGACCAGGCCTGTGGTTCTCAGCCCGCTCTCAGCGCCCTGTCCGTGTCTCCCTGGCGGCGGCCAGGAGGCCCACGCGTGCCCGTGGCTCCGGAGGTCCCGTCGGGCTCAGGGCTGGGGGTGCGGGCCCCGGGGGGCGTGGAGCACGGCTGCGCTCGCCAGAGGGCGTGCAGGCCTTGGCAGACAGCGCCCTCTCGCGGCCGGAGCGGAAGACGGCGGTAACGGTCACCAGGTAGGCGGTGCCGGGCGCCAGGCCCTGTAGCGTGGTGCTGTTCTGGCCGGCCGGCACCTCCAAACGCTGCGCCGCGCCGCCCCGCAGCGGCCCGAACTGCACGGTGTAGCCCAGCACGGTGGCCGGGCCGAGCGCTGGGGCCCAGCTCACACGGAGGCTGCGCGGCCGGACGTGCGAGATGACCAGGCGCTCGGGCCCGGCCTCGCCTGTGGGAAGAGGGTGGTCAGCCGGAGCTCGGGGACCCGCGCCCACCCGGCCTGTGCCCCGCGCCTCACCCGGCGCCTCACCTGGCAACGTGCGCACCCGCACGTGCTGCGGCCGCAGCAGGCGCACGTTGGACTCAGGCAGCAGCGACATCTCGTAGTCCATGTCTGGCTTGAGCCCTGCCCAGGTCCAGCCCGTGGCATCGCCGGGCAGCTGCTGACGACGGGCGGCCCCCAAGCCGTCGCTGGGTGCCAGTTCCAGCACGTAGTAGCCTGAGTCCGCGGTCAGCAGCGCTGGCCAGGCCAGGCGGACACTACTGGGGGTGACCTCGGAGGCATGGAACTGCTGCGGCTGCAATGCATCTGCGGAGGATGTGGGAGTCAGGGGACCAAAATCGCCTCCTCCCAGCTAGGGGGTGGCCCTGGCTGACCTAGGGAAGACAGTGAGATTGGAGGTACGCCAGGAGATCAGGTGGGGTCATTGGCCAAGGATAAGGAAGAGCAATGCCATGATGGACACGCTGTGAGTTGCAGCCCCAACCCAGACCCCATTAGGATCTTCCGTGCCTCTCAGCCCAGAACCCAGACTGGTGGGGAAGATGGTAGTGGCCACTTCGCACCCAGACCAGCAGCCTGGATGAAGGTGCCTCAAAGGTAGCAGAATCCATGGTGGTGTCTGGTCAACGGCCAAGGTCTGGAATCCTCCAAGCTCTAGACAGTCAGGCAAAGGGGGCCCAGAGGTGCAATCAAGAGATGAAAGAGACCCTGGGGTGAGTGACAATCCCTGAAGTAGCAGGGGTTTGGGTGCTACCTGGCCAGGTTGCCAGGTGGTAGTGTAGGCAGACGAAAGTGGGCCCCTGAACCTGTGATGACAGACGTCACATGGCTACTTCAGGCTGGCCAGTTTCTGGGCCGAGTCCCACCTATCCAGGTCACAAACAGGTCCTCTTTGCTAATGCTGGGCACCAGGGGTGCTTATCCCCCCATTCAGACTCTGCCTGGGCCTAGGAGCCTCACCCACTGACTACCTCCTTCTCAAGGAGGTAGTAGATAGTAGGCTCAGCTGTGCCTGGTAGTGTCACTGGGGTCAGATGTCCCCCAGACTGATTTGTGGGAGGGCCCTCCATCCCTTTCCAGTCCACAAACCAACCCTTTGCAGCTCAGGGTGGATGATTAACCCACCAGCTGCCAGCCCTTTTGTCTCCAGCCTTGCCCCCTGGAGGCATGACTGGGGGCAGGCCTCAGGGAAAAGCCAGTGGGTGGTGCCCAGCCCTGTAGCAGTATAAGGGGCCTCACCACCCCAAGGCCTGAGCCCTGGGAGGGGCAGTCCTTGACCTCTCTGGCTGTTCCCTTCCCAGGTGTGAGGTGACAGAGGCAGGGTCTCAACCAGGGCATCTCCTTCCCTATCCTCACCGCTCTATAGTTTTGACCCACATCTGATATTGGGGTTGGCCCAGTGCCTCTATCTGGAAGTGGCCACTCAGGCCTGGCCCTGTCTCTGCACAGCCCAGGTGGCATCCAGCTGAGGGCATTTGTGGCCAACACATGGACACTGTGACCCACTGTACCCTTGGGCACAGGTACATGAGCCCCCCTGAAGTGTCAATCCAGGCTGGTCCTGCATCCCCCACCTACCGAGGATGGAGCTTCGAAGCTGCTGGGCAATGATGTGCAGGTCATCCACATCCACAAAGTGCAAGTGCTTCTCTGCAGGGGCCGAGGCAGCAGCTGACAGCTCCAGCAGGTTGCCCCTGCCAGTGCTGACGATGAAGACCGTGACACCCAGGTCCTTGAGCTCTTGCATGGGGGGCCCCACAGGGTCACTGGAGCCCCCATCTGTCACCCACACCAGTACCTTGGGCACTCCTGGCCGGGCACCAGCAGCCTCAGCAAACAGCTGGTCTTTAGCAAATGCCAGTGCCAGGCCAGTGTTGGTGTCACCCATTCGCTGGGCCGAGGCACGAATGGCATCCTGCACAGCCTGTCCCGAGTTGTGCTGGTTGAAGGGGAACTCAGAGTGTGGCAGGCTGCCTACGTGCACCAGGCTGGTCCGCAGGGCCCCTGGGCCCACAGGCAGAGGAGCCACCAGCTGTCCCACAAACTCTCGGACCCTGGAGAACTCGTAGTGTGACACGCTGGCTGAGCTGTCCAGCAGGAACAACAGATCCCCTTGAGGGGCTGATGCTGGGGGGCCTGGGGAAAAGACAAGTTTTAGTCCCAGGTTGGGGTCCCAGATATACCCATACCTAGGGCAGAATCCTCAGGGCCTGGGCTTTCCTGAAGCAGCACTTGCCCTCCCCAGGATCATGGGGTGGTACCCCAGGGGACAAGGGTTCTGAGCCAAAAACCAGACCCACATTCTCCCTGCTCTAGCTGTGCACATAGTTTGTGTGATGAAGGCACCCAGGCTGACTCTGTCCCATTTGTGGAAGGGGCACTAGCCCTCTAAATACTGAGCAGATGTGCAAGCAGCAAGGCCTTCGTGGGTAGCCCGTCTGGGCCCTGTTCCCTCAGGCTGCACTTTAGAGATGCCTTCAAGCTAGGTTTTACTCTCTCAGCTCAGGGAGGGTGCTAGTAGGGGTGCAAGAATGGGGGAGGCGGAGCACTGAGTACAGCTCCCCCAGCCCAGATGGCTGGCTGGAATCCTGACCCCACTTATGGATGATGTCACCCTACTCTGGACCTCAGAAGCACAATGCACCACCCCCAGCAGCCTAGAGCCCCCTTTCCTTCCCGAAGCCTTTGCTACCGAGCCAGCGCCACCTGGCCTTGGGAATTCCCCCATTCGGTAGGCCAATTTCGGTCCTTCCACCACCGCTCTTCTAAGGACCCTTCCAAAGGCAGGGAAACTGAGGCAGGGCAGCCTCCTTGACAGACACCGCCGTCTAGGCATCCAGGCCCGCTCAGCTGTGCACCTGAGTGCACCCACCCGGATCCCGCGGCCTGCGCACCCATCCACCCAGCGGTCCCCAGGACAGTGGCCGTCTCCCGTGGGCAGTGGGACCGGGAGCCACGAGGCACTCACCGCGCTCCGCACCGCTACGCGCCAGAGTCAACCATAGCCCAAGGGCCAGGGTTAGCGCAGTCCAGGGCAGCATCGCGACGTGGGACCAGGCGCCTGGCCGCAGCTCTTCGCCTGCTTGCTCCTGGGCGGCGGGCTGCAGGCGGCAGCTGGGCCCGCCCCCGAGAACCCACGCCCATCCCACAGCCACGCCCACTTCCGAGCCACGCCCACTCGGGCCCGCCCGGGCGCGCGCACGCCTAGTACTCGAAGACGCCCACCTGCCCGGATTCCGCAGAGGCGCGCCCACTAACTGGCCCGCGTGTGTGATGGCGCATACGCCTGGGCGCCCACGCGCAGCATCTGTGTTTCCTTCCCTGGTTGTGAGGCCCTGGTGTCTCCCAGCCCTCTTAATCCCAGCCCGTTAGATCTGCCCACTTCAGAATCTCTGAAGCCGCGGCTGAGCGCCAGAGGATAAAGCGGTGGCGACGCCAGGAACACACCCCCCAGGGAAGCCCAGGTCCAGGCCACACAGTGGCCACAGGGCCAAAAAGGCAGGCTTAGGTGTTTCCAAGACCTGAGCGAAAGGGAATGGGAAAGCCCCTGGGTGGAGCTTAGGACACAGTACCCTGGGCTCCGCTTCGTAGACAATTTGGGAAGACTTAGCAAGGCACCTGGAGCTCCTGGAGGAAAACCCTCAGGAACAGAAGGGGAGGTCCTGGCCCTGTCCTCTCTGATCCTGATGGACTGGCCTGTTGCTGGCCTCTTCCACTATCCATCGAGGGGCTCAGGGCCAGGCCCATCAGGTCTCAGGGGCCCCGGGGGGACCACTGGTCAGCTGGAGCTGGGTCCTTTGACCTTGGTTAGGTCCAGACCAGAGCGGACTGGCTGCAAAGACACAGCCCTCGCGTTTCCTGGGCAGGAGCCCCATCCCCTGCCCTGCTAGAGCCCTTGGGGATGGGGGTAACCTTGGAGTTGGGGGAGAGGGGGCACATGCAGGATATCCCCTCCCTTCCCACCCTCTGCAGGAGGATGCTCAGTGGGGAGGACGGATGAGACTCAATGGTTTTCCTTCCTCCCTTTCTGGAAGGTGAGACACCATGGGGCCTTGAGAACGGCTGGAGTCTGCTTTGCCTAAAAAAGGAAGCAGCGTGGTGAAGCCTGAGAAGCTGCCGGCAGGAACAAGCGAGAACTGTGTCCCTTGCCGGGAATCTTGGCAGTGGATGCTGGCTGGACTCCACCGGACCCGGGCCTTAGCAGAAGAGGAGCCGCTTGGAGCTTCTGACTGACCCCTGGTGGGGGAGCCATGGGCCTGGCCCGGAGTCGGGTGCACCACCAGGGCTTTCCTCTGGCCCCCACCCTCCAGCAGAGTCAAGCTGCCAAGGAGCTAGGTACTATGCACCAAGGCCCTGGATGGGGTGGCGGCTCCGGGCTAGTGGAGGCACGCCCAGGTAGACAGGTTCCCTCCCTATCCCTGGCTGGAGAGCTGGGTCATGCTGACCCATCCCCTGGGGAAGCCACACTCACAGCACTTGGGCTCACAGTCACCTCGGTCAGCCCTGCTGCACTGACGGGGAAATTTCCCTGCCTTCTGGAAAAAGTGAGCGGGTCTTTCTGGCTGGGACTCAGGTGCTCAAGAAGCAACCACCCTCCTCCTTGCCGCCTAAACATCAAAGGAAGAAGGCACGGGAGGCCCAGCCTGCACCAAGCCTGGGACGAAATCCAGCTTTCCTTGCTGCTCGGCTTCGTGGGAGACCCACTCAGTCACCAGTTCAAGTCTTGTTCCTGTGTCCCACACTACCTGCCTCCCGTGCTGGCCCCAGACACAGGAGAAATTCGTACAAGTGAGAGGCCCAGGAGAGTGAGGGTCAGCAGGGTCATGGCCAGACCCAGGACTCAGCTTTCAGCTCGCACTGGGGAGGCATAGAAAGAGCTGTTGAAACCCCATTTCTGAAGGAAAATAGCAGCAGGGAGAGGCTCAGAGACTTGGACACAGGCAGGGACAGGTCAGGGCACACTCAGCAGCCTCCCCCAGGTAAAGCCTGTGCCTGGTCTTGGTGCCCAGCAGACTGAAGATGGAAAATGCAGCCCTGGAGGCTGCAGCCACCCTACCCAGCTTTGGCCCAGTCCCAAGAGTCCCTGTGCCTCCCAGCAGGCAGGTGGGAGGGTTTCCTGAGCCAGAGTCAAGGCTCTGGTAGGCGCCACCCCGCCCCCACGGAGGTCCTCGGGAATGCTCCCTCCCCCACTCAGCCCCAGCTTCTGGAGAAGAAGGGCCTTTTGTCCCCAGCTCACTGTAGTCATGTTTGACCCCATGGAAAAGGGCAGCTCCTGGGGCCTCTGACCCCAGTGGAGGGCAGAACAGTGTGGGCCTTGACCCTCGGCCTTTGGCTGCTGTTTGTCATGCTGTGTCCCACACACAACCCACTCATGTACTCAGACATGGAAGCAGCTGCTGGACAGGAGAGACCTGGCCAGGGGTATGTGGTAAGCACAGGCCCTGTGATACCACCCCAGTACTCTGGACTGGGGAGAGGGGGCCAGGGACGGGAGGGGACACCAAGTGCAGCTGGGCCCAGCAACCACTTCCTGTTGCCTCCCTCCATTCCCCTAGGCTTGACTCTCCACTCTCGGTGTCAAGGCCTTGCCAGACAGGGCCCAAGGACTGTCCTGGAGACCTGGCTCACCTCCAGGAACCTGAGCTGACTCCAGTCCAGTTCCTCTGCAGCTGGGGTGGCAGGATGAGTAGCCCAACTAGGGCCACCACATCCATGCATCACACTGGTCTCTGCACTGGGGACTCAAGGCACACACAGGCAGAGCCAAGCACAGTGTTGCAGAGAGGCGTGGCTGCTTTCCCTATGCAGGTGGGGGCCTGTGAGGCCTAGGGCAGCAGGGACTTCAGGGCAGGAGAAAGGACAGGGCTGGCTGTAGGGCTTCAAGTGCAGGGCAGGAGTGGGATTCTGAGGGAGGAAACAAGGGCAGAGGTGCCTTACACCCCCAACCCTGGGCTTTGAGGGAGATGCGTAGGTAAACAGCCACAAAGCCAGGCATGTTAGCATATGCCTGCAATCCCAGTATTAAGGCAGGAGGATCCCAAATCTGAGCACAGCTTGATCAGTTAGGGACTTCTTGAGCCCCCATATCAAAATAAGAATTACAAAGAGGCTGGGATTATAGCTCAGTGGGAAGGCTCTGGATTCAATCCCCAGTACTGAGGGGGGAAAAAAAAAGTCATCAGAGATAGGACAGGGGCTCGGAGTTTGAGAGGTAAGACACAGAAACTGCCTAGCAATGGTGTGTCTTCCTGAGGGGGCCCTGCCTCTCTCCAGAAAGGGTCCAGGCAGGCTCAGGCAGGTGCCCTGGGCAGGCCCTAACACCCAGAGGCCTGCTGGGAAGGTCACAGTGGAGAAGACAGCCCTGTGTCAACACCAGGAGGAGGAGACCAACCAGGGGCAGGGACTGGGCTCTCAGGGCCAGCCCTAGCCCATCCCCTGGTTCGGCCCTGCCCACACCCCTGCCTGGCCTCCAGCCTAGCTAGGGCAGGGCCTGATGAGTGCTCACACTTGGGGCCGCAGGGACAGTGTGGAAAGCAGGTCCCTTTCCTTCAGCTATTGGCTGTGCAGGGTACACCTGCGCGAACTTTGTTAACAAACACACAGTCTTAGGCAAGATGGGGACCTCACCATGCTAAGTCTCTTTACTTGTAGAGGACAACAACCCTGCCCAGGGGAGGCTGGGAAGAAGCTGACTAGACCGCCACACACACCCAGCTTCTCCTCACCCAGGCTCAGCCACCAGGGAAGCACTGTGTTCTCAGCCTCTTCCTCAGTGGGGCCTCAGAATTCTGAGGAGCTGACGGTGGGCCAGTACAGGGTGGCAGCTCATAGCCTGGGAAAAGGGAGGCCACCTTAGCCCTTTGGGCTGAGAAGGGCTCCTGGGGAGGCAGTCATCAGGCTGCCTGGACCTGGCCCTCAAGGTCATGAAGGCAGAATACAGAGCTCAAGTTGGGTACAAGTTGGGGAGTGAGACTTGTGGAACCCAGGTGGGGTCCTGTTCAGGTGGGGGAAGGAGAGTGGTGAACATCAGCAACTACTTCAGGTTTGGGGGGTCTTGGGGCTTGGAGGGCTGGATCCCTGCCTTCATGACCGTCATCCCCTCCTATCTTTTCCCAGCTGCCCAGATGACCACCTAAGGCCCTGGAGAGGCCACTTTTGGGAAGTGCCTGGGTCCTCCTGTCCCCCAGGCCCACGTCTTGTGTTTGGGGCACTGGTGGACCAGCTGCAGCCTGCAGCACACAGCTGACCCAAATTTGCTCCCCAGGACAAAACTCAGACATCAGGCCCTCTGTGGGGCCTGTAGGGCTCCTCTTTTTGTCTACTTCTGGGGGCTCAAACCCAGGGCCTCTGCTTCAGTGTGCTCTGCCATGAGTCTATAGCTGTAACCCCACAGTGGTCCTGACATAGAAAACAATGTAGGACCTCCAAGTATGATAGAAGGGAACTATTATAGCCTGCTAGATGTCTGATACATGGAGTCTGAGTTTCCCAAAATCAAAGAATGAGTCTAAGGAACATCAGAGGTAAGGATTAGGAAATATTTACTGAGAGGGAGGGAGAGCATCGGAGAGGCAGGAGGGGCCCCAAGTGGGTCTGCAAGGAGCCCACTTCTCAGGGGAAGTTTAATACAGCACAACCACATGGGTACAACGTGGGTTATAGCTGTGACCAACCAATAAGATTACATGTGTAGCTGCTTAGGTAATAGTGATCCAATGGGGAAGCAAGTCATGTAGCAAGTCCCCATGGAAAGAACAAGGAACTCTTCAGGAAGGGATGAGTCCAAGGGTCTTGGTCACCCACCTATGTCTATCTAGGCTTCATTAGACCAGCAGTTACCATTTATCTCAAGGCCTGGCCTCCAACAGATGTGCCTCCAGCATGGTTTTAATAAGTGTTCATCCTTTCCCTAACTCTCTTGAGGACCCAGCTCTTGCTGACTGCCTGTAATATTTCTAATGAACTTAGAAGTTTAATCCTTGGGGTTTTTTAAATTTTTGAGACAGGCTTTTGCTGTGTAGGCCAGGCAAGGCTGGAACTTGCCATACAGCCCAGGTGCCTTTAAAGGATCACCCTGCCTCAGCCTGTTAAGTATGGTTATGATCCAGGCTTGTGCTGCCACACAAGACTCTTACAATGGTCCACTGAAAGCAGGTCTGCACACTGGGGTGAGGAAGGTAATCCCACTTGTCTCTATTAGAGGTCCCCAGGGCCAGCTGGAGGCTGTCTGGGGCCCTAACAGACCTAGCAAGCTGGGAAACCCCTTTCTCAAACCAGCCACCTCAGGCAGCCAGCTGCCAGGGCAGAACTCAAGGTTCAGCTTGCAGCCTGGAGCTCCCACTCACCTCCCCACCCCCACCAAACCCAGCTGTTGTTTTGACAACCATGGGGCCAGGCAGACTCGGCCAAGGGCTTCCCAGGGGAGCCCTCATCCTGAACTCCTGGTTGCAGCCAGAGCCTGTCCAGCCTGTGGCAGGAAGGGAAGGAAGGTGGCCAGGGCCCAAGGGAAGCCCTCCTAGGTGGCTTGGCGACTGGCTGGCTCCGTCTGCTCAGGAAAAGCATCAAAGCTGGACACAGATGAAGGTTGGAAAACCCCCAGACACCCACTGGACCTCACCCAGCTACACACTGGTCTCTGCTTGAGGCCACAGAACGTGCGTGACCTTGGTCACAGGCAGAACCCCGACCCTGCAAGTCACAGGCTGAGCCCTGCTGGCAACATGCTGTGTGGTGTCATTTAAAAGGCCTTTTAGCCACAGCTAGGTTCTTCTGGGTGAATTACACTAATCACACATTTTGAACACACGCTGGGCTTATATGAAAGTAAATATCTCAAAGCCCTCCTGTTACATTAAACACTACAAGAAATGAACTCTAGACGTGGTGGCACATGCCTGTAACCCCAACTACTTGGGAGACTGAAGTAGGATGATCACAAGTTTGATGCCAGCTAACACAGATGAGGCCTTAGAATTCCTGCCCCACCATCCCAAAATAATTGCCAACCTTCAAAGAAACACTGCACTATTTCACCCTACATAGTGTGTTTAAGGCCAGCCTGAACTACATAGCAAGATCCAATCTCAAAAAAAAAACAACAAACAAAAAAATCAGAGTTGGTATCCAAAAAGTGAGCATGCACAGAGATCATCAGAATCTATCAGCTCAGGTCCATGGATTTAGCTCAGTGGCACAGCATTTGTCTGGCAAACACAAGCTCCTGAGTTCAATTCCTGGTATTCCCCCCCCCCCCATTTATCCAATAAATCTGAAAAAGGACCAAACATAATTTTTAGATATAATAGAAAATTTAAATGGCAGATTAGATATAAGGAACAAATTCTAGTAAACTGGGAGAAGACCTGAAGGAATTGCCTAGAATGCTGCCCAGAAACAGAACACACACAAAAGACTAATTTGACAAGGGAAAAAAGAGGAAACAGTTGGTGCTGGGGATTTAGCTCAGCGGCATAAGCGCCTGCCTTGCAAGCAGGCAGTGGTGAGTTCGATCCCCCGTACCGATAAAAAGGAAAAAGACAAAAAAAAAAAAGAGGAAACAGTGAAAGAATGTAAAGTGAATGGGAGGCAAAACTGAAGAGACCGACTGAGAACTGGGAATGCTTCATAACTGCTGGAAGACATGAATCGGCAGAAACAGAAAATACAATCATGTATACCACACAGGATCATCAAGAACATGCCCAAGGTGGGAACAGTGGCTCACACTCTGAAGATGGGGAGGGCACCAAAGATCAAGGCCAGTCTGGGGAATTTCGCAAGATCTTGACTCAAAAGAAAGAAGATCTGGGAGCTGGAAGTGATGGTGCTGGCCTGTAACACCAGCACTCTGGAAGGCTGAGGCAGGAAGCCTGACTGCAAATCTGAACCCACCCTGGGCAATTTAGAGACTTATGAGACCCCCCAAAAAACCAAACCAAAATAAAGTAGGAAAGTAGCCCACCTGCCTACTCATCTGAGGTCCTAAGCTCAATTCTAGTAACGGGGAAAAACATATCCACACCTAGAAACATGCTAGTTAAACTGTAAACTGCCAAAGACAAAGAGAGATCTTAAAATTACTCAGAAAAATAGACTAAGCTCTTACTTCAGCTCGCAGGCATTGGGAGCCCTGCCACAGTGAGTCCTGATTCGGGCTGGGGCTGGCCGCGGCCCTGGACAGGCCCTGAAACCATGGTGGCCTTTGGTGACCCAATGCGTCCCAAGCAGGGACCCGGAGAGCGAGGCGGGAGGGCCGATCCAGGTCACAGGAGTCCGGTGCCACCTGGTGGTCACCCGGGTACTGCACGTTTGCAGCCTCCAGGCCAACACCGCCCCGCTTCCGACCTAGGACCACTTTGTGGAGATCACACAGGGGAACTCGGGGTCCTCCCGGGCGTCACACACAGGCGCAGAGGTGCTCTTCACTGTTGGAGTGGAGTTCGGGGGTCCGTGCGGAGGGCAACAGCAGTGGGCGGAGGCGCCGCATCAGGTGGGCGCGGGCGGCCGAGGCGACCACGAGCAGCGGTGGCAGTAAGAGGAAGCCGAACACGATGAGCGCCGCGGAACCGCGGTCCGAGAGGAGCGCGCGGCAATGGGGGCCGGGAGCCGGGTGGACCTGCGGGCGGGAGGGCGGTCAGGGGGGCGGGGACATATGGGCGATGGGCGGAGTCGAGAGAAAAAGAGGTGGGGCAGGAGGAGGGATGGGCGGGCCCCTAGCAGCCCAGTAGGATGTGGGCGCGGAGCACTAGACCAGGGCAGTTGGAGGACTGGAGAGGGAAGGAGGCGTATCCGTGCGGGAAGTGAGCGGGAGAGAGGACGGGGGGGGGGGGGGCGGGCAAGAGCGGAGATGGGCGGGGCATGGCGATGGACCTGAACGTGACCAATGCGATGCGAGGGTAGGGCCTAAAGCCAGGCACGCAGGACGCAGGATGGGGAGGGGTGGCGCGGGGCCTTGGTGAAGAGTGGAGCAAGGGGCGGGGCAGGAGGGAAGGAACCGCGGTATGGACCCGGTTGATACGCAGAGCGCAGGCTCCGGGGTTGGCCCGCGTGGGGCCGGGCCATGCAAAGAATGGTGGATATTAGGCAGAGATGGAAAAAGGAGCCTGTGGAGGCCCCCTAAGATGATCAAAGAATCATTTTCACTTCCTCCTATCCCCATTTTCCTACTATTTTTTTTTTTTCATTTTCCTACTATTTGCCCTCCATTCTGTGGTTGTTCCTCGTCTTGGCACTCACCTTGAGCCCCTGACCTGCTGTAAGCAGCCAGCGCCACCTTGTCCCCATACTGCCCCATGCTTCGTAGAGGGCAGGCAGGATCCATCCATGGGCACCTTCCCTGTCCCTGACCATGCTAAAACCCACTGCACAGCTAGGGAAGCCAGCAGGAGCAGAAAGGCTCTGGGAAGGCTGTGTGTGTTGTAAAGACTCCTGCAATTTGGCAATAACTTTGCCTCCTCCTGGCACTCCTCCCCTCTCCTCCCCATCCTGCTGTCCAGCCCTGGTGGCCCCTGGTACAGGGATGGGAGGCCTGGGGAGGGGAGGGGAGGGCGCTGTCCTGTGGGTAACACACAAAAGCCTTTCTTTGGTCTCAGCTAGGGGGTTGTGCAGGAGAAGAGGGTGTTCCAGGGGAGGGGCACGTGTGTCTCGGCACAAGGAGGCAGTGCTGGAAGGGGGCAGATCTTTTCCATCCTAGGGCTCTGAACCTCTTCAGGACCCCCACACCCCAGGGACCCCGCCCCTGGAGGCCTGAGCTCACCCTTGAGTGACACAAGAATCCCAAGTAGACCACAGCTGCTGCAGGCAGCAACACCAGCAGGAAGACTGTCCCGGGCAGCACCAAGTGAAGCAGGAGCCAGGCCACAGCCTGGCCTAACAGCAGCAGGGTCCGGAGGCTTCTGGTAGCCAGGCCTGGCAGCTGTATGTAGGTCTTGGCCGAGGTCCGGTGATCAGCAGGCCTTCGGGGCAGCATGGGTGCTGTATCTGAGGTGCCCCAGCCCTCATCTTCTGTCTCCCTTTCCTGATCACTCATGCTGTCCTGGCAGGGGTCTGTAGGCTCACAGTGGCAGTCAGGTGACAGGACCAGCACCCCTCTTTCCGTCTCATTAGAGACGCTTTAATCCATCCCAGGTTTGACACCCATCCAAATCCCAGAAGAAGACAGCAAATGCTGGCCCAAGTACATTCAGCCTTGATGGTCAATCTCCAGGGCCACACTCTGCCTCAGCCTTCCCTCTGCTAGGCTGAGCCACTGTCTGCCGGGTGACTGCTGAAGCTCCTGTGTGCTCTAGTTAGGCCTTGCACAGATGTGTCCTGGCCTGGCTAGACACTGGGCCCTCCTCCGTCCCTGCCCAGCCCTCTCCCCTTTCATTTCCTGCACAATGACTTCATTTCATAGATCTCAGGCCTGACAACTGCCCCATCACCAGTTGCCACCTAGAGGCCAGCAACCCACCTCGCTTCCCTGCCCCAGCCTCTGCTGGCCCCTCTTTAGCCTCCTCAGTGATGTAGGAAGACCCCAGGTACCCACTCCATAGGGGGGTTGAGGAGACAGAATGGGACGTGCAGGAAGGGCTCAGTGTGGATACCCAATAAACAGCAGCTATGATGACAGACATCTTTTGTGACAAAACTCAATGAAGAGGGTGGGAGTATATCCTATGTCCGTGAGAGGACAAGAAAACTCCGCCCATCATTACTAGAGACCCTGCACACCTAATAGTTTTGCAGGACATGCAGCATTTCAGCTGTTTAAGGGACTGCCATCTAGTGAGTAGGTGGGCTGTGAGCCGGCCAGCTTCCCTGAGATTCCTTCTCATGCAGCCAGCTTCGTCACTTCTAATTTGTTTCTGACATTTTCCAGCCCTTTCCAGTTTGCAGACATCCTTCAGACCCATGTAAATGGGGGACAGTGACAGTGCTGACAGCCTGTGATATATCCCTGTCAGGAGAGGAGGTGAGGGTTCCCCTGCCCTGATGCAAGGGCATCTTAATTGTTTTTGCTGGCACACACATGCCAAGTTGTGACAGTGCCTTTTGTATACTTGGATAGTGAATTTGGGACTAAAGAATGTTGCAAAGGTTGTCTTTACTGTAAACCTGTTTTCTCAAATCCTTCCTTCCTGCATTCATTCAACCAACACTTATCAAATGTTACTGTGTATGTCTCAGGCCATTTTCATAACTAAATTCCTGAGAAGGGGAAATCTGTAAAGAAAAAAAATATGTTTGGCTCCTATTCCTAGTGTTCAGGAAGCCCAAGAGCATGGTATTGGTGATATAGGCGAAAGAAATTCCCAACTCACTGGATGTCTAGCATGCGTTTGTGTTCTCCAAAATCGAAGAATGAATCCTAGGAACAACTGAGATTATCAGCAGAATATATTTCTTGGGGAAAGAAAGTTTCTGTCTGAGGGCTGGGGATTTAGCTCAGTTGCATAAATATCTGCCTCGCAAGTACAAGATTGTGAATTCAATCCCTGGAATAAGAAAGAAAACAAACAAAAAAAGAGTTTCTGTCTGACAGAGACAGAAGGGAGTTGCCAAGGATCCTGCTTTTTCTAGGGATTTCTATAGAGCAAAACCATGCGGTTCATGTGGGTCCAAGGAGGGGGGAAAATAGGACATTTCAAGGTGGGCAGGAGATGGGAGAAAACTATGGCCAACCAATAAGAATACCAGCATGACTGCTCAGATAATATTGATTGAAAGAGGATCAAATAGGGAGTGAGTTACATAACCAATGGGCATGAAGCCAGACAGGGGCTTTTCCTGGAGTGGGTGGGCCAGGGGCTCTTCCTGGCTTTCCAGAGGTGATGGATACCTATCAGAAATCAATCACCCACCGTTGTTCATCCTCAGGGAAAGTCTATGGGTACATTCCTATCATCTTTTGTTTTGAGGTCTGGTGCTCAGCACAGGTCTCCTCCAAGGCTGCAGCGGACCCCATCCATCTTCTGCACTGGCTCCTTCCAGGGCTGGACCCACCTGACTGGGAACAGTATCTCCGCTTAACTCAAGTGTGTGCAACACCAGCATTGGGGGAGGGCCACCCTGTTGGGGGTGTCCATATTCAGGCCACCACTCAGGTGCCTTTTTCTCTTCCTGCGAAGCCACTGATGCCCTCAGGACCCAGCCCTTGGTACCTCCACTGACCTAATTAGCTCCCAAGGCCCCAGCTTGCAAAGACCATCAGCGGAGGACTTCAGAGCTGAGATTGCAGTGCTGGAGCTGCCTCATTCTGGGAGCTTCTCTAGGCTCTGTAGCTTCAAATGAAGTCCTGGTTATGGATCCCCAGGGGCAGCTGCCACCTCCTCCCCAGTGGGGGCCAGGAGCAGTCAGGCATGGAGGAGCTGGCGGGTAGTGCTGACAGCCTTCCCACTTCTGCCCACCCATCCTGGGGCACCTGTACCAGGGAGTGACTCCTTAGCAGCAAGGTCCCTGTCACTGTCCCTGTCCTGCATTTTAGGGTCGCTCTCTGGAGCAAGGGCTACGGTGCACTGAAACTGCCGCAGAGGGCCTGGGGATTTAGCTCAGCGGCATAAGCACCTGCCTTGCAAGCAGGCGGTAGTGAGTTGAGTTCAATCCCTGGTACCGATAAAAATGAAAAAGACAAAAGAAAAGAAAAGAAACTGCCACAGAATTCAAGAGGTCAGAGAGACCAGTGGGGAAAGAGGAGGCCTTTACTAGGCATGCACCTGGCTCAGCAGAGACTCCTGCCCAAAATGGCAGAGCATGGAATGAAGGGCAGGATCCAGTTTTACATTTGACCAAGGAGTTGGGTCTTCCTAGTGGAGAGAAACTTGGTGGAGATGCAAGCGAGGACACAGAAGCAAGACAAAGCAATTGAAAGCAATTAATAATTTACGCTTGAAATAAGAGAGAGACTTATGAGTTATAAACTTTGTTTTCAGGTCAGAGTTGTCAATTTTATCTGTACCAGAACAAGGAGTGACAGCCATCGGTGAGGGGATGGTATAACGGAGAATGTTCGAGGCGGGGAACATTTGTTTTTCTTTCTTTTTTTTTTTTTATTGGTACTGGGGATCGAACTCGTGACTGCCTGCTTGCAAGGCAGGCGCTTATGTCGCTGAGCTAAATCCCCAGCCCCTGTTTTTATTTTTTTTGAGACAGGGTTTTACTGTGTTATTCAGGCTGGCTTTAAACTCACTTTGTAGCTCAGTCTGGTCTCAATCTTGAAGCAGTCCTCCTGCTCTCAGTCCCCTGAGTGCTGGGATTACAGGCATGAGCCTCCACACTGGGACAAACTTGTTTTTCTTTAAACCCTGCTTCAAGATTACTGCTCCTGTTGCTTTTGACATTTGTGTAAATCCAGGCCCTGGTGCTTCCTAGCTGTCCAGCTCAAGCTGGGACCTCAGTGAGCATCCACTCTAGGAATAAAATCAGACATTTAAACTAAAAAAGATATTTTTTTTCAAAGAAGACTTTTGTGTCATGGTAGATGCTAAGGAAACAGAACAGGGTCAAAAGCTGGGTGTGGTGACACATTCCTGTAATCCCAGCACTTGGGTGTGGTGGCAACCCAAACACTAGGGAGGGTGAGGCAGGAGAATCACCCGGAATTCAAGGCCAGCCTGAACCACAGTGCAAAGCCCTGTTTTAAAACAAACACTGCCCCCAAAAATGAAAGAAAGAAAAAAACAACAGGGTTGGACACTGAGGCTACTTCAGCTTAGTGGCTGGGCTCCAAGGCTCCTGGTCTCTTGGGGGTTATGTCTGTGTGCCCTGGTCCACTGGGATCTTCTGCAATGGCTGGAAGCTAGAAGGGGTCCCTTGCCCGGAGCCCTTCCTCTGATGAAAGTCCTGGCAGAGGTTGTGTCCTGTTTGGGGCTGCTCCCTCGTGACCAGTCCTGGTCACTACAAGGGCGAGCTCAAGAGCTGGAAGCAGACCTTGTCCAGGCTCTTCGTGGCCCACTGGACCCTCCCTGTGCCAGGCCTTCCTCAGGGCCCCTTCTCACTTGCACACACAGGTGCTTAGCAGTGCATGTCCTGGGAAGGTTCCTGAGGCTCTCACCAGGCCACTTCCTTGTCCTGTGGGTCTGCCCAGACTAGCTCACCTGGAGGGACCACCCACCTCCTGCTCTACCCTGTGTCCAGGTGCTTAGCTTATGGGGTGCTTCATGGCAGGGAAAGTGGAATCTCACCCTGCTCCTTCCTCATGCTGGGGACCAGGAGATATGGGGGGGGGGGTTTCCAGCCCCAGGTAGTTTTAGTGTGTGTGTGTGTATGTGTGTGTCTGCGAGGCTGAGAAGCTGTCTGTAGAGTACAAGCATGTTCCTGCTTGCCCTTCCCCGCCTCCCTGTCGGGGCTGGGAGTCAGCAAGGGAGAAACCAGGAGCACCTGGCACACAGGGCCTCCCACTAAACTGCTGGGTACAGTGTCAGATGGCTCAGCTTGGTGGGCGGCAACAGCAGCCTGCTCTGCCCTCCCCTTGGCAGCTCCAGCTTTTAGAAACAGCACCACACCTCCCAGGAAGGTCACCAGGTAGTGCCTACGCCAGTCTGGTATGGAGAGAACAGAGCCACTGGGTCAGCTCCCTTCGTGGATAACTGGAAGCCAAACCCAGCAAGCCTAAGAGATGGCAGGGTCTCCTGGTGGGATGGGGCCTCCATGGCAGCTGGGGATCCCTAGCCTAGATGGGCCAGTGGCCTCTAGGGAGGCTACTGGTGCCTGCTCTTCCCAGAGGGATTCCAGCAGGCTGGAGCCTAGTGAGCAGGACCTGGCAGAGGCCCAGCAAGAGCTGCGATGGGTGGAACTGGGCTCCGAGGCTCCTGGACCCAGGAAAGAGAGACCCAGTGCCCCGCAGGGCTGGGGCCGCCTGCTCCAGGCGGTGTGGTGCGGTTCCCCAGGTCTGGTAATGCAGCTGCTGCGCCAAGGGGCCAGCGTGAACGAGAGGTGAGCGCGGGTCCCCACTTTGGGCGAGCTGGGTCCCCATTTCAGCGTGGGTTGCTCGGGGTCTCCTCTATGGACCCCTCCTGTCTGGGTCCTAGATCCATGCACTCCCGGGCTCCCCCGCAGGGACGGCGCGGGCCGCACCCCTCTGCATCTGGCTGTGCTGCGCGGCCACGCGCCCCTTGTGCACCTGCTGCTGCGACGCGGCGCGCGGCCGGACCTGACGGACGGCGCGGGGCGCACGCCGCTGCACGAGGCCGCCTGGCACGGGCACTCGCGCGTGGCCGAGCTGCTGCTGCGGCGCGGGGCCTCGGCGAGCGCGGCGGACGGCGCTGGGCTCGCGCCGCTGCACTGGGCCTGCGCGTTGGGCCGCGGGCCGCTAGCCGGCCTCCTGCTAGCCGCGTCAGGCACAAGCGACGAGCCCGCGGCGGATGCGCGCGGGTGGACGGCTGCGCACTGGGCGGCGGCGGGCGCGCGGCTGCCGATGCTGGAGCTGCTGGCGGCGCGCGGCGGTGCAGACCTGGACGGTGCCTTGCTGGTGGCGGCCGCGGCCGGGAGCACAAAGGCGCTGCGCCTGTTGTTGGCGCACGGGGCGCAGGCGGAAGGCGCGGGGTCCTCGGCACTCGGGCTGGCGGCCAGCCTGGGGTGCCTGGAGGTGCGTCTCCCGCGCAGCCGCCTCGGGGTCCTGGGCTCGGGTCCCCGGCGCGCCTCTCCCGTGCACAGGGTCTGGGCGGTCCCGATTCCCGCTTCTCTTTCCCCAGGTCATGGAGGTACTGCTTGCCCAGGGGGCCGACCCGGGCGTCCGGGACCGGCACGGCCGCTCCGCGCTCCACAGGGCTGCGGCTGGTGGACACCTACCCGCCGTCCGGCTGCTGGTGGCCTGGGGAGCCGCGGTGGACGCGCGGGACTCTCTGGGCTTCACACCGCTGCACCGCGCCGCGCGGGGCGGCCTCGCGGAGGTTGCAGGCCACCTCCTGGACAGTGGAGCACAGGTGAACGCTGCGGGCTGGCTCCGCAAGACCCCGTTGCACCTCGCCGCGGAACAGAGCCACAGCGTCACGATGGAGCTTTTGTTGAGCCGAGGAGCCAGCCCCACACTGAGGACGCAATGGGGTGAAATGGCCCAGACATCCACAGGGGACTGACCCAGGCGCCCCTTATCCTCGGGGCTTCTCTAGGAGAGGCTGAGTCCGAGCACCGGTAGCAGTCCTGAGAAATGCTGGCTTCTGTCTTCCGGGCGAGACTCCAGGGCTGCTTGGGGGCAAGGGGGCGGGCAATCTGCACAAAAATGCCTACAGGTTGGCGTCTTGGGGCTGTGGCTAGACCTGGGGTGACCCCTCAGCTCCTGGGAATGCAGAAGTTCCTGGTGTAACTCCCTTGGGCCAAGCCGAGTTCCCCAGCCACCCATCCAGAGCCAAAAACAGGCAACCAAGGCATCCCCTGCACACCTGGCACACTGGGATTGTTTTTTTTTTTTTTTTTTTTTTTTTTTTTTAATGTTTAAAGGGGGTAAAATTAAACACAACAAAACAACACAATAGGACATAAGAAAGCAATGTAAGAGATATAAATTTCAAAGCTAGACAACCTAAGATCTTCACTATGTATCATATTGTCTCTTGTTTTCTTCCAAATAGTTGTCCACATCTTCGCATATAGAGAATTCATACAAAACAACATAGGATAAAGCTGATCCGGGCTGGGGATTTAGCTCAGTGGCATAAGCGCCTGCCTGGCAAGTGTGAGGTCCTGAGTTCCATACTGGTACCACAAAAAAAAAAAAAAAAAATCACAGTCTTGTCTAGCTGCTAGGAAAGCTGCTGAGGTAATTAGATAAAACAAGTACCTTGGAGACTTCTTTGCCCCAGGGACCAGGGTAAAGTTCTTCAGGTCAGTTGTGCTTCTGTGCATCTTTAAAAGTGATCTCTAAAAAAAAAAAAAAAAAGTGATCTCTTTTGCAAGATAAAATGTGCCTGCTTTGTGATCTGTCTTTCTCACTCTTTTAAAGAATTAGAAAACAGCTGCTACTTTCTGCCTGCCCTACTGTGAACTGTTTCTCCTTTGGGATGCCATTCCACTTTGTCACCTTGGTTTGGAGCCAGCTGACAATACACTGAAACAGCTATAAAATATGAGTTAAAATAAGCCTTTCTTCCTTAAAAAAAATTAGAAAACAGTGGTTTAATGCTATGCAGTGCTCCCTTGTCTAACCATGGTTGCTAAACTTGTGATCAATTGTAGCTTGTGCTTATAAAAACCACCCATGGGAATAAGTATAGGTGGTCCCTGGAAAGATAAAATTAAGCACCTACTGGTGCATGCCAGGTATATATCCTACCTAGGGTGGATAGGTCAGCTGAATTTTATCTTCTGGTCTCCTCCGATGGCAACCACCTACTACTCTGGAGCATAATCAATTTGAGAGATTCCTTGAGGGTATGAAAAAAATCAAAGTTAAAGGAACACTGATTATTTCTTTTTGCATTTCAAAAATGAGAAACTGGGGGCTGGGGATTTAGCTCAGCAACATAAGTGCCTGCCTTGCAAGCAGGCAGTCGTGAGTTCGATTCCCAGTACCGATAAAAAGGAAAAAGACAAAACAAAAAAAAAAAAAGAGAGATATAATGGAGAGATATAATGTTACTCTTAAGTCAAACCAACTTCTAGTGAAAGACAAGGAGTATTATAAGCTGCTATTATATTTGAAAATGAATAGCATCTTAGTTTCAGAAAGTCAGAAGGTAGATGGTCAGGGCATCAACCAGTTCTCACTGAGGCCCAGCAGTCCCCACCCAAGACCCTACTGACCTAATGGCCAAACAGGAGATTAGAGCAAGAGACATTTTCAGACGTGTATTCTTGAAGGTCTAAGAAGGACAAAAACCAAACCCTCTAGTTATTTTAAATTGTCAAGATAAAGATGAGAACCCCTCTGCCTTTTAGATGTTTTACGAGAGATATTGGTAAGACATATGTCTATAGCCCTTGATCTGATAGATTTTTTTTCCTTTTTTTTTGTACCAGGGATCAAACTCACAACTTTGCACTTGCAAGGCAGGCACTTATGCTGCTGAGCTAAATCCCCATCCCCCCGATAGATTATTATTATTATTTATTTATTTTGGATTTTTTTTTTCCTTTTTATCGGTACCAGGGATCGAACTCACGACTGCCTGCTTGCAAGGCAGGTGCTTATGCCGCTGAGCTAAATCCCCAGCCCCACAATAGATTATTCTTAAAGACAATTTATTACCCAGTCAACCCTGGATATTAAGAACTCAACTCAGACAGCTCACTTGATACTTGAGTAAAAACTGCCTTCTCAGTATTCTATAATTGAGACCAGGAATAAGTCAAGAAGAGAACACAAAGAGGCTAAACAGTGACTACCTTTGTTTCAGCCTTAAAAGAACAGACCTAAGTCGATTCTAGGGGCTCCAAACAGAACTCAATGAGTAACTTAACTGCTACTGCTGCAGAAGGCCCGGCCACGTTAGAGGGACTGCGTCAGAGGCCCCCACTCCATGCTCTAACTGCAAAGGCGGCCACTGGAAGAGGGCCTCACTGTGAGGTGGAGGCCCACGGGCTGAGACATCTTCCCAGCTGGTCCCGCAGGACTAAAGGCCCCTATGGCACTCTGCCTTCTCCCTCTGGCTGGATTATCTCCACAGAGCAGCCCTGAGCATCATGACTATTGCTGGACACTGGCACATGTCTCTAGGTCCTTCTCTTCAATATGGGCTCCCTTCTAACCATCAGACCTCAGTGAAAGGAATCACTGGAGAAGAGGTAACTGACCATTTCTCAGTCCTTAGGCTGTGTTTTAGTTACTTGTTACTTGTCGCTGAGACAAACCACCTTATGCCCAAAGTTGGGAAAGGAAAGGTTTTTTTCTTACAGTTTTTGGAGGTTTCAGTCCATACTCAGCTGGCTCCAAGGCAGGGTGGCATGGCAGGGCCTCAGTTCAAGGAGGCTGCCAACAGCAAGGCAGAAAACTGGCAAGAGAGAACACACCTCCTTCCTGTCATTACATTACATGCTGGCTCCACCCCTAGATGGGTGGAGCACTGACACCATCAATCCAAGCTCTAGACAAGGAACCAGTTACAAATGTACAATGCAGGGCTGGGGATTTAGCTCAGCGGCATAAGCGCCTGCCTTGCAAGCAGGCAGTCGTGAGTTCAATCCCTGGTACCGATAAAAACGAAAAAGACCAAAAAGAAAAAAAAAAAAAAGAAAACAAATACAAATGTACAATGCAAATGCATGAGGCCTGGGGGCCAACAACATAAACCATGATAGCCTGTAACTCACATGACTTTCTGTTTACTTATTCATTTTTAATTATGCCTGAAATTCCAGTTTCCCTGCTGAGGAGAGATATTTTATCCTGTTTAAATACTGTAATACATGTAATCAGGCAGGTAACACCACTCACACCCTGGAGACAAAATAAATCCTAAGGTCTGGCCAGTCAATGGCAAAATAAAAAGAACAATAAGAGCTGCTTTGGGGCTGTCTCTTGCAGAGTGAGGTCCCATAGAAGTTGTTAGAAAAAGAAAAAAAAAAAGTCTAAATAGATAACAGCCGGACATGGTGGCTTGCAGGGCATGGTGGCTCATGCCTATAATCCCAGCACTTGGGAGGCTGAGGCAGGAGGATCCTTGCGAGTTCCAGACTAGCCTGGGCTACAAAGTGAGCTCAAGGCCTGCCCGAATTGCATAGAGACCCTGGCTCAAAAAAACAAAACAAAACAAAACAAAATAGATAACAAAAGGTAATAGAGGTTGGGGCTGGGGATTTAGCTCAGCGGCATAAGTGCCTGCCTTGCAAGCAGGCAGCCGTGAGTTCAATCCCTGGTACTGATAAAAACGAAAGAGACAAAAAAAAAAAAAAAAAAGGTAATAGAGGTGACTGAGCCAGAGGATGAATAAAAGAGGGCAAAGAGTTGCCAAACTTAAGACAAAATAAAATACAAAAAATATTGATTATAAGTAAAGATTTATAACTAAAGTTAAGTAGAGATTTTTATTCCTTCTAATATTTATTCCAAGAGATATCTGTTAGTTGGCCTAGAAATGTTCTGACTAGTCTTACATAAAAGATATTATAATTCAACTTGGCCAAATATATACAAATACACTTCTTTTTTTTTTTTTTTTGTTTTTTTTTTTTAATTTAAGGAGAAAAAGAAAAAAACAGAAAAAGGGTACAAGTAATACAAAATTTAAAAAATAAACAGTAAGAAATCACTAGTTAATAGATTACATATTCTCATCTTAGAAATAGTTGTTCAAGTTACAAAATTGAAGCATATAAAGTGGACTTTCAAACAGTGAGAGTGCAAACAGTTTTGTTCAATGATCCAAAAAAACTCAGTAATATGGTTATCTATCTTATACACTTAAATATATATGCAGTTATATCCTTTAGAGCAGTTTCTTTTCCTTTCTGTTGTACAATGACAATTACACACTTTGGGTTTTATTACTCCCACAGTTCTTATTACTTTTTTTGAAGAGAGTAAAACCAAATGCGACATATCAGAACAGAGTCAGTCAAATCAAAAGGATGGACATAATAGATAATGTAAAAACAAAATACAAGGTGATCAACAATGGTTACCATACTGCCTCTTGCTATTTTAAGAAGAATTGCCAGTTATAATAAAATTGAACAAAACAGTAAAGAATAAAACCAAAGCATTGGAGACATTGGAGACATTACAGGACTTTAAAAGAAGATAATACTCAACCGGAATGGGCGTCATAATGAATCTTATTGTCTTCACAGTTTTGCCTATACTTTCGAACTTGGTACTATCAAGCAATGCAGAATAGGGGAAAATCAGTCAAAACATGGTGAGGGCAATACAGGATTTAAAATCAAGTCAATAGGAAATCAAAGTAGAGTATCCTGCTATTTTTTATTTATTTCTCCCTTAATTAATAAGATAAAAAGAAAAAAGTAAATAATTTTTTTAAAAAAGGGGACTGAGATAAAAGAGGGCATAACAACAGAACAGCGCAGGTCAAAGCATAACCATTTAAGCAGAATAGTGTTTCACCACAAGATATCCTGACATAAAGGTAGTTACCATAGTGTCTCTTTCCTTGAAGTCTTTGAGTATAACTTCGTATACTGTAGCACCAAACATATCAAGACACTGTAAAACCATTCAAGAGAATGTGGGATTACAGAGTATTTAGAACCAATCAACAGAAAACGAACAACGGTTTCTGTATAATCTCCTTGTCTATAAAAGTTTTTACTTACATTATCATATATAATAAAATCCAATAAGATACAACTTTTTAAGACCGATGGAGGCAGAAGAATACAAGTTTGATGGGACTTCAAAACAAAATGATACTAAATCCGCACTAGCTATTATGATGTCTTGTTTTCTCCAAAATCGCTGTTCCTACCTTCCGATCTTCTCTGCCTCATTTCTGTTGAGCTCTTTTCTGTCATTTGTTGTCAGTTTGTCTTCTTCATTTCACTTTCTGCTCCATTCACTGTGGCCTCTCTGCCACTATTTCTGGAATCTTGGTATTTTCCTTTTTTAGAATATACTGCAGTATTCTCTGAATTGGTGGTTGCAAATTCCCCTAGTTCTTTATCCTGGAAGCACCTTGTTTTTCCATCAATTTCTAGGGACAGTTGTGCAGGATATATCAATCTTGGCTGGAGGTTAGTATCTTTCAAAGCTTGAATTATTTCCCCCCACACTCTTTGTGATTTGATGGTTTGTGCTGAGAAGTCTGCTGTAATTCTGATGGGTTTTCCCTTGTAAGTGATCTGTTTCTTGTGTCTGATGGCTTTTAATATTCTGTTCTTATATTGGATTTCTGGAATTTTGATTATTATATGCCTGGGTGTAGCTCTGTTTGGGTTGTAGATGGCTGGAGTCCTGTATGCCTCATACATCTAAGTATCTTTACCATTTGCTAAATTAGGGAAATTCTCTTGGATTATTTCTGTGAATAGCTTTTGTAGTCCATTTGTTTATGTCCCTACTTCTTCTTTTATGTTCTTAAGTCTTAAGTTATAGATCCTCTTATCATCTTCCATCCTTTGTATTGTTGCCTTTTATACAAGCAGGTAGGTGTTCCCGCCCACTGCAGTGTACTAGGGAGACAGAGACCTGGGCAGCCTCTGCTGGGCCCACTCCTCCAGGTCAACCTACCAAAGGCTTCACTGTTAGGGTGCACCTCCAGGAACTGGGACCTGGTTTGGGCTAGCCTACTGGGTCTTAGTCAGCGGCGTCACGCAGGCCAGGTACTGCCACCAGTCCCGCTTGAGAGGGGAATATGTGACTGAAGTCACTGCAACAACCTGTTCTGGCTAGTCTGCCCGGTCCCAATATGTCCTTTGCTGAAGCCTCCTACTCTTTGGAAGGGTCCCTGATCCGCTCACTCACCAAAGATCAATGCAGGGCTCCCGGCCAGTCTGCTCTCAACTCCATTCACCTCTTCCCACTCTCAGAGCTTTCATGCCTCCTCTCCTTGCCATGCTGATAGGGATGCAGCAGTGGCTGCAGGAAATTCAAATTGCAGTTTTCAGTGGCGCGGGATCCAGCTTCCATGCTGAGACCTTATCTGTTCCTATTATGTCACCGGGATTGCATTTCCAGTTGGTTTCTCTTAGTTTAGTTCATTCCTGGGTCGGCAAAGTATATCTCCCCTTGCTTAGGATTTCTCGCCTGGCACCATTCCTGGATTTTAAGTGCAGTTTCTCAGAGAGCCTCTGAAGCTGCTGCTATCTATCTGCCATGTTCTCCCGGAAGTCCACACTTTTATTAATTAATTGTTTTATGTGTCTTTGTGTCTGGTGTCTGTGTAATCTATAGCCAATTATAATACTAACAGCTGTTTTGTTTACTTTTTTTTTTTTTTTTTTGGTCTTTTTCCTTTTCATTGGTACCAGGGATCGAACTCGCGACTACCTGCTTGCAAGGCAGGCGCTTATGAAGCTGAGCTAAATCCCTAGCCCAACAGCTGTTTTGTTTGAGCTCAGTAATTTTTCTTCTTTTTGCTTTTAGATTTTTAAAAGATCTGTCTATAACTTAAATTGGCTTATAAATGTGATTAAAAACGTGTTTCCACCTAGGTTGCCAGCTGGTTAAAATGATGCCAACACTGATTTTATACATATAATATACATTGTTATTTGTGTACAATAACTTGGGAGTCTTTTATTGGTTAAAATAATGTGTCATTGATAGGATTATTTCCAAAAGATGAAAAATATTTCCAAAAGATGAGAAGTATAAAACAAAAAGAGGCCTTTATTCTGAGAATATGGAGAGAGATGACTGGCACCCCCCACCGCTGACGTCTGGCGATCTCTCCAGTAGACACATGGCGTGGGAGTATGTAAGTAGCCTCGGTTTGGGGTGGAACCTAAGGAGGGCATTAGGGATGCACAGGTAGCCCATTGATCCTAGGTTTGGCGCCATATGTAAATTTCCATGGGCGGGAAGATGGCGTCACAGGTAAATTCCTAGGGGTGGGGGAGATAGGGGCTTCCTGCTTCCGGTTGAGGCTTCCTTGGCTAGTGTCCTGTCTGGGCCAAAACCCTTTCAGTCATCATGATCTGGTTCACATAGGTCATCTAATATTTGCTAAGACAATTGATTACCCTTGGGCTTGGGAAAACTGCTAGATAAGACTCCCTTTGGACATAAAAAAAAATAGCTGCCTAGAAACATCTTATTCTAGCCTTTTTTCATTAATGGGACACTATGTTTCTATAACCTATGTGAGACACACTCCAATAGATGGTCTGATCATATTATTGTAATATATTTGTATTCATTATCCTCAAAAGGTTAATTGTTCTTATTAAAAGAGGCTCTGGATACAAAAGTAAGTCAAGAGACAATGGTTTTTATATAGCTGCAATTTCATTATTGCTTATCCCATGATGTACTAAATATATTCATGCTTTCTGGATATGCAGATCTTCTAAAATATAAAACTAAGATTGTTTGTTGATGATAACCTTTTTCTTAGACTCAGATATCTGCCTTTCTCTTGTGCTTCAACTACTTCTGATAAAATGTACATGTCAAACTAACACAAGACCACCAGTCAAATGATAGTTTGAAAAAAAAGGTTTATGTGATAAGCTGTAACCCAAAACAAGGCCCAAAATATTGTTCAAAAAGAAAGGCAAGCCATCTTTTTTTTTTTAATCTTTTTCATTTTTATTGGTACCGGGGATCGAACTCACGACTGCCTGCTTGCAAGGCAGGTGCTTATGCTGCTGAGCTAAATCCCCAGCCCTATAAGGCAAGCCATCTTAAAAAGCACTTTATTTTAGCTGGTACCCAGTGACACACACCCTGCCTTTGGAATATGCAGAGCTGTGCAACCAGGTTAGGTTACTGAAAGGGTTTTGGCCCAGACAGGACACAGTAGCCGGTAAAGCCAAAGAGCTCCATTTCCCCCACCCTTAGGAATCTACCTCTGGTGCCAAACAAAGACCAATAGGCTACCTGTGCATCCCTAATGCCCCCCTTAGGCTCCACCCCAAACCAAAGCTACTTACGTGCCTCACTCCATATGTTCTATGGAGAGATCCCTGACCCTGGGGTGGAGATGGCTCATCCCTAGGGGGCTCAGGGGTGTCTCTCCCTGCATTCTCAAAATAAAGGTCATTTATATTTCTTACTTCTTATCTTTTCAGCCGCCGCCGCCTCCGGTCCCCCACAGTTCTATCAGTTACCAAGGGTTTTTAAAAATCAAGACAGTAAAGTGGAGGAGAAGGGGGAGGGAGCTTATACAGAAAGGGAGTTAATCTCTGCAAAAATGTTTTACAAACAGGGCCAGTTGGTCCTGGGACCAAGCGTTTTATAATCAGTAGTCAGCAAATGTTTTACAATCCAGGGTTGGGGGACCAAATTGCTGTTCTGGAAAGGGATAATTTACAAGAAACAAAGGTCACGGTAATGACGCTTACAGAACAAGATAGTGACGCTAAAGCAGGTTATGACATGATAAATAGATTATACATGTGTTGCTACCTTTAGCGAACCCATTCCCGTCCTTGCCATGGTCCAGAAGGTTTATAATTATAATACCAATGAGAAGTTATTGAAATTCTAATCAGTTAATTCCAATCTACCACTTCCAGTGCAAACCATGGTGAGAAGATAGACACTGAGACATATATGGCTATGGGAAGCCAAAGCGTCCTAAATCCAGCCAAGACGGTGTTCACCAGAACAAAGGCCTTGACCCAAAGCCCTTCCCAGGTTTTAATTCTCCATGAGGGGAGTGGCTCAGGGATGAGTGACAGTGAGAGTGGTGGGAAATACCATGAGCTGGGCTAAGTAGGAGGTCTGATAAGCAGAGGGCAAGAAATGCCGAGAGAGCAATCTGTGTAACACCGCTGAGGCAGTAGCTAATAATCTGGGGTCAGTGCTTCAGCTCTGAAGTACAATCCTTTTTGCACTGGGAAGTCATAGCTTCTTTCTCAAGGCTCACAGTATGGAGCAGGACTCTCCATCCCCTTGGGCTAAACTCCTAAACTTCGCATTTGGGGAATCACTGAGTGGGGTAACACTGACCTGTGGCTTTGCTTTAGAGATTATTTATCAGCTCCTCAGCCAGCCCAATTTACATTGCTTAAAGCCAATTAAAGGGACAAAGAAATAACCTAGCCAGCTCTGTAAGCATCAATACATGTAGATAGGGCCAAGTTTATTCAAAATGGAGATAGTTGCTTCTCTCTCTTTTTTTTTTTTTTTTTTTTCCATTTTTATGGATACCAGGGATCGAACTCATGACTGCCTGACTTGCAAGGCAGGCGCTTATGCCGCTGAGCTAAATCCCCAGCCCCATTGCTTCTCTTTTCAAAGAGAGTCACCTCTGTGGTCCCCCACAGCTACTCTTAGAGATATACACAGATACTAAATAGTCCAGAGTATGTCACACACTTCCTCACTAACAATTTATAAAACAGAGCAAATTAGGCTTCCACAGCTGGCTGAGTCTTCTTTGCAACAGGCAAGACCATTTACTGTCAGCAGCCAGCATGTACACAGCAGGCAAAAAGTGGGGGGCTAGCTCAGGACCAGGGTGTGAGGGCCGGTGTTCCCTTCCCAGATCCAGCTCTGTAAGGAGTAATGGAGATGCTGCTTAAGGCTCCTTCGCTTTCAACACGGCCACAGCTGCTGGGCCTAAATGGTGGGTCAGGGCCTAGAAAACCTGTCCCAGGTGACAGGTATGCAGCCCTTGGGGAGCCTACTGCTGGGGACAAGGCTGGGTTTTGTGTTGATCCTGGGAATGTGAGTTTCTCCTGCAGGAGAAGTCATTGAACTTTTTCAACTGTATCAGTAGCACAGTATTTTTGTACAAAAAGCAGGAGACTTCTGAACAGTAATTCATTTAATTGCAAGGCATTTTGAAATAAAAACCCCATAAAACTAAAAAAAAAAAAAAGAGCAAATTAGGTAAGAACTTCTTTATATACTAAACAGAAAAGATGAACTAAAAACTATTCTATGCTAATATAAACATTTAAATGGGTTTTAAAGATAATATCATGACTGTCAACGCTGGATGGAATACTAAGTTTTCTCTGTAAAACTTTTATAATTGTTAACATTCTGCAGAGATTCCACTACCAAAACAACCATGGCTGATAAAAAATAGTCCTTTGGCTATCCTTTATATTTCAAAGTGCTTGATATGCGGATAAAATTATAATAGTTAAACTCACTGCCCCCTCTACAATACTAATGTCACTGATCTTCCCTTCTGGGTGTTCAACAACTAAAGTTTAAAGGCCAAAACAGAGAGGTAACTTGGCTAAGAGCACAGCCAATGTTTTGGCTCTGGCCCTCCAAGGTTGACAAGGACCCAGGACAGGAGAGAACCTTTCCTGCAGGATCTTACACCTCAGGTGAGTCATCCAGTCTTCTGTGTAAGGAGATTTCCTGACCTCCAGATAACAGGAGTCATCAAGGTATACAGTGTCTCTAAGGAGAATCACCAAGAGAGAAAAGATCTGCCTTGCTTTCACAGGAGGCAGCACAGTCAAGCAACAGCATGACCATCCTGGCAGCTGACACTGAAAGAGGAGCTGAGAAGCTCTGAACATGGTGGCAACCTAATGCCTGAGGAGATCTAACTGACCTTGATGGGCAGCAAGAGACTACCTTTAATTAAAACATGTCTCACTTTAACTTGGTCTTAAACACCCAGCAGAAATGTATAACCAACAGATATATAAAACAATGTCATAGAAATAAGCTAACTGAGCCAGCTGTGGTGGTGCACAGCTGTGGGAAGCTGAGGCAGGAGGATTGTGGCGAGATTGAGGCCAGCCAGGGCTACAAAGTAAGCTCAAGTCTGGCCTGAACTACATAGCCACGCCCTGTTTCAAAAAGACAAAAAAAGAGGGGAGGGGCCTCCGGTTGCTGACTCCCTCTGGCAGCTTCTAGCTGCATTAGTAGCTGACCAATGTTATGGGTTATTAAGAAAAACTATGATCTGTAAGAGCTCAATAAGTCTTTAAATTCTCAGGTGAAATTGTCTTTCAGAGCCACTAACTTCTCTGTGTTCTTACAGCTAAAACTGGAGAGACTTATGACAAAATATCAGACTTCATCACCAAAGGAGTCTAAGAGCCAGCAGTTACAGTCCAGTCCGTTCCCTTAACAGAGTCTGGATTCTGTTCTTTCCCCAACCTGCCTTTCAGTTCCGGTGCTTATACTCTGGTTATATACACATGCTCTAATTTTTCAGAAAATTTGTTTGTTCTTGCCTAGAGGCTGCCAGGCTCCAAGTGGTCATGCAGACAAAACCAACAGCAAATATCTAGACTCCTTTTACAGGATTCACCAGATTGACCATAGCGAGAAAATATCTACAACAGATCGAGTCACTGAGTAACTATGTCAGTGGGCCTTAAACATGAACGAGGAGTATCAGACTTCTAACAGGTTGCAAGTTCTATTTCCTTTACATTACTGTTAGAGGTTCTAAGCCCATCTCTGTAATACTCTTATGTGGAGAAGTCATTTGGAACAACATTAATTTTACATGTCAAGAATGCCCTCTTGCTCATTGTGTCAGTGAGGGTTCCCCTGCTGAATATACCACTCTTGTTTTGGGTAGGCTGCCTGGAGTGTGGCTACCTGTGAACCTTACTGCACCTTGGCCAGATACACCTGCTTCCACTTAATGCCCTCCTGATTACAGAATCTGACACATCAGGGAAAGCACATGACTGGTCTTGTTACAGGAATAGTATTTGGTCTTATTCATTTTTGGTGTCACTGTGGCCACTGTTGCTTTAACTCAATTCCTTCAAACTGCTCATTTTGGGGACAACTGGACATGTGCAGTGGATGGGGCTTGGGGTTTTCAATATTTCACTGATGAAAAATTAAAATCTCAAATTAGCATATTGTAAACTACAGTACTGTGGATGGGGTACTGAACTGAGAGCTTACAGTCACAGCAAGTGTTTGGATGTCATTTTAATAGAATGTGTTTTTGTGTCCCATCACCAGAATACATTGTATTAATTCACCTGTGGAAAATGGTTAAAAAAACATCTACAGAGCCCTATGGGTAAAAACAGAACTTTTTATCTGGAATAATTACAAAAAGATATTTTTCCATGTCACAGTAGACTCAAGAATCCACAGGAATGGGATCAATATGCCAGCGTGTTAGATCAACTCAATACGTGGGCATAAATGAGAGCTCACATTGGAATGTATGTTGGATTATTGTTTTTTATCAATCTGTCTGCTTGTATTATTTATAGTCTGCCTCCTGGGAGGAAAGACCAAACAACGCTTGAGAGATGTGCAACCTCATCAGAGCCTGATTCAACTGATGCAATCACAATATCAAAAAAGAGGACATGTGGGAGACCCCACTATGTGATAGGCAAGACCCGCTGAGGAGGCCCTGTTGAGTTTTCTGGGGATGGGAGGGTGGGTGGAAGGTGTTTGTGTGCTGGAAAACTGTGGCTCATAATACCCCCGGAGCAGAACACCATCAGCCTAGGACTAAACAAAGAAAATTGTGGGGGTCGGGCATTTAGTTTAGCTGCATAAGCTCCAGCCTGGCAAGTGCAAGGTTATGCGTTTGGTTCCGGTAACAAAACAAAAAAAATTGTATGGGGTAATGTTGTTATGATTCCTCCTTAGTTACTTGAACCTTGGATTGCATGATTGCTATATTGCCTTATTTTACTAATAAAAAGGGACCTGTCTTGGGACAGGAGTTTCTGATTTCCCTTACTTGGAAATTTGTTTTGTTTGTTTTTGGTTTTGTTTTTTGAGACGGGGTCTTGCTATGAAGTTCAGGCCTACCTTGAACACACTTTGCAGTTCAGCCTGGCCTCGAACTCACAGCACTCCTGCCTCAAATGGGATTATGTCTCTTTTTTTCCTCGGTCTACCCCCTAAGTCAGTTTGCAGGCTGGCTCCTGCACCGGCAGGCTCATCAGCGGCCAGTGCAGCGGTGCACTCCGGGCCCGGGCCAGGGCCCAGGCCCGTCCATGCCCGCGCAACATCCTCCTCCTTGCTGGGCTCCCGCCCAGCGAACCTAGCGCGCATTGCCACGCCTCCAGCCCAAGGCAGCTCGGAGTGCGCTACGTAACTCACAGGCTGAGCCCCGTGACGCCCCGGAAGGCGGAAGCGCAATCGTTTGCCCTGGAAGCTTTAGGGGGCGCTGACCCGGAAGCGCTCTGTGTGGCCACCCGGCCGGTAGTCCTCGGAATGGTGTTCCTCACGACTCGGCTCTGGCTGCGGAACCGCGTCACCGATCGCTATTTTCGGATTCAGGAGGTGCTGAAGCATGCGCGGGTGAGTGAGCGAGTTGGGGATAAGGGAACCCGCGGGTCAGGGGCGTCGGTGCGGCTTACCTCACCGGTGCGGCGTACTTCACTGGTGCATCGTTTGCTGTTTCTCGACCCAGCACTTTCGCGGGAGGAAGAACCGCTGCTATCGACTGGCCGTCAGGGCCGTCACCAGGGCCTTCGTAAAGTGCACCCGGGCCCGCAAGCTGAAGAAACGGAACCTGAGAACCGTAAGCGCCGCCCTTCCCCGAGACTGCATCGCTTCTCCAGGCTGCAGCCGTTCCTGGCTGTGTATTGGTAGACAAGCTGCAACCTTGTATCAGTAGCGTTTTCTAAGCATTAGCGGAACGAGCAAGGGCAGCAGCCCATTCTGAGTCCATAAGGGCAGATAGGCCTTGCTAGCAGTGGCTTCGGTCCCAGCGTTCAGGTCTGCAGGCTTCCAATGTGAATTCTGCCTGTTTGGACGGGCTGGCGCCTGGCGTGGTGATGGCAGCCGCTGTGCCTCCTCCGAGGTCCTGAAATCCACATTCTCAGTGGGCGCTCTGCCGCACGCCTGTAATCCCAGTTACTCAGGAGGCCCAGGCAGGCCAGCCAGGGCTGCATGGTGAGTTCAAGACTAACCTGAACTACATAGTGAGACATTGTCTCAAAAAAGCCTAAAATGGCACGCGTTTCAGTGAAGTGCATAAATCTTTGCTTGCTGTTTGTGCTGCAAGTCTGTTTGCTGGAGAGAAAAACACTTCTCTAGGGCTGACCAATACTTTAGGGAAGATTATTGCAAGGTAGGTGTAAATAGAACATCTGGGGTGCTGTTAACACCTGTGTTTCCCTGTTACAGCTTTGGATTAATCGCATCACAGCTGCCTCCCAGGAACACGGTCTGAAGTACTCGGTGTTTATTAACAATTTAATCAAGGTAGGCTGATACCCTGTAGAGGAGCTCATCTTCAGGATGACCCAGTCGGCCAGCATCTGCATAGCACAGACAGAAGCACTATGTTGTATTCTTGGCTGCAGTCCTGGCAGGTTAGGGGCTCACATTTGTTTCTTCCTTACCCTGCCAGCAGCAGATGTTGTAGAAACAAGATTTTTGTATTACGATGTGAGGCACAGTGTTTCCCTATTAAGGAATAGAAGTGAAAGACACTGGCTTTAACTGTATTTTGTGTTTTTTTTTTTTGTTTTGTTTTGTTTTTTTTCCTTTTGGTACTGGGAATCAAACTCAGGACCTTATACTTGCCAGGCAGGTGCTGTGCTGCTGAACTATATCCCCTATCTGCACAGTTTTAACAGTGGAAGGTTTTGATGATGTAACAGATAAGTTCAAACTTAGAATTAGAAGAAGGGGAAGTGTCTTGGAGGGAAGGAATAGTTTAAGCAAGAACTGTGAAATCCTGGGCATTCTATGAATCTGGAAGTTATGCTATTCCCCTCTGCTTTCATGTACATTTGCGTTTTTCTTTTAAAAAGTCCAGGGCCTAGATATTCTGATTCTACCTTATAGCCTCCTAAGTGATACATGACAGAGATTCTCAGGATAGGTCCAGTAGGTGCTTAGTAGTTGCATTTAATGTGTGGAGACTGCCCATCCCCCTCTCGCTCCTAGGCCCACTGGCAGTTTGCATCAGCTTTCTGAAATCACCTGCAGTTTTCTCAGTGCTGGGGATCAAACTTAGAGCCTTGTGCATAGCCCCACTACTACTAAGTTACACCCTAGGCCTGCAGTCTCTCTGTCAAGTGAGCCTGACCTAGCACTCTGGGAACTTCCAAGCCAACAGATAGGGCTAGTGTAGAAGTGCCAGGTGATGCTTTAAACAAGATCTTCTGCTCCTTGGGCAGGCTCTGGAGCCTGAACTCACCTCCCTTCCCATTTTACAGGTGCCATCCCTTGTCCTTATTCACATTTGTTCCATTGGGGTCTACTGTGCTGCCCAGGCAGGATTCTCCTGCTGTCTCCTGCTGAGGTATTACATGAACAGGCTGTGCCCTAGAGCCAGCTGGAGCCAGCATGCTGGTGCTGGAGGGTGACTTACCATCACAGGTCTCCGAGCCACACTCTTACCATAGGCTAGTCCATCTTAGGTTCTTGTGATGTGCTGCCCAAATGCTCCCCGATGCTGACTATGGGCTCTGGTTCTCTCTCTTTGTTAGTGCCAAGTGGAGCTCAACAGGAAAGTTCTCGCAGACCTGGCCATCTATGAACCAAAGACGTTTAAATCTTTGGCTGCTTTGGCTCAAAGGAGGCGACAAGAAGGATTTGCAGCTGCCTTGGGGGATGGGAAGGAGCCTGAAGGCATATTTTCCAGAGTGGTGCAGTACCACTGAGGATTGCGATGCTGTGGATCAGAAAAATGCTGCTTCCTCATGATCGCAGTAATCAAGATAGGAACAATGTACTATCTACTCAACAGCTCATAAACCTGGGTTGGGACTTTATGCACATTTCCATGCCAAGCCTGAGAGAAAAGGCCTTGCCTTCTCCCAGTGGAACTGGGTCTCATAACTGTCTTACATAGATTGTGCATATAAAGCCTTCACAGCGTTTTGAATTGTGAGTTGTGTTTTCTGGGATGAAGGAAACACAGTGGGGTGTAACCTGCCCCTGAGGAGCCTTTATGCCCAGGAGCAGCTGCTGTGTGGCACAGCAGGAGAGGCTGCTGGGACAGAAGTTCCTAGCAGTTGGATACAACTGAACGTGCTGCTTCTGCAAGCTGACCACTAAAATCTGACTCGCCCACTCGCCTAGCTCCCTAATCCATTCCAGGTTCCCCTCACCTTTCCCGTGGTTCTTCTTTGGCCATTGCACATCAGCTGTTTTCCTGCTGTCTTCCCATGCTCCCTGGCCAGTAGGGATCAGAGGGAGGTGGCCAATAGCCAGGACTGGTGCTTCTGGTTCCTGTCTGGGACTTTTATCAGATGGGGCTCCCAGGCTAACAACTAACATGCTACTCTGTTAATTCCAGAAATCATCCCAATGAGCTCATTAGCAGAAACCACTCTATAGTAGCTCTGCCAGCCCTATGCCATGCAGACCTGTCTATGCCCACTGTTCCCTGGGCAGTGGATAATGCTTAGGGCTGGCCTACCCCTTTGTCTTCTTAGGAACCTGCTCCCATCCAGACCTCTATTTTGAGCCCCTCATCTCCATGCCCTTCTCCCAGTCCTCTAGCTGTCTCCACTGGTTCCCCCAGTGTTTAGTGTGCAGTGGGTTCCACCATGCCCCCAATAACTTGTACCATCCCTGGGAACCAAAATTGAGTATCCTAGGGATTTTACCACTTAACCCTATGCTCTCTGCTCCAGCAGAGCCCTTCAGGGCCTAATAGCTGTTATCTGCTTGCTGGTGACCCCATTTATTCAGGCAACACAGACCTGATCATCCTGCTGATCACCACCTCTGCTCCAGGAGGGCACAAGCAGCACTTCTGTCCAGTAGCAGTCACATTTTCTGTGGCCACACCTTCCTTGACCTGTGCTAACCAATGCTGGGAGTCACTCTGCTCCTCCATGGACTCCACACACACCTCTACTCCCATGTAGAACCAACCACTCATACTTCCTAGAGAGCTTAACTGTCCTCTACCCTCACTGCCGCCAATATCTCAGACTCACTACTGCAGACTTCTTCATGGCCCTTCTTCCTGGCTCTCTTGCCAACTTAAGAATGCCCATTGTGGGGCTGGGGATTTAGCTCAGTGGCATAAGCACCTGCCTTGCAAGCAGGCGGTCATGAGTTCATGAGTTCGATCCCCGGTACCGGAAAAAAGAGAAAAAAAAAAAAAAAAGTTCAAAGAATGCCCATTGTGTCATAAATTTGGGAGGCTAGGGGTTGTCTTGGCCATCTCTCCTGTTGTGAGTGCAGGTCCTGGCCAGGTTTCCAAGTGTTAAGGAAATAGCTACTGAGTAGACACTAGACCAGAATTACAGCCTTTAGTCTTATGGCTGAGTGTCTTCTCTGCACTTCAGGTCAAAGGCAACAAGCCTGTGGGTTGCACAGGAGTCCTGCTCCAGCTCATTTCCTGTCACTGGTGCATGCTTAGGTGTCATGCATTAAGGCTGGCCTGACTGACTAGAAACACTGAGCTCTCCCACAACTGCATCCAGTCACAAGTCAAAAAAAGCTGCATGTGGATTTCCAAAAGAAATTCCTTTAATGGTAAGCTTGACCAACGCAGAGGAGGGAAGCATCCTAGCACTGACAACTTAAGAATATAAAGTCTAGCTAGAAGTCAGCTTCCATGATTGTCTCGGGTTTTTGTTTTGTTAGTTTTAATTTTGTTTGTTTTGAGATAGGGTCTCCCTGTTGTAGTCCAGGCTGGCCTTGAGCACATGGAGATCTCCTGCCTTTGCTTCCTGAGTACTGAAAACAGGCATGCAACCACCACGCCCGAAGTCTGACTTTTAATTTTTAAACAGTCTCGCTAAATTGTCCAAGCTGGGTTCAAACTATTATTTGTCTGTTTTGGGGACGAATTTTGCTATGCATCCCTGACTGGCATCGAAGTTGTGGCAATGCTGCCTTAGCCTCCCAAGTGTTGGAATTACAGGTATGCGAAACCATACTCGGTTTTGGGCTCAAATTTATGATCCTTCAGCTCAGCCTCCCACAGTGGACTGTGAAGCGAGTTGGGCAGTTACAAGTAGCTCAGGGTCTAACCTGTCCCACCGGGGCACACCTACCCTCCATCTTCTAGCATTACCCAAGCAGCATCTCGCACTGCTTCCTTGTCACCCTCCCATGGAGTCCCACTGCGACAGCTGAGAATACAGCTGCCGTTCCCGCGCAGCGGCGAAGGCTGTACTGCAGACGCTGGGTCGCCCAGACTGGGGAATGCGGTCTGTGTAGTGTGTTCACGCCCTTTCCCCAAGGTGCAAGTTTTGCACCTGTCTCTCCCGCTCTGTCCCCGGGACTCCACCTGCCGCCAAATGCTCCATAACGCCATCGAGTCTGATGTTTCCTGATCCCCATCATTCGCCCCCTTCCCTGAGAGCAGAGTTTGGAACCGAGAACCTGGAGTCTGGGCTCACAGCTGCATCGTGAGCCTGCAGCTGGTAGGGTTGAGGACTGACCATCTCGCGCTGATTCGAATCTACGCGGGCCAGGCACAGCCTTAGTCCCGAGACCGACCTTTTGGGAAACCCCAGAATTCCGAGGAGATGACCCCAAGACGCCGGCTTCAGCGTGTTCAAAGTCCCTGGAAGCGGACACACTTCCGGGCTAGGCCCGGCCGCGGAGACCTCTGAGTAACAGGCTGGCTCCTCCCGCCCCGGGTTCCGGCGACTGCGCTTGACGCAGCTCTGGCGGGCACGTCACTCAACCAGTAGCAATGAGGCACCGGTCGGATCCAGCCAATGGGACGTGTGGGGGGGGCATGAACGTCGCGAGGAGCCGCCCTGTGGAGAAAGGGCCCGAAAGGCGTCGGCGGCACAAAATGGCGGCGGCGGCGGCGGCGGCTCCCGGAGCCCCGGGGTCGGCAGTGCCCACGGCGGCGGCCGGCGCCCCCAGCTCGGGGGCCGCCACGCCTGGGTCGCAGGGGGTGCTGATCGGGGACAAACTGTATTCAGGGGTGCTCATCACCCTTGAGAACTGCCTGCTGCCCGACGACAAACTGCGCTTCACACCGTCCATGTCGAGCGGCCTGGACACCGACACCGAGACCGGCCTTCGCGTGGTGGGCTGCGAACTCATTCAGGCGGCCGGCATCCTGCTGCGCCTGCCGCAGGTGAGGACGGCCACGAGCTTCGGGGGAACGGCCGGCAGTGGTGCCCACTTTTTCCGCCCCCGGAGCTGGTTCCGACGCTGACCCCGTCCCGTCCCTTCCCCTCTCCCTCCGGTCACAAGCGGAGCCCTGAAGGCCCCGAGACGCAGAGATCTTGGGGAACGTGGGAAACATTGGTTTTCTCTTTTATTTATTTATTTATTTTGCCCTGGAAGAGCTTTAAGTTACTTGGTCTTAACTGTTTGCTCAGAAGTGATGGAAACTTCTCGGTCTCTAGGTGGCCATGGCTACGGGACAGGTGCTGTTCCAGCGGTTCTTTTATACGAAGTCTTTCGTGAAGCATTCCATGGAGGTAGGCACCCCCCTTCTGTCAGTGGGATGTGTGCTGGGAGGATCCTGGCCTGCTCTCCCTCTACTCCCATGCTACTTTGCATAGAAGCATTTGCTTCTCCACCTCCTCTTTGCTCCCAGATTCCCTTAAACTTCAGGAAGTCCTCAGGGTGGGAACACATCTGGCACAATGCTTACATTTTAGCATGTATCCATGGCTTGTGTGCACTTGGCTTCCAAAATAGAAGAAGCTCCAAGAAGAATCCGGGATGTCATCAATGTATTTCATCGCCTTCGACATCTGAGAGAGAAAAAGTAAGTCTCTATTAGAGCTCTCGTGGCACCTGCGGTGGTTTTATGTGACTAAGCTGAGAGGAGGAGGTTTTAACCTTGTGGATCCTTAGTAGTATATTCCTGTGTGCCCAGGGTGCCCCTAGATGGTGCAGGGGCCTCACTCAACTGGTCACTGGGCTGCGCCAGTCCTGGCATGGCTCTGCTTGTCTACTGCAGTTTGGTTTCTTCTAGGGTTCAGAGCTCCAGTGTAGGGATTCCCAGCACTGTCAACATCTAGTGTGGGAATTTCTTTTTTGAAATTGCCCTGTGGGCTACATGTCTTTCAGCATCCTTGGCTTGTACTTCCTTTGGAGTGACAGCCAGAAGCTTCTCCAATGCTGCCTCTAAAATGCGCAGTTCAGGGAACAGGACCGCAACTCAGTAGTATAGTGCTTGCCTATAATGCATGAGGTTCTGGATTCTATCCCCTGTGCTGTAGAAATGCAAGGAGAGAACCTCTTCTCTTTTAAATGCTGTTGTCTCTTCGTAGTGCCAGCTTCAGTTTAGCCAACCTCAGATTGAAAATGTTGGATACTGCATCTGTACTGAACATAAACAGATTTTGCTCCTTGTCATTATTCCCAGGGTGGTACAGTACAGTGACGACTTATTTGTCTCTCTGTGTTGCAAGTCTTCTAGAGAAGTCCAAAGGGTTACTTACACTGTTTTATATAAAGGACTTGAGTATCTTTGAGTTTTGCTATTAGGGGTGACTCTTGGCGCCAATTCCAAACAGATTCAAGGAGCAGCATTGTGCTGTCATGGTTCTCTAGTTTTCTACTGAAGCAGACTTCCTTTCTTAAGTTAAAGTGCACTTACCACTGGAGCAGCGAGAACCTGAGGCTCTATCCACCTAGCAGCTTGTTGGATGCAGAATGCTAATTGTCTAGATGAACATGGGCCGAGTTACTGAGAGTGTTAAAGAGGTTGTCATTTAAAAACAAAACAAAGCAAAACAAAAAAAAGAGGTTGTCATTTGGAGTCTGAGGACTCGTGATTTGCAGGTTAAAAGTAGTGAGTCTTGTACCTATGTTGAGATTAGGTTTTCACCACAAGGAATAAAAGCAAAACTTGAAAGACCTTGTGGTGTTCAACTCTCAAGCAGGCTATGTGCTTTGTCCTACAGGAAACCTGTGCCTCTGCTATTGGACCAAGATTATGTTAACTTAAAGAACCAAATCATCAAGGCAGAAAGACGCGTTCTAAAGGAGCTAGGCTTCTGTGTCCATGTGAAGCACCCTCACAAGGTGGGTTTGAGGCAGCTGCTTGGGACCCCACCCGCACCCCCCACCCCTTGTCCGCAGCAGCTCTCCACATTCTTCTGTCTGGAGGTCCCAAGGAAATCTGAGCACATTTCAGACTGGGCTGTCCTGTGTATGTCTGTGATCTCAGAAAAAGCCTTCACCCATTAGCCTACTATATTACCTGTCAATTTTTTTCTCCCAATACTGGTGATTGAATTTAGAACTTCTGAGTCACTGAGCTACTCTCCCAGCCTTTTAATTTCTGTTTTAATATCATGGTCTTGCCAGTTACCCAGGCTGACCTCAGATTTCCAGTTCTGTCTCAGTACCCTAACTCGCCAACAGTGCATCACTATGGGGTGTGCAGGAGCATTTTTTTAGAAAGAGATTTTGTTTTGTTTTGGTCTTTTTCCTTTTTATTGGTACCGGGAATCAAACTCACGACTGCCTGCTTGCAAGGCAGGCGCTTATGCCACTGAGCTAAATCCCCAGCCCCTAGAAAGAGTTTTGGAAATGACTGGTTGTGGTGATACAGTGTTGTAACCCCAGCTCTGAGCCAAGAGGATCACAAGTTCAAGGTCATCTTGGCCAATTTAGTGTGATTTTAAGTTAAGGTAAAAAATGAAAGAGGCCGGGGACTTAGCGCTCAAGTGCCTGCCTGGCAAGTGTGAGGTCATGAATTTGATTCCTGATACCCAAAAGTAAATACATACATATATACATACATACATACATAAATAAATGAGTAAGTCAAGGCTGGGGTTGTAGCTTGGGTTGAGCACTTGCCTAGGATGCATGTGTTTCTGGGTTGAAGAAAACAATTTTGGAAATGGAATCTTTTAAGTTTGTGCTTTCAAAAATAGCAGTGAACATGTAGAAATTGAATCTTTTAGTATACATTTTCTTTCTCAACAGCTAATTTTCCAGATTTCCTTAGTAATAACCTTACTTTCCTTTTGGGGGCTGGGAATACTGGGGAACTGAACCTAGGACTTCTCATTGAGCTACATCTGCAGACCTTTATTTTGTCTTTTATTTATTTATTTATTTATTTATTTATTTATTTTGGTCTTTTTGAGACAGGGTCTCTCTATGTAGTTCAGACTGGCCTTGAGCTCACTTTTTAGCCTAGGTTGGTCTCGAACTTGCAACAATCCTACTGCCTCAGCCTTCCAAGTACTGGGATTACAGGCGTAAGACCATGCTTGGCTCAGATCTTTGTTTTTGAAACAGGATCTTGCTAAGTTGTCCAGGCTGGGCTTGAACTTGAAGTGTTCCTGACTCAGCCTCTTGAGAGTGTTGGTATTACAAGTGTATGTCGCCATGCTCAGCTAGAAAATTTATTTTTAAAAGACATCTTTGGTCCTAACCTTTTTTTTTATTGGAGGTTTCTTTCTCATGCTTGTTTTAGTTTCTTTTTTTGTTTGTTTGTTTTAGTTTCTGACATTAATTCAAATTCTTGGTAAATTATCTGCGAAGATTTAAGTGCTTTTAGCATTGGCTAAAAGTAAGCTGGCTGCTGGGTGCATTGGTACTTAGGGCAGGCCAGTCGCACTGGTGGAAGAGACACAACGAGAATGAAAGCGGCCGTGGGAGAAACAAGGCCTTCTGTACCACAGGCCACAGCTTGGTCCTCTCACATGCACATTGCCTGCCTCTGAGAGCAGGTGGCAGATGCATCCACAAAGGCTTGCCCTCCAGCTGAACCACCTGCCGGACGTGACCAGGAGCCACTCCTGGGCTCTAGAATGAGGTTCTCTGCTGCGTGGACACCCACAAGATCTGAGTTCCTGCTCTCCAGGTTCTTGGTAATAACTGCCTGACCCATATCTTCCAGATAATCGTTATGTACCTTCAGGTGTTAGAGTGTGAGCGTAACCAACACCTGGTCCAGACTGCATGGTAAGTTGACCTTCCTTGTTTTATAAGTCCAGCAAGGGCAGTGCAGAAATTTGTTACTTGAGGCACTTGGGCAGTGGGTAGTTGGTCCCATGACTTGGTTGTGGGCTGGAGTTGTCCCAATGCCCAGTGATCTGCTGTGTAAATGTCTAGCAGCCTCCCAAAGTGACAGGCACTGGTGTGACGGTAGGTGGCCCATCCCTGTCCCTGGGTTTCCTGTGTCCACGTTGAGAAGAGCAGTGAATGGGCTTCCCTTTGGGGCTGTCAGTTGGGCACAGGGAAGTCGCAGGCCTCAGGTTGTGGGGAGGTGTCATATATCCAGGGAATTTGATCCTGTGGGGAAAAGTGCGCACAAAGTTTTCTGTAATTCTGGGCTGATTCTGACAGGCCCATGCTAGAAAGCAGCCAGGAGTGACAGTTTTATGTCTGGGGTGTCCTGTTCCCTTTTCCCCACAGAGATAAGTCTTTAGTGGTCGTATTGCTGACTGAATTGTCTGGTGCTATGATTCTTTCATCGAGAACCTGTTTTGACTTTTCTTTTCTGTACTCTTTCAATCAAAGGGTAGCCTCTGAGGGTAAGTGACTAAGACTTCTCCTCTGCTGTCCAAGCGCTTTGGTGCAGGGACAGCGGCCGTCTTCAGCCAATCCAGTGCAGGCTCTCCACCGAAGGCTGGCTCTAGACTGGTGGTATGCGTACGATAGCATAGTCATGGCCGACTGCTGCTTGTGGTTCTCTGACGATTGTGCTTCTTGTTAATCCTGTCGTGCTTTGGTAATTGTATCAATTAGAGCTGATTACTGTTTTGACTTGAATATTGTCCCTTAAAATTGCTGTACCTGTACCATAAAGATGCAGTACCTTTCTGTAGAAAACTCTATGGAAAGCCATAAGAACTGAAGTGAAAAATTGGCTGATGGATACTGAAGCCATTGGTACAAGGTTATTTCGTTATCACATTATTTCTTGAGGTCCTGTAGTTGCTCTTTTCAGCAGCTAAGTGGGACTCATTCCGGGAAAGGTGTGCATCTTTAAATTATTCTTTGGATACTTTTCAACATATTGTAATTTATTTCAAGTAGAGTAATAAGTTTAAATATATGTTCTGAAGGTTTCATTTGTTTTTAGAATTTAATGAATTAATACTATTACTTTTTAATACTGAATATTTTTATTACAAACACAAAGTTACTGATGGCTGTGTTTTATCAATTTGAGCTGTTCATCTGCAAAGTCATTCCTGGGACAAGTCGCTGCACTGCCACCATGCTGGCTCCCAGAGCCAGCTGCCTCTCGGGCACCTGTAGAGTTTATCGTGTAGAATGTCTGAGTGTGTCTTGAGTGTGACCTTCTCCAGGGTTGGGGGAACTGCACCCTGATTCAAGGGATACCATCCCATTGTTTGGGTGATTGGGCAGTAAGTGAACATATAACTTCTTCAGCTGTTTTCTAACAGAATTGCTTGTTTTTGCAATATTGACAAAGCTGGTATTTAGATTTAGATTTAGCCTATATACTTAGAGAAATATATCTGAAAGAAAATGTTTTAATTTTTTTAAAATTGCAGTTTTGTACTATCTTCTCAAATACGATAAAGTTTATAAATGTACTTATGTGATGAAACTTTAGTATCTTGTTGCTTTTGATTTTATGGATGTTCATTTTAAGACTCCTTGTTGAAATGGGACAGTTTGGAACGTTCTTTGATAAGCCTGAGAAGAGGACTCCTTGGGCATTGGCCTTCCACATGACAGTCCTTTGCACCTGAACTGCACTGAAGGGCACGTCCCTTTCCAAGTGGACTCCCTCATGGAAGCTGTGGCTCAGTCATCCAGAGAAGAACCAGGCCACAAGTGCACTCCACTGAAGAGGATCATGGGAGGACCGCTTATCTCGGCCGCAAGCTTCACACTCAGCCCGTTTATTTGAGTTTGCATGTTTCTCTGCACTATGGATTTTGAGCATTTAGATTTCTTTAACCAAGTACATTTTGACCACTAGCATTTTTCTTTTTGAGGCATTGTGCTTTGCATGATGGCAAGCCAAAGTTGAGGGAAAAGTAAAGTTAAAGTCGGTTCTCGTTCATAGCAACACGTATTGTCTGACATTCAGCCAACTTTGTTCCCCCAGTGATTTCTCTTTCTTATGTTTAGAAAAAGCAGCTAGAATCTCCTTACTTCCTGGGCTTCCTAGGACTGCTAGTGCTCAGCCCTAGCGGTAGAACACTTTAGAGTAGCAGTGGCCCGAGGGAACACAGTGGTGCTGGGCTGCCTGGACACTGCAGTTCTCTCTGTGCTTGGTTTCAGGAACTACATGAATGACAGCCTCCGCACAGATGTCTTCGTGCGGTTCCAGCCTGAGAGCATTGCCTGTGCCTGCATCTACCTCGCCGCCCGGACGCTGGAGGTCAGTGTGCCACTGCCCCAGCCCAGCCCAGCCCAGCGCAGCGCTCTAGCCTACAGCCTGCGTTGTCTCACTGAGAAGCAGGCTGCTTCTCAGAGTCCTGAGCCTTGGAGCCTTGTTTTTAAAGAGTATGTAACATGGTGCTGTTGTGTTCACAGATCCCTTTGCCTAATCGTCCCCATTGGTTTCTTTTGTTTGGAGCAACTGAAGAAGAAATTCAAGAAATTTGTTTAAAAATCCTGCAGCTTTATACACGGAAAAAGGTTCTTCTGCATTTTCACATAGCATATACATTTGTGTTCAGCCAGAAGCTCCTGGTTCTGAATAGCTGGGTTCTGGCCCTTTAGGTGGATCTGACGTACCTGGAGAGTGAGGTGGAGAAGAGAAAACATGCTCTGGAGGAGGCCAAGGCACAAGCCCGGGGCCTGCTGCCTGGGGCACCAGTGCTGGACAGCAGTGCTGGGTTCTCCCCTGCCCCCAGGCTGGGTGAGTGTGGTCTTATCCCAGAGCCTAGGGACCCACCTGACAGGCCACTGGTGGTCTTTGGAATGAGATAGGGCCTCTAAAGATTGTGTTTTTATATTTTCATTAACAAGGAGAAAGGCCAGGCGTAGTGGTGCACTCCTGTAATCCTAGAACTTGGGAGGCTGAGGCTGGAGGATCATTGCAAGTTCAAAACCAGCCTGGGTTACAAAGCTTAGGGCCAGCCTGAACTGCATAGTGTAATCCTGTTTCAAAAGGACAAAAAGAAAAAAAAAAGTAAAGATGGGTTTTCTCAAATACTTTTGTTGATAAGGGAGATGGGAGATGCTGGGCCACACTAAGACTGCGCAGTCTCGGGAAAACACCCTAGAGGAGGAGTCTCCCTGGGTCCTGTGGTGCCCATTAGGCTCTGAGTCAGGGCTGGAAGTTAAGATCAGCCTATGACCCCTCACCCCACAGAAGAGGCCTTATGTCCTCTGATTTTCTGATTTTGGTTTTGAACTTCATGTTTGCAGAGTCTCCCAAAGGAGGCAAAGGAAACAAGCCTTCCCCACTTCCTATGAAGAGTGCCAAGAGGAGAGCAGAGGGTGTGAAGAAAGCCAAAGCTGACAGCCCCGTGAATGGGTAGGATGCCTGCAGCTCCCAGGCAGCTGCCGGGTGGCTGCAGGCTCCAGGTCTGTGACTGCTCTTTCTTTTTGCAGTTTGCCAAGGGCACATGAGAGTGAGAGCCAGTGCCGGGAGCAGAGCTGCTCGAGGTCCCCATCAAGGTCCACATCTCCCAAGAGGAGGTGAGTGCCTAGGGCTCACCTGGGGACTTGGACTGGCAGGGTGGACGTTTCCCTAAGGGACAGTGGCTCTTACTCCGAGGTGGATTCTTGTTTCTCATACCCCTTATCAGTCCTGAGGGTGCCAGGCCCTGGCTGAGATGGGTAATTGCACCTGTGGTTCCAGGTGTGCCATCCTTCCTCACAGGAAAAGTGACAGCGGCTCTACATCCGGGGGGTCCAAATCGCAAAGCCGCTCACGCAGCCGAAGTGACTCGCCACCCAGACAGGCACACCGAGGTGCCCCCTACAAAGGCTCTGAGGTGAGGGGCTCCCGGAAGCCCAAGGATTGCAAGTATCCCACTCAGAAGCCACACACGTCTCGGAGCCGCAGCTCATCCCGCTCTCGAAGCCGGTCACGAGAGCGGGTGGATCATTCTGGAAAATACAAGAAGAAAAGTCATTACTATAGAGATCAGCGGCGGGAGCGCTCAAGGTCCTATGAGCGCGGTGGTCATCGCTATGAGCGGGACCACCCCGCACATAGCAGACATCGGCGGTGAAGGGGGCTTCAGAGACTGCTGGCCTCAAGCCCTTCCTGAGGGTACCTGGGGCTGCCTGTGGACCCTCCCCATGGGGTACCTTAGCCCCAGCAGTCCTGGCCCTGCTTGAGTCTTCAGAAATGATTTTTTTGACTCTGGAACTTGAGGTGAATTTGGAAAAGGAATTGAGGTGCCTTTTGGGCCAACATGGGGTGTGGTGCAGCTTCAGCCCCTCGAACAACTCGATGGAAAGTGCAGACCTGCATTCCTGTTGGTGTAGCTTGGTGCTATGGACAAGCTCTTTCCTCTTCCATGCTTAATTACGTTCAGTCAAGAAAGATGATTTTTAGCTGGGCATGGTAGCACATGCCTGTGATCCCAGCACTAGGGAGGCTGAGACAGGAGGATTGCTGTGAGTTTGAGGCCAGCCTGGGCCACAAAGTGAGTAGGCCAGCCTGAACTGCATAGCGAGACCCTGTCTCAAAAAGAAAAAAAAAAATACGATTTTTAGAACCTTTGCCTATATTAGGTTGTACTTATGTAAATATTTTGCAGTGTTTCACAATGAGAAATCAGCCTTAATAGTCCCTTATTCTCTATCCACATGTAGATAAACATGTTTAATACAAGTGAAAACTATATATATGAAAACTGAGAACTTGAATTCTGCCAGCTTAAAACTTGTATAGAGAATTCAGATTTTTAAAATGTGAAGGTATTTAGGTCTGTGTTGAAGTGGTATATTTTTATCTGTGCAACGCTGAGTGCGGGCCACCAGCTCCTAAAGAGGTTTCCTATATGCATTTTATGTGGTTGAATAAACACAGTTCTGCCTTCTCAGGACACTTGGGACACCAGAGTTTGTGGTACTTGTTCTTTGCAAAGGGGCAGGTGGGCCATGGCAGGTGCTGTCCCTGCCCCAGGTCTCGTCACACCTCAGTGCTGGGTTTATACTGAACTCCCACGCATCTGCCAGAAATGGGAAACCTCTGTGTTTAGAGAGGAGAGGACAGGTTGCCCCATGGGGTTGTGGGTGGGAAAGTGGCTGGGCCATATCTGTGTGGGTCCCCCAGGGTGTCCAGGAGCTGAATACCTGCTGGGGCACCCTTTCCCTGGAGCTGTGCTGTCAGGACAGATGTTTCTGGCACTGTCAGTCACCTCCTAAGACCAGCATCTCTGATAAGACTCAAGTGGGGGCAGCTTAGAAAGGCAGAGGTGCCATGAGCAGAGGCAGAGCTAAGGGCTTGGCAGAAATGAGTGGTGGGCCCAGTCTCCCATAACTGCACGTGGGTGGTTCTGGAGCAGGCCCCATGCTGACACCTGGCTCAAGCCTTCAGGAGTGAGAGACAGCTGCAGCCCTGCTGGCAACTCTGAGCTCTTAGTTCCTTCAGCTGCTGCCAGGGGCCCCCTTAGCCCCACCATAGGGACACCCATAGTGAGCAGGGCCATGAGAAGCAGTACTCAGGCCACCTCCCATCCCAAAGTACATCTGCACTTCAGGGCCCCCTTCCTGCTTTTCTTAGGCCCCAGGTGGTACCCAGCTTCATGTGGCCAGTGTATCTTCCTTGCATGCAAGTACTGTGTCAGTTTCCTGTCATTTACAATACTCAGCCTGCAGATCACAGGAATCCTGCATAACTAGGAAAGATGTATTTATTTCCCTTGGCTGCTAATTGATTTTGGCTGTAGAAAAGCAGACAGGGAGGGCCGGGGATTTAGCTCAGTGGCTCAAAAGCTTGTCTGATAAGCATGAGATGATGAGTTCAATCCCTGGTACCAAAAAAAAAAAAAAAAAAAAAAAAAAAAACAAAACAGGGAAACTCTTGAGAACTGTGCAGTACTCTGAAAAGCATTGCACAGGTCTTCTGAGGTCTGGCATGAGCTGACATCACCATTTGTAACACTAGGATTTGCGAAAGTATTGCCCAGCAGTGGCTTCTGGCCCCAGAAGAGCCCTACGCTAGGGCCTGATCTGGGCCACTCCCACCCTTGACCCTCCAGCTTCCAGGCAAAGTAAGTAGATATCTTTCTCTGGTTTTTCTCTTTGTTGTTGTTTTGGTTTTTTTGAGATGGCATCTTGCTGTATAGTTCAGGTGCCCCTAAACTCACTGGGTAGCCCAGGCTGGCCTCAAACTTGAAGCAATCCTCCTGTCTCAGCCACCTGAGTGCTGGGATTACAGGCATGTGCCACCGTGCCCAGCTGTTTTGTTTTTGTTTTACAGACTTGCTGTGTAGTTCAGGATGGCCTTGAACTCACTGTGTAACCCAGTTTAGGGTTGAATTTGTGATCTTCCTGCTTCAGGTCCCAGAAACCTGAGAATTACAGGTGTGTAGCACCATGCGTTACTAAAATTTCAAAGACCTTTCTTTTTTGGAGGCAAATGGGAATTCTGGGAAAAATAGAAGTAGAGCAATTACACACTTGAGAGGTTAAAGAACTCCTTTTTAACACATCTATAATCCCAGTACAGGGAGGTTAAGGCAGGAGGATTGCAAATTCAAGTTCATCCTGGGAAATTTAGTGACTTAGCAAAAAACCCTCTCAATAGGGACTGGGGATGTAGCTCAGTGGCAGGCATGAGGTCGTGAGTTTAATTTCTGATACCAAAAAAACCCCCAACACCTCAATATAAAAAAAGACGGGCTGTGGCTCAGTACAAAGGCCTGTGCTCAATACCCAGCACAAAAAAAAAAAAAGATGACCACACACCTTCCCCCATTCTTCCACTGGGATCTTTCTTCTGTGGGTATTTATGAAAGACTGAGACCCCTAGCTTGACAGGGTCTGCCTGCTCTGGTGTGGGATGACCCCCGCCTGGGTTCCGTCACTGCTGTAGGAGAAAGCGTCAGATCTGGTGGACAGTCAGAAGTGTCTCTGTCCACATGCTCCCACATGAGTTTCACATAGCTCCTAGTGACAAAGCAGCTGCCAGGAACTTTCTGCACTTGTCTGCGCTGTTCTCAACACCATCAACTGCCTTTTTTTTTTGACTACTGTGGAGTGAACCTAAGGCCTTTACACTGAGAATTCCCACATCCCCTTGCCCCATTTTTCTGAGAGTCTTGTTAAATTTAACTGAGCTAGAACTTGTGATCCTCACACCTCAGCTTCCCAGAGTGCTTAGGGGTAGAGATCTGCTCTACCACACCTGGCTACCATCTGTTTGATGGATTCTCTCCAACTCCCTGCACCCACTGACAGGTAAAGGACTCGAGAGACCAAGGTTAAGGGAGTGTAGAGGGCACCAGCCTGTCCTTTTGTGCCAAAACTCTTCACTGGGGAAAGCTGGGTGAGGAGTGGACTACCAAACATGCAAAAACCCATGTGGGGAGAAGTCATGCAAACCTAGCCACAGTGACACCATTTTGTAGTGGGCAACTATTTAGCTGTCTGGTGGGACAAGCAGCCATGTTTGGCACACAGAGTCCTCTGCTGCTGCCGCTGAGAGCTTGCTGAGACCACAAGCTCCTCATAAGGATGGAATGGCCTGAAATACACATAACTTGCCTAAGGGTTCTCTTTTTAAAATTGTTTTTCACTGTTTTCCTTTCAGCTCTATAGAAATACAAATATGGTGTGGGGTGGCTTTAGTAAAAGTTTTGCTGCAGGTGAGCTGTCCATTTGACTCATTTAGTCATCAATCTGTACTCAATGGAATCATCCCTTGGTCTGTGTGCACTGTTCCCATCTGGAGGCAGAGGTTTGTTTTTCTGGGAGATTCACAGAACATCCTTCCTATTTGGACATCTTGGGCAGTTCCCCTGGAAGGTAGGATACACCATCACCTTGTGACCTCAGCTGCAGAACCTGGAACTTCTGTCCTTCCACTGGTCTCTCCCCCTCGCGGCCACTTTCTGCGGGCTCCCCAGCTCCTCCTACAGGGCACATCTGAGCAGCCCCCTCCACGTTCCTCTCCCACCAACATCCTGGGGTACCATGGTGGGATTCACCATTTCGGCCAAGAGGCCTTTCTGGACTAGTGGTGAGGCGGCGCTTTGAAAAGCAAGTGCCTTAGAGAATACAAACTCATAAAAAAAAAAAAAAATTTAAAAAAAATTCACTAAAGAAAATGTATAGAAAAAAAAAAAAAAAGAAAAAGAAAAGCAAGTGCCAGTGTCCTGGGGAGCAGCATTAAGACCTCAGTCAAAAGCAATCCTCCACAGCAACTTCTTTGGTATTCGGGCAAAAATTAAAGCCTAAGCCTAAGTCTGATTTTTTTTTTTTTTTAATTAAAGACAGGGTCTCGCTATGTAGTACAGCCTGACCTTGGACTCGCTATGTAGCCCAGGCTGGCCTCAAACTCTCAGCGATCTTCCTGCCTCAGCTTCTGCAGTACTGTGATTACAGGTGTGCGCCCACAACGCCTGGCTGACTCTGATTTTTGTTTGACAGGCAACTACTATGGGAGCTAGTTTGCCTCGGAGTAGTCCCACATCCATTACCTAAATTCTGAGAGAGAGAAGTTTGCGAAGCCAAAGGGACTACACCGAAGGCGCAGTCGCTGGGGTCCCCACCACACGCCTCACGGAGGGCACGGGGAACACCGGTGTCCGCTCAAGGCTGCTGCAATTCCCACCTCGACCGGGACCCGCCCGCCGCCGCATACGTCCGCTCCACCTGCGTGCGGCCACCCGCGGGTGCGGGCACTGCGTGGGATTGTGGGAAAGCGAGTCTTTTGCACCCGTGAGGGACCGGGCGGAACTGACGCGCCGTGAGGGCCGGTTGCAGTGTCTCCGCCGGCAACTTTCTAGTCGGAAGCTGTGGCCGGCGAGGGCGGGTTAGGGGACGGACCGGAAGTGCCCGAGTACGGCGGCTGAGAGGTCAGTTTGAGCCGCGGGTCACCAGGGTCCGGAACCGTGAGGTCGCAGGCGGCTGAGTCGGGCCAAGCCGGGCTGGGGCCGCCCTCCCGGGCTTGATTCCTTTTGTGCGCTCCGGCGTTGACATCGCCCCGCGCTGCCGGCTTGGGTTCCTGGTGAAACGGAGGCTTAGGGCGGGCGCGTGGCCTGCTGGGATTTGAACTCGACTCTGTGCTAGAGGCTGAGCGGGTTTGAAGTTGTGTCTTTAAAGAGACCCGCACGCAGATCGGGGTGGTGTCACGCGAGGTCGCGCGGCAGCCTGTCCTCCTGTGACTCTGTGACCCTTGTGTTCCAGCTGTGAGCCCGGCCGCTGCCTCCTACCACCATGTTTCTGGCGCGCCTGACTTCGCTGTTCTCAAGGGCCGTCCCTTGGACAGGTAGGGAGCACGTGGGGCACGGGGGGCGGGTAAGGGCCTGGGTCAGGAATGTCTCATGGGTGCTCCAGAGCCTAGCCACAGACAAAGGGGCCAGCAAGCTGTGAACAGGTTCACCAGCGGTGGATGTGCGGCTGGAGCCTAGGTGGTGGCACACCTTCTGTCCACCGTGGATTCACCACAGTGCCTACTACATTCTCTCCTGCAGGACGCAGTCGGCCGTGGCCTGTCTCCGCAGCGCTGGGCAGCCTTGCCTGCCAGCGCCCACACAGTTTGCAGCCTGCAGGCCCGAGCAGGGCGGCCTCCCTTCCTGGCAAGGGGGCCCAGCTGAAGCTTGAGGAGTTGCTGGTCCCCAGGAAGATGGCCATCAGTCCCCTGGAGAGCTGGCTGACTGCCCGCTACTTTTTGTCTAAATTAGATATTGGGGCCCCAGCAACTGTGACTCCTGGCCAATTTTACGAGTGTCCACCTAGCCCAGTGGAGGAGGGGATCAAGCCGGTGGACAAAGGAGTCTGGGATACACCGCAGATGCAGTGCAAAAATGTACTGAAGATCCGCCGGAGAAAGATGAACCACCACAAGTACCGTAAGCTAGTCAAGAGAACTCGGTTCCTACGGCGCAAGGTCCGGGAAGGACGCTTGAAACGGAAGCAGGTGAGTGGCCCCTCTGTGCCTGAGTGGACAAAGTGGCTGGGAGTGTGTGGATTGGCCAAAAGTCGATTGATGTCACTCTTTCCATCCTCACAGATAAAGTTTGAGAGAGACTTGAAGCGCATTTGGCTGAAGGCAGGCCTGAAGGAGGCCCCCTCAGGCTGGCAGACCCCCAAGATCTATGTGAAGGACAAATGAGCCTGGAGTCCTATTTCTGCACCCAAATGCTGCTGGTGACCCATTGTAATAAACGTTGGGAAGACTCAGTGTCCTGGGCTGGCCTGGAGCCTCATCTGCCTAATGTGAGCTCTCTTGAGGTAGCAGCTGCTGCCAGCCTATATGTTGTGAGAGCTCAGGGACCAAGGAGTGGCTGTGTGGCTGCCCCCGCCCAGTGGGCCCTTGCTCTCTATGCTGACATTGCTGGCCTGTGGAGGTGACAGTCTTGCTGGGTGAATGTCAGTAGCTGAGAACAGCCTCCAGGTGGGGAGCACATGTGGTAGACTGATAGACTGGATAGGTGGGAGTGACTAGGTTATATTTTATGAATGAGGATTCAAGAAAGGGCTTAGGTCTCCTGGAGATGGCAGTTAGCACCATGCAGGCTCCAGATTCTGAGCCATCCTTCCTGGCTGAAATGGTCCAGCTCTTGGGCAGGGCACTGATATGGCTCCCAGATGCCTACTGTTGGGTCCTCAGCCTCTGTCCCTTCTTCACTGAGGGTGGGGGCTGGTCAGAAATGGGATGGGTTGGGAAGGTTCAGGGCTGGGGCCAGCTGAGGAGCGAATGCCATTTCCCAGGTGAAGAGCCCAGGGTCTTTTCTCAAGACAGCAGCCCCATGATTCTGGATTCCACTACATTAAGAGAAACATACCACTTCTACCAACTAGGGACCTGGAGGCCCTTGGGTTCCTGTGTCAAAGCATGGGGAAGCAGAGCTGCAGATACTAAGAGTGTGGCGGTGTGGACTTTTCTCTGTCTTGCTCCATGTCCCTGACCTTATGTCTGAGTTATGCAACAGGAACACAGACTTAAAGATCTTGGGTCTCCGTGTCCTGTGTTCCCTACCCATTAGGACTGATCTACCTCTCAGCAGAACTGTGGGGGCTTCTTATTTTGTTTTTGTGGTGCTGGTGGTCAAACCAAGTGCCTTGTATCCACTAGGTAAGACTCCCCCAGAGTCTCTACCAGAGCCACATCCCCAGCCAGGGCTTCATGTTTTGTGTCACAGAAACTTATCTAAGGCCTGGGTTTAAATCCCTGCAGATCAGGATGGTGAGGAATTTGAGCCCAGTTCCCTGAAATTCCCAAGATAGAACAGACACTGCATCTATAACCCCACACTGCTGCAAAGCCAAGGGGCCAGCCCCAACACCAGGTTTCCAAAAGGAAGGTGGTGCCTGTCCACTGGCTGGGGGAGGGCTGTGTGCCCTGGGTGGTGAGGGCTCTGGAGGCTGCTGTGGTATCATGTACCTATGCTGTTGGCCACCAGGGGGCAGTAGTCAAAGCTCCTGGCAGACTCTAGACTATACTGGAACCAGAACAGCTATCTGGAAACTGTCCAAGAGCACCCCTTCAGAGTCCCAGGTACCTTCCTGCATTTGAAATTCCCCAGGAGACTAGATAAGGTTCTGGGTCCAAGGCTTCAGTAGTGGAATCTTCTTAGTTGAAGGAGCCCACCCCCCTACCACACCAGCCATTGCCTGCTGTCCATGTCCATAGCTGCCAAGCATCTGCTCCTGGTATTTCCTTCCAGTCCAGCCACGGAACTGACCTGCTGGTCAAGGTAGAAATGGGGCATCCATCAGTGCTCCTTGAAGCCCAGACTCCAGAGCCACTTCCTCTACTCACGAGGGGCTGGCTGGAGGTGGTGCCCAGAGTCCTTCAGTGGGCTCAGGCTAGCCCTGGCCCATGGTTCCCCTAGAGCAGTGGTTCCTAACTGGCCCTGGGAGACATCTGGAGATGTTTCTGAAAAGTAGAGGCCTGAAAGCTGCTGAGTCCCTGTAAGACAGGATCCCTCACAGAGTCAGCTCAAATGTCAGATCTCTGTTCCACGTCATGCCCAGTGGGGCCCACCCAGCCCCATCAGCCTCCACCCTGCCTCTTGAAAGGGTCTGGGGTGCAGAGCTTGCCTGCCTGCGGGCCTAGAGGCCTTTGTACCACAGCCACAGCCCTGCTGGCAATTTGGGGTTTTATTTTTATCTCTGCAGTTCCTCCCAGCCCACCAGGGCTGTTGCCGCTTACATGTGGGGCCTCTCCCTGACCCAGCCTTGTGGGATGTCTAGCCTTTCATGATTCTGGGTGAGGGGCCTCTCCTGGCAGTGGCCAGGATGGTGAGGGCAGTCTTGGGCCCATGCCAGCCTCCCCTATGGAGCCATCTGAATCCAGCCCCTCAGCAGCACAGGGCCATATCTTGGTGTTCTCAGCCTTGGTAGGGCACTGCCAGCTCAGGCACCAAGTGGTAGGGGACCTAAGGCTGCAGAGCAAGGACTATAGTATTGCCAACATGTGCCACTCCCTGACTGGTGTGGAGCCAAAGCAGGAGGAGGATGCCAATTCCCCTGGACAGCCATGGCCTGCCAAACGCCCCAGAAAGACACTGGAGCTGCTGTGAGTAGAGGAGGAGAATATCTCTGGTCTGGGCCTGGCACTGGAGGTATTTGTCCACCTGAGCTAGGGGCCTCTGCCATGGCAGAATTGGGTATCCCAGTGCAGGAGCCCATGATATCCAGTGTGGGGACTTTGAGCTGGGTCCTTTCAGGGCTGGAATAGGGGCAGACCCTCACTGCTATCCTAGGCCTGGCCCCAGCTTCCCATGGTGCCAGCCAGGTGAGGACCCACCAGACTGCTTGTAGATGAGGAGCCTGGGGGCTGAGGCTGCTCTCTGAGGAGGGCTCTGGTGCCCATAGCAGTGGACACCTTCCCTTCAGGTCACCCTCCTTACCAGCCCTCCCTATGCCATCAGGCTGTCCAGTACTGCCCCAGGTCCCTTTGCTTATCAGCAGAGTTCCCTTTCCTAGGGCCCTTGTCTCTCCTGATGTCTTCCTTCTTTCTCAGGCACACCCAGTGGCAGTGTGAGGCCAGGTCTAAGGGTAGGAGTTCTGTGTAGGAGGGATTCCCTCTGGCTTGGTGCTGAGTTCCACTATCCTTTCACATCGGATCTGTGCCTAACTCTGGTTTATAGGGGAGGTACCTCAGATACAGAGATTGGCTGGCTGAGATTTGTTTCACCCAAAACTTGATTGGAAAAAATTTTTAATAAAAGTTATTCCTGGCAGCCATGTGGGCTGGGAGGAGAATCAGAAGCCAAGCTGCGCCCTCCTGTGAGCCAGCCAGTGAGCGGTGAGGGGAGTGGAAGCAAGAAGGACACCGCCACCAGCAGCCAGCTGATGTGGAGGGACACTCTGAGGTGAGAGCAACTGAAGGACAAGGCCAAGTTCATCATCGTATTGTTTGACTCTGCAGGCCTAGAGCAGGTGGGTCTGAGCACCTATTTAGAGGATAACAATATAGCAGCTAAGGGGAATTTCCTTCTGTTTTGTTTTTGAAATCCAATATATTATTCTATTTTGTTTTGCTCCATTTTATTTTTTCCCTTTAAAATTAAAAAAAGTTATTCCTGTACATGCCTAAATGATTTAATACTTTTGTTTGTTTGTTTGTTTGTTGAGACAGAATCTTTCTGTATAGACCAGGCTGGACTTAAACTCACTATGTAACACAGGCTAACTTTGAACTCACTGGACTCTTCTTGCCTCAGCCTCCTATGTGCTGAAATTACAGGTGTGCACCACCACACCCAGGTAATAATTTAATGCTTAAAAAGTTTAAGGAAAAAAATACTAGCCAGATGTGGTGACTCATGCCTATAATCCCAGTACTCTGGAAGCTGAGGCAGGAGGATGATTGTGAGCTCAAGGCCAGCCTGAACTGCACAGTGAGACCCTGTCTCAAAAAGACAAAAAAAGAAAAAAAGTCTAGGTGTGGTGGTACAATCCTATAATCCCAACACTTGGAGGCTAAGTCAAGAGGATCACTGCAAATTGGAGGCCAACCTGGGTTACCCAGTGAGTTTAAAACCTGCCTGGAATACGTAGTGAGAACCTGTCTTAAGAGAAACATCTCCTCCTCCCCTCCTGGTGAGCAGCTGAGAGCATGGCAGGCTCCAGCAGCCCAGGACAGGAGCCACCAGAGTTTGCTGGGACCTGGAACACCAGGAAAGCAAATAAACACTGCCTCCCCCTCCCCTGCCCAGTGGCTGTGAGTGTGGATCCACGGGTATTTACTGGGACCCGTACCACTCTGGGACCTGGAGTGCTGGGAAACCAAGCAACACCTCCCCCACTGCCTGTTTTGTTTTGTTGAACTTCAGTATACATGAAAAGTATGGACAGCTGTTTTGAAGAGAACGAGAGACTCTAGGACAGCCATTTAGCGACTTCCCTATTGTCTGGTTTTGAAGACCTAAAACGCCTTCCACATCCTGTTTGGATCAGTTTTATACTATGGTGTTTTGTATGAATTCTCTGTATGCGAAGACATGGACAACTGTTTGGAAGAAAACAAGAGACAATATGATAGGACAGTGAAGATCTGAGGTTGTCTAGCTTTGAAATTTATATCTCTTACATTGCTTTTTTTTTTTAATCAGTACCAGGGATCAAACTCACAACCATGGGCTTGCAAAGCAGGCACTTATGCCGCTGAGCTAAATCCCCAGACCCTTACATTGCTTTCTTGTGTCCTGTTCTGTTCTGTTTTGTTGTGTTAAATTTTACCCTCTTTAAAAAAAAAAACAAAAAACAAAAAAACGGAAAAACAGCTCTGGGCTCCAGCCCACAGAATCTTTTCGGGGACAACTTCAGCTCTTTTCACTGACCCTTTTGGTATTTGACATATTTTTAGGTTGGAAGCCCTCAAATTATTTTTGAACCAAGTGACAGCAAAAAAATTACACTTTTTACATTAACTACTAATACAACAGAAACAAAATACCAGCTAGGGATATAGCTCAGCCTGCCTACCAGCATTAGGTTATGAGTTCAATTTCTAGTACCAAAAAAATAAAAAAAAAAATACAAAATTCCATAAAACAGCCCCCTCCTGAGAGCAACCAACTCAGGTATTTCCCATTCTAGTCCATTCATTTAAAAACATTAATTTGACTGCATAATTTGTGGTAATTCGTGCTGGAAAAAAATAAAAACTATTCATAATCCATCAGGCTGCTAGGGATTTAGCTCAGCAGTTCAAGCATTTTCCTGGTAAGGATAAAGTCATGAGTTCAATCCCCAGTACCAAAAAAAAAAAAAAAAAATTTGCCTAATGATCCATCAGGCTGAGTTCAGTCTGAGGGTCACATTACTGCAGGCTTGTACATTACTGCAGCCTGCTTCTTCAGACCTGGTCTGTTTACTTTGGGACTTTGCTCTTTATTTCCTCTGGGGGTAGCTACTTTCATTGTTTGCTTATTCTTGAGACTGTGAGCCCCAAATCAGCAGCTAGCAGTATCCAAGACTTAAAAATGGTCTACATCCTTTCCAAGCATGGTTCATACCTGTAATACCAGCAGTCTGGGATGGTTTGCGATGTTTCAAAGTTAAACTTTGGAAAGATTGGTGTGGGGCCGCATGCCTGTAATTCCAGCACTTGGTAAGGAGGATCAAAAGTATAAGCTGGGGGGGCTGGGGATTTAGCTCAGTGGCATAACCTCCTGCCTTGCAAGCAGGCAATGGTGAGTTCAATCCCCAGGACCGATTAAAAAAACAAAACAAAACAAAAAGGTGGGCTGGGGGTTTAGCTCAGAACCATAAATATCTTCCTGACAAGCGTCAGGTTGTGAGTTCCATCCCCAATATCAAAAAGAAATCATATAACAACTGTTGGAAAAAAAAAATCGTATAACAAAGCTGTTGAAAAAAAAAAAGGTATCGGTATCTTTTTTTTTTTTAAGTGGGATGTAACTCAGTAGCAGAAGTCCTGGATTCCTAGTACCACAAAAATAAGTAAGAAACTGGGGATTTAGCTCAGTGGCATAAGCATCTGCTTGGCAAGCAGCATGAGGTCATGAGTTCAATCTCCGGTACCAAAAGATAAATAAATAGATACGAAATGAATAAATAGGGGCTGGGGATTTAGCTCAGCAGCATAAGCACCTGCCTGACTTTTTTTTTTTTTTTTTTGTCTTTTTCCTTTTTATCGGTACCAGGGACCCAGGACTCTTGAGATGCAGGTGATTTCAGGTCGGGTAGCTAACTAGCCAATAGAAATATGAGACCCAGTCCAATCTAAATCTGAGAGAAACAACTAGTGTTTCAGTGTCAAGTTTGCTGCAGTCCCAGCCACTTCCTGTCCCCATTGGGAAGTGCACAGGAGCCCCCTGCACCTTCACACCAGACAGTGAGCTCACCAAGGCTCTAGGCCCTCTGGGGCTCAGGAGCCACCTAAACATGCTTCACTGGCTAAAGACGGGTCTCCACAGGCACCAAAGAGGAGAAAGTCCTGCAGTGTTGGAGGGTATCCTCTTTGGCTGTTTGGCTGAGACACTGTATTTTCGGGTTCTGTGACTGAAACACATTTTCTAAGCATGTTGATATAACTTCCACTCAATTAGAAACAAAAAATAATAGACATGATTATGAAGTCTCTTAATTTTTTTTTTGAGACAGGGTCATGCTATGTAGTTCAGGCTGACCTTGAACTCATGACCTGGAACTCCTGTCTCAACTTCAGGGATACTGCATTATAGCATGTACCTCCATGCTTGGGAGTTTCTATAACTTTCGTGGAACTCCATTTTGAGTGGCTTAAACATCAACACGCATTGGAATGGACTGAAGGGCAAAAAAAACAAAACAAAACAAAACAAAACATCAACACACAAGCCTACAGTTTTTTTTTTTTTTTTATACTTTTTTTGTCTTTTTCCTTTTTATCGGTTCCGGGATCGAACTCATGACTGCCTGCTTGCAAGGCAGGCGCTTTTGCCGCTGAGCTAAATCCCCAACCCAAGCCTATAGTTTTAAAGTAAGATGTGAAAGAAAAAGGAAATTGACTTTAAATAATTCCTTAGGAATAGTTACCCTTAAAAAAAAAAATCAAGGGCTGGGGCTAAGGCTCAGCAGCACAGCGCCTGCCTGGTAAGCTCTAGGTTGTAAATCTAATTCTTGGTACCAAAAAAATCATCCTGTAACTGTATTTCAATTCATTTAAATGGTGGGGGTAGATATGGAGATATTTGTAGTAGAAAAGTTCAGGTATATTTTTTCTCAATAGGGGTCTGTTACTGAATCATTAAAATGTCACAAACTGGTTTTATAATCTGGAATCTTGTTTCCATGGGTCGGTCTCCCTCCACCCCCCATTGCTAGGGATTGAACCGGGGCCTTCACATTAAGCTATATCCCTACCAGTTTCAATATTTTACTTGATTTTGTGGTACTAGTACCCTGGAGCCTTTTGTCATATTTGACTTTCCTAGGAATCCTGGAAATTAATCACGTGAGTCAAAGCTATAAGCAAAGTCTTACTGGAAGCATCACCACGTTTCAGGGTAAAGCTTCGTGGTGAGGGCTGAGAAGCTGAGACCTCCAGGAAGCTACTGGCAGCTGAGCAGCTGGGTGCTGGCCCTTAGGACCAGCCATGCTGTGCACAGATTGGAAGTCATGCACACAGACCTTACTCCATGGTTAGAGGCATTGTGACATCTATATACAGTGTATTGGGGACAAGTCTAGGGCTTCACATATGCAAAACACACACTGCACACCTGGGCACACACCCAGCTTTGTGAATGGTGGAAGAAAATCAGTGGTTCCTAGTTGCTGATTTTTTTTTGTCTTTTTCTTTTTTATCGGTATGGGGGATCGAACTCGAGCACACACTTGCCACTTGCAAGGCAGGTGCTTATGCCACTGAGCTCAATCCCCAGCCCCAGTGTTTTATTTTTTTGAAACAGGGTCTGGCTGTGTAGTTCAGGCTGGCCTTGAGTTCACTATGTAGCCCAGGCTGGCCTCAAACTCCCAGTAATCCTTCTGCCTCAGCCTCCCAAATACTGGGATTATAGGCATGTGCCACCACAACCAGCCCTGGTTCCTGATTTTAAAATTGATAGGTTGGGCTGGGGACAGAGCTCAGTGTTAGAGCACTTGGTCCTGGGTTCATCCCTAGCACTTAAAGAAAATAAAATGGATGAATCAGTAAAAAGACTATTCCTTTCATAACAGACGAGGGCAAACTGTAGAGGGCAGCCAGGAGCCTGAGCTCCTGACTAGAGCAGACCTGTGGCATCAGCCACTGCACAGACAGCTCCACTTGGACTCTGGGTTGGGAGTCTGGATCTGACTGACAGTACAAACGTCAGTCAGGCTATCGTGGTATTGTCAGAATAAAAGGCATGGCTGGTCCATGAAATAATGTTTCTGTATTTGGGCACTGGGATGAGAGAGGTTCTCCATTTAGTTCAGGCTGGCCTTGAATTCCTGTCGATCCTCCTGTCTCAACCTCCCTCTTGCTGGGATTATAGGTGTGACCTACCATGCCTGGATGTTTCTGTGTTCTTAGATTTTCCATCTATGTTTTTAATCTCAAGGTCACAGTGTGTTGGTTCTCTCTTGGCTCTGTCTCACCAGGCCACCAGCTTGTGGCTCTCCCTCAGGAGAAGGGAAGAGACAATAGCTCCCTGGGACCCAGGAGCCTTTGCCCATAAAATCTGCAGAGCGCACTGCTCAAGGAGAAGGGATAGCAATATGGAAGACCACAGGACCCAGAGAAAGTGCCAATCCACAGGCATGTGGCCACCTCCCAGACATGGTTAGGGTCACCATGAGCCAGGCCCAGGGCTGGTGATGTGGCCAGCAGCAGGGCCCTGGCTCTACCTGTGCAGGACTCTGCTTCCATCTGTAGCACCATGAAACCTAGAAAAACAGTGCAAGGGCAGGACATCAGACTGTTGATGGGTCCAGCCTCAGCCTGATGGACAGGATGGGGCCATGCAGTTCCTCATGAGACCCAGAGGGAGCCTGGGCCACAGTTGCCTGCCATACCAGCCCACTGCCTGCAGCCAGTCCCACTGGGAAACCCAGGGCTTTGGAAATCCACTGGTCACCTCCATGAGGCCTGTGACCCTGTTGCCAGCTCTTGCTCCTGTCTGTGCAGTGCCCAGTGCATTCATGGAACAAATCACACCCTCATCTTGCCCTTGTCCTGGTCAGACTGGATGTCTGCTCAGGGTCTTAGCAGGCTGATGCCCACCTGTCCTGAGGGCCACCGAGTCCTCAGCTGGAGATAAGGTCCTGTGTCTCCTGTGCTGTCTGCAGAGCTCTGGCTCTCGGTGCCTGGGGGTCTCTTGAGCTCTGGGAGCTGCCCTTTCCCATCTGCTCTGTTGCAATTTGTCACCAGGACAGGGACATCTAAACTTCATCAGGTCAGGGAGCCTAACAGATTCGGGAGGGTAAGGGGCTACTTTGTCCCTGCTCATGGGGAGGGGTTTGGGCCAGTGTAGACAGCCAGGAGATGAGGACAGACTTGGGTTCTGCTTGTCAGCAAGGCCATGCCAGGGGCCCTTTTCCCCAAGTCCACATGAACCCTGACAGCTTTAATCATGTGTGTTCTCCTGTGCTCTCAGACCAACCCTCTGGCTGGACCTAGCTCCAGGCCTCTTTCTGGGGAGCCCGGAGCTTACTGATCCCTCTGCCCAGTGGGCAGTCTTGAAAGGTCCTGCCTGGTCACCCTTGTAGGCTGTACCAGCAGTCCACCCAGGGGAGCCCCCTGCCTGGTTTTATTTCTCTCCCACACACTCTCTCAAGTACCGGAGATTGAACCTGGAACCTTCATACTGAGCAATGTCCTCAGCCAGTTTTATTTTATTTTCAGACATAGTAAACTAAATTGCTACATTGCATAGGCTGGTCTTTTGTTTTGTTTTTTGTTTTGGTACCGGGGATTGAACTAACAACCTTGCACTTGCTAGGCAGGTGTTTATGATGCCACTGAGCCAAATCCCCAACCCCTGGTCTTGTTTTTTTTTTTTTTTTGTTTTTTTTTTTTGTCTTTTTGAGACTGGATCTCTTTATGCAGTTTAGGCTGGCCTTGAGCTCACTTTGTAGCCTACGCTGGTTTTGAACTCGCAATTATCTTCCTTCCTCAGCCTCCCCAGTGCTGGGATTACAGGCTTGAGCCACCATGCCCAGCTCAGTCTTGAAGTTTTGATCATCCTGCTTCAGCTTCCCTGAGTGCTAAGATGACAGGCTTGCTCCACTGCACCTGGCTCATTTTGTTCTCTTGACAGTAGTTGCCTCAGTATACAAAATGATCTTTATTATTATTATTATTATTATTTTTTTTTTTTACAAAATGATCTTAAAAGATCGTCATGTAGCTGGGCACAGTGGGACATATCTGTTATCTCAACACTTAAGGAGTCTAAGACAGGAGGATGGTAAGTTTGAGGTCAGCCTGGACTTAGCAAGACTCTGTCTCAAAATTAAATAGAGGGGCTGGGAATTTAGTTCAGCGGTGTAAGTGCCTGTCTGGCAAGGGCGAGATCACGCATTCAATCCCCAATACTAGAAAAAGAAGAAAAAAATAGAGAACAGATTAGATAGATAAGGCTGGATAGTTGTCCAGTGGTAGAACACTTGCCTAGCACGTGTGAGGTCCTGGGTTTATCACCAGCACTGCACAGAAACAAAACCAAAACCAAGTAGAAAGCAGGCAGGTCTACCACAGCACAGCCAGCAGCAGATGGGCAGTGTACCTAGTACTGAATAACTGGCACAGGTAGGCACTCAGTAAGTGCTTGCTGTATGAGCTTCATTGTTTTCTGATACTGGGGGTTGAACCCAGGGTCTTCTCACTGAGTGATATCCCTACTCTGTGTGTATATATATAGGAAATAAGGTCTCACTATGCAGCACAGGCTGGCCTTGAACTCATGCATGGTGATCCTTCTGCCTCAGCCCCGAGTGCTGGGATTACAGGTGTGTGCCACCACATCCAGCTTCTTTTTAGGTTTTGAGACAGGGTCTTACCTAGGCTGAAGGCAAATTTACAGGCATGTGCCATCATGCCCAGCTTTTATTTATTTTTTTAATTAATTAATTAATTTATTTATTTATCGGTACCGGGGATCGAACTCACGACTGCCTGCTTGCAAGGCAGGCATTTATGCCGCTGAGCTAAATCCCCAGCCCCCCAGCTTTTATTTTTAAAAGCTATTTTCTGTTGCCTTTTTCCCACATATGTATTTATCGTGCAGTGCTGGGGATTGATCCCAGGGCCTTGTGCATGTGCAACCCCTGAACCATGCAGCTCTAGGTGAGTCGTTAAGAATAAAGCAGAGTGTGAGCCTTTGCCCACCTGTGCAGATCTAGGTCTGAACGGCTTTGGGACCATTGGAGGCAGAAGGAGAGACAGAGTGAGAAACAGTGTGTGTGTGTGTGTGTGTGTGTGTGTGTGTGTGTGTACGTGCGCGCAGCTGTCTGGTTGTGTCTCTGTTCCTGTGGTTTTTCTTCTTGATGAGCCCAGCTTCCTGGAATGTCGAATCACCAGGAATGGGCGCCAACACTGGTTTCTCATTGTTTGAGCCCCTGTCTGCCACACCCCCAGGGGGGAAGAGGAGGTCGAGGTTCTGGTCTGGCTGAGGCTTGGCCAGTAGTGTGGTTTTGTCCCAGGTTGTCCTCTTCCAGGAGTGATGATGCTGGAAGCCAAGCGGCATGGTCACAGTCCAAAGTGGAGCAGGCAGAGCCAGGCCCTTGGCTGTGGGAGGGGCAGGTGGCCTGGTTGGCAGCCCTGGCCAACCACCCGCTGGGCTTCTCCTCTCCTGTCTGTTTCCTGCTGCCTGCCTGGCCTCCACTGGCCAAAAGCCCAGAGGACAGGGCGGTGGGGACTAGGAGGTATCCAAGAGGTCGGGATTATCCCAGATGTCTGCATCTGGCTAGGTTTTGTTTTGTTTTGTTTTGTTTTGAGACAAGGTCTATGTAGGCCAGGCTGGCCTCAGACACGTGGTGCTCCTCCTACCTCAGCCTGTGGAGTGCTGGGATTAGAGGCATGTGCCACCACACCCGGCTCTGGTTTGTGACTTGCCCCTGGGCTGTGGGGTCTACAGCTTGAAGCCCATTCAGCAGAGGCGAAGGACACTGAGGGACACCCGGAGTGAGCAGAGGTTGGGGCCAGCACTCCAGCTCCTGCTAGCTCAGGCCCTCTCTGTCCTATCTAGAGTTGGTCCCTCTCCCTAGCCTTGGCTGTCTCTGCCTCCATTTTCCTGAAGACACTCAGAGAACATAAGAGGGGCTGCATGGACAGTCACAGGGCAGGGGAGGATGGAGAAAGAGAGCAGAGGTTCTCTGGAGGAGGGGCTGCCCACTAATGGAAACCAGTTAGAAAAACAGGAGGAGTGGCCAGGCCAGGCCAGGCCAGGCGGTCTTGAGGATGGCCGGGCGGGGCCTGTTTTTCCAGAATGAAGGTCCAGGAGGAGTTGTCGGGAGCCAAGCTCAGGCCGATTCCAGTTTGGGAAGGGGCTCATCCAGGCCTGGGTCCATTGTTCTTCTTTGTCTTTGTGGCTAGTCTTCCTATGCAGCAGTGGGTGGAGGTGGGAGACTTACCTAACCTAGGACCTGGGGATGAGGGTCAGATTCAAGGGTGCAACCCCTGGCCCCAAGGATTGAGTGGTGGTTTTTGTGGCCATTTGGATTTTTCCTTTTTCTCTTTGTCTTGAGGTTTGCCTAACAACCAGGAGTGGGTTTGATGCACAGTGCTTGGTCTGTTATTTTGCGTTTGTTTATGTGACTTTGTAAGTTTTCCCAGAGCTTTTAAATTTGTGCCTTCGGTTGGAAGACAGGCTTCCCTCTCTGCCTCCACAGGGCCTCCCAGGAGCATGATACCCCAGGTCTGGTTTCAGGGATACAAAAATGGACCCTGGCAGGCAAGTAGCCTAACCACCCACCATTCCAGCCTCACTTTGGGGTCTCTGCTGCTCCGAGTCCCAGAGATGACAGAGGTGCCCATCACCTGTCCCAAGGGAGCCCACCGGGCTCCCAGAGGAAGGTGTGCAAGGTCTCTCCAAGGGAGGACAAACGGAAGGAGCCTGACAGGGTGGAAATAGGATGAGCAGGAGGAAGTTTCCAGACTCCTGGGAGTTTTAAAGGCATCAGGGTGCCTTTAAGAGGGGACAACCTCCCCACCCCAGCTCTGGCATGCCAAAATGGGGGCATGGCCCCTCACCCTGGAACTCTAGCAGGACAGGAAGGGTCCAGGAGGGCACTGACACCCACATGGCCCCAGGGTCCTCATCCTCAGATGTCCTCTTGCCCCTCCCTGGGCTGGGGCCCTCCCCACAAGGACTGACCCAAGTGGCTGTGGCCGAGCTGTGGCTGAGGGGCTGGCCAGGGCCTCTGCTCCTCCTCCCCACCAGCCAGCCCAGGACGGGGAGGCCAAGGAGTGGGCGGGCCAGACCCGGCCCAGGACTCCGTGATGTCATAGCGGTGCCGGAGGGGGAGGGGGTCGGCTGTTTTTCTGGAGAGTTAGAGCCAGAGTGAGACAAAGCAAGGGGTGAGCGGCAGGCGCCATGGAGCTGTGGTCTCAGGTCCTGCTGTGGGAACTTGTGCTTCTACAGAGTGAGTAGGGCAGCACAGCAAGTGTGGAAGGGAGGGCAGCAAGGGGGTGGTGGGCGCGCTGGTGCTCTGGACCGAGTTCCTGGAGGGGGTTGCCCCTCATCAGGGTTGGGGGCTCAGAGGGAGCCTTCATTAGGAGGGTGTGAGACCTTCAGGTGGACCCCACAGAGCTGCCCTCGGGAATGCTGCAGCCAGGAATGCCAGGGCAGGGAGGCTGTGGCAGCCACAGCACGATGTCCTACCTCTGGCAAGCACTCTCAGACCCAGGCAGGCCAGGTGGGGTTGGGGGTGGGGGTGAGGCTCCAGGTCTGCAACTTCCCTCAGATGTGGGGAGTGGAGTGGGCCTGAGAACTTTGGGCCCCTCTGGGACCCTCACCCCCAGCTGGCCTGCTGAACCCGCACATTCCTCTCCAGACTCCGGGCACTCAGCCATCTGTCTGCACAGGAACTTTGGGCCTGCGCAGGGCCGATGGGGGCTTACTCCCATGTCCACTCCCTGGGTCCCACGCCCTTCCCTTGCAAGGGTGCCAACAGTATCTTCCAACTGTGGAAAGTCTGAGGACCCTGGAGACTCCGTCTGTCACCCTCTGCAGGTGCAGAAGCTCCCTCCAAACCAGGATGTGCACAACCCTGGGGCCTGCTGCAGGGTCAGGCTGAGGTGCCCTGAGTGGACTTTGTGTCCACTTGAGATGTGGCCCCTATTGACAACATACACACATTACCTGCAAGGAAGGAATGCAGTCCCAGCCCACCACTCACCCTGGGACGCTAGCTTCTGCATTCCAACAGCACAGGCACTGGCCCAAGCCAAGTGTAGTGACACGGGGCTGGGCTGTAGGATCCCCATCTGCCTGACTTCTCTAGTGTCACTCCTAGGACCGTGGGAAGGGCTTAGGCAGCTGAGTGGCTGACCTTGTCACTGGGATCGCTGTATGCAAAGACCCTTCTCCAGGCTCTCTCTCCTCTTCTTGCAGGCTCCACTGTCCTGCTGTCCTCAGGTAAGTGACCAGCGTTCCCCAACTGGGAGTCAGTCCACCCCTCATGGTCCCTTGGTGCCCCTCCCTGACTTCCTCTTCCCCACCAGGGTCCTGGAGGCCCGCGACCAGTGACAGCTCGGTGGTGTCTGAGTCCTCAGTGACCTGGGAGGCCGGCAGCCAGGCAGTACTGCGATGCCAGAGTCCGCGCATGGTGTGGACGCAGGACCGGCTGCACGACCGGCAGCGCGTAGTCCACTGGGACCTGGGTGGTGGACCTGGTCCCGCGCGCCGGCTTGTGGACATGTACTCAACTGGTGAGCCACGTGTGTATGAGCCACAGGATCGCGACCGCTTGCTGCTGTCGCCCTCCGCCTTCCAAGATGGCAACTTCTCCCTGCTCATCCGAGGTACGGGAGGTGGCCAGGGGGCCCTAGGATGGCCAGCACCAGGGGAATCGGGGCTCACGCCAAGTTCTCTCTGCGGGCAGCTGTGAAGGATAGCGACGCGGGGCTGTACACCTGTAACCTGCACCATCACTACTGCCATCTGTATGAGAGCCTGGCCGTGCGCCTGGAGGTCACCGACGACCGTGAGTGCGCTGGACACTGACCCCACCCTGCTGACCCTGTCCCCGCTGACTCCATGAGCTGACCCCATGAGTTGACCCGACCGCCTGTTTCCCCTGCAGCCCAGGCCAGCCACGCATACTGGGATGGCGAGAAAGAGGTGCTGACCGTGGTGCGCGGCACGTCTGCGCTGCTGACCTGCGTGAACCGCGCACTCTTGTGGACAGAGAGGCACTTGGAGGAAGCACAGCAGGTTGTGCACTGGGACCGCCAGCCACCTGGAGTCCCGCACGACCGCGCCGATCGCCTGCTGGACCTGTATGCTTCCGGCGAGCGCCGTGCATATGCGCCTCCCTTCCTGCGCGACCGCGTGGCCGTCGGAGCCGACGCCTTCGCGCGCGGGGACTTCTCGCTGCGCATTGACCCGCTGGAGCTGGCCGATGAGGGCACCTACTCCTGCCACCTGCACCACCACTACTGTGGCCTGCACGAACGCCGGGTCTTCCACCTGCGCGTGGCCGAGCCTGCTGCGACTCTGCCGCCTCCGCGCCCCTCGGCAGGCCCGGCCCCAGGTGCGTGTCCTCCCCACGGGGCCCGGGGCAAGGGATGCGCGCGTTCCTGACGTTGTCCCTGCCTGCAGACCCCACGCTGGCACGAGGGCGCAGTGTCATTAATGTCATCGTCCCGGAGGGCCGGGCGCATTTCTTCCAGCAGCTGGGCTACGTGCTGGCCACGCTGCTGCTCTTCATCCTGCTGCTCATCACGGTGGTCCTGGCCACTCGTCAGCGCCGCTGTGGAGGTGAGCCGGGGCGCCAGGCGCATGGGGTCAGGGGCGGGGAAGCGAGCACTGGGCGCCCCCGACAAGCTCTCCTCCCGCAGGCTATGACTACACTTACCAGAAGTCAGCCAAGGTCAAAGGGTGAGTGTCCCGCCGTGCCCCGCCCCGCCGGGCTAGGCCCAGCCCCTCTCGACCCCTAACCTGTGGCTTCCTTCAGGAAGGACGTGAACCTGGAGGAGTTTGCAGTGGCCACAGGGGATCAGACTCCCTACAGGAGCGAGGATATCCAGCTAGGTAGGGGAGCTGGGACGCCCAGGCATAGACAGGACAGGCCTGGGCTAGGGGCTCCTCTGGGGGGGCAGGCTCATGTTGCTCTCCCTGTACCAGATTACAAAAATAACATCCTGAAGGAGAAGGTTGAGCTGGCTCACAGCCCCCTACCTGCCAAGAACATCGACCTGGACAAAGGTGAGTGCTGCCTACCCTCAGCTGGCACGGGTGCGGCTGTACCCCAGGGAGCCCCCTCCCTGGAATGAGGCCCCAGCCAGCCCCATGGGTAGGAGACCATTGCCACCTCTGCCCCAGAGTCCCGGGGAAGCCTGGTGAGCCTCTGCTGTTTTCCACTGCATGGAAGGGCAGAGTGGACCCCAGCTAGTCCTTTGATTTTCAGAATTCAGGAAGGAGTACTGCAAATAAAAGGGTGCTGGGCTCCTGGCTGGGCCAGCAGCTCTGCCCCCAGAACTATGGATGTCCCGAACCTCACGTGGCTCACCAACTTCCTCCCAGCGGCTGGTCCCGCTTTCTTGAAGTTGGCCCAAGGGTGGCTGGCACAAAGTGGCTAGGACACCGTCTTTGTTCTCAAGAAGCTGCTGTGTGCTTCTGGGGACTGTGCTGCAGCATGGCTACCACCCTTCAGCCGCCCTTGGCAACTGGTGGCCCCACCCCCCACAATATACCCCAGGTCCCACTGATGCCCTTTAAGCCATTGAACCCTCCTGGCCCCTGTCTGTTGGGAAGGAAGACACCCCTGGGGACGTGGAGTAGCCTCAGGGCTGGTTCCTCACTCCTCTCTGGGGAGCCCCCAGTGACCTTTCCAGACTGCACCAGGCACCCACAAGTTACTCAGAGGCCTGCCCAGTTGCCCTCTATCCTGTATAGAAACTGAAGACCACAGGGACTCCACTGCTTTGGACTACGTGTTGCCATGCCCTTCCTGTGCTTCTGACCCTTTTCCAGCTGTTTTCCACAAGCTGCCTTGATGGTCACTGACCATGTGATCCCTGACATTCGTGCCCCTTCCTGGGCTGGAGTCTGGGGCAGGGGTCAAATTTGGCTTCTATTGTGGCTGAGAACTGGGTGAGGGATGACAATGGATCTGGGTGGCCTGTGCTGCCACTTTGACACCCCCTGTTGCTCCTGCTGGGGGAACTGCTGCATCACAATAAAGCCCAAGTCTGATTTTTAGACTTGACCCAGCTGTACCTCCATAATCCCCCTCTGTTCCCTGGGGGCAAAGCCTGGGCCTTGTACATTCCAAGTGGAGTGTGAAGCTCCATTGTCCTTGCTGCATTCTTTGGGAAGGTCTGGGTCCTCCCAGGAGCAGGAGTCATGCAGGGAGACACTGAGCCAATTCTCCAAGGACCCTTCTGGGGGAAGAGTTCCAGTTCTTCTGAATGAGGAAGAGGAGCAGATGAAGACAGGGTGGAGACACTTAGTCCAGTCATCCAAGGATCAGATCCCAAGACAGATAGAAGGAAGAGTAGAAGCAGGCATGAAGGCTTCACCAGGTTTGGGTCTGACCTGGATGGAGACTTGGGCAGGGCCTGGCTGATGGGGTTAGTGCTGCCTGTGCTGGATCCAGGATAGGCTAGGTCAGGAACTGGGTGCATGTTCTCTGCACCAATGAGGTAGTGAAGGGGGAAGCAGCTAAGAGTGGGCATAGAGCTGTTTCCCCACCCTGCCCCTCCAGTGCCTTTCTAGGGCAGCAGGGAGAGGAAAGGATGGCTGTCACCCTTGAGGACCTCAAGAAGCAGGAGCCAGGGTGGGCAGGAGAATGGCCTGGGACATGTGGTGTATATGAGGATACACTTCTGTCCTAACTCAGGGGCCTCTGGCTTCAGTAGTGGTCACACTGTCCCTGAACAGGGTCCCTACTGGCAGGGCCCCAGCTTGATCATGTCAACATCAATACTGTGACTGGCCTTGGGCCTCTGGTCACTGTCCCTCTAGGACAGTGACCAGAGGGGAGCCTGAGGACAGCAGGGTCCAGGTCCTGCACTAAGAATGTCACTATTTCTGGCCAACAGCCATTGGCATACATAGGCTAAGGGGTTTCCAAGGGGAGAGACCTGCCTCGCCTTCCTCGGTGACAAGCAGAGTCCCCAGGGCAGAACCTCAAAGGTTATGCTTCCTGCCTGGCCTTTGGGGAAACAGGGTGGAGGGAACAGGATCCAGCTTCAGGCTCAGGGAGAGTAAGTGCCCAGAGTGGCAGCCACGCTATGCTGTGCCCATCAAGTTGAGGGCCAGGGCAGGGTGCTTGGCCTCAATTGACATAGATGGCCTCTTGCCTGTACCCAGGGTCTTCTGTCCAACTTCTGGGTCCTTTAGGCTGTGACAGGGTTGCTTTTTGCCCTGGGCCAGCACCAGAGTTGGTCAGGACCAGGCAAGATGGCAGTGTCCCAGGCCACAAGGGGAATCCAGGCACCTTCTCTCATCTCCTGGGGAGTCTCTCCCCAACTCTGGACAGCATGGGGTGCCCTCTAGTGGCCTCAAGACTTCCTCCCAGGGTGGAGCGAAGCAGAGCCTCAGCCCAGCGAGGCAGCGTGTGGCTGGACTCTTCATCGCCAGAGGGGCCCTGACTGTTCAGTCCACGACGATAAAATATCACTTTGGCTTCAGCGGCCGGGGCAGCAGGACGCTCGAACACGCGGGTCCACACGAGCTCCCCACCCACCTAATCACCACACGCATTCGGTCGGCGCCTCCTGGAGCCTGCGTGGGACCTGCACTGGGGAGCATGAACGCGGGGCTGACGAGAGGCGGGGACACAGTATCCTTAGCTTCCTGTAGCGCGCCCCTCAGCCTGCCCAAAGAGCCCTGGTGGGCTCGGGGTGCTCGGGAGAAGGCGCAGGAGTCAGGCGGCTCAGCCACACTTAGGGCGCCGCGGCGCGTTTCCAGGATCTGCGGGCGCCAAGTGGCCCGGGTGCGGCCCCCGTCTAACAGCCGGGCCGCGCCCCGCAGATGAGGTGAGGGTTCTTAAGGATTCCCTCCTGCCTACCGGGGACGCGCCGTCTGCCCACCGACGTTAACACCAGGCGGGCGCTAGAGTTTCAGGGTTCTCTGGCCGGAGGGCGGGTCAGGAAAGAGAGCACCTGGCACCCGTGGAGAAGCCGCACCCCGCCGCTCGCCCCGCCCCAGCCCGCCGCTCGCCCCGCCCCAGCCCGCCGCTCGCCCCGCCCCCTCCTGGCGCCTGCGCAGCCCCGCCCGGCAGACCCCGCGTGTGGCCGGTGACGTCACCGCTCTCGGGCGCCCCCAGGTGGCCGTACGCTGGCCTGTCGGGCGGGCCCTGAGCGGCGCGGCTCCGGGGGCGACGGGCGGCGGGCGGTGGCAGGCCTTGGCGCTGCGTCCCTAGTGCCCTTCCCGGGCCTGCGGCGAATGGGCGGCCGCGGGCCGCGGGGCAGCAGCTGGGGCGCGGGCGGGAACCGGGGGTGCGGGAGGGCCTCGGCGCGACCGGGCGGGGCGCGGGCCGGCGGGCGGGGAGCGCGCCCGGCGTCTGAGCCGCGGGTCGGGCCCTGAGTGCCGCGCGGGCCCGCCTTCGACCCGCGCCATGGCGGAGACCAAGATCATCTACCACATGGACGAGGAAGAGACGCCGTACCTGGTCAAGCTGCCCGTGGCCCCCGAACGCGTCACGCTGGCCGACTTCAAGAACGTGCTCAGCAACCGGCCCGTGCACGCCTACAAATTCTTCTTCAAGTCCATGGACCAGGACTTCGGGTCGGTGACTGCGCACCGGGTGACACCTGTCAGCTGGGGCGGGAGGGTCCGCGGCCAAGCGGCCCTGGGCTGAGTCGCGCCTGCCCTAGACTAGGACCTTGCCTGCCACCCGCGAGCAGGTTGGCGTCCTGACCACCCCAGCCACCCCGAGCCTGAGGTCCCGTCCTGGCCTGTCTGGGCCAGTGCCTGCCGTATTCCTTCCTTGGGGCTGGCAGTTCCCGGGCTCAGGGCAGCCAGATCGGGCAGTGTTGAGTGGACAGGTCCCAGCACCCACTGGATCCCTGGGTGGCACTGGACTTAGGGGTGGCACAGGGACATCAGTTTGTATGAGGGGCTTGCAGAAGTTTCTAGTGTCTCAAGGGAGACTCCTTGTTCCTACCTTAGAACAGAGGTCAAGGGTCACTGCAACTGCTCTGCCCTCTGCCCTGAGGCTTCTGGCCTCCTGCTGACCAGGGTCAGCCTCAGCCTCTAGGCCACTGTGCTCACTGTCCTGGGAGAAGGGACGTCCCACTTGTGCTTAGGGGCAGGGAGCAGGAGCCTGGCCATCCGCTAGAGGCCTGACAGGGTCACAGTCACCAGTAACTCGAGTCCCCAGCTCAGCAGTGTGCTGAGCAGGTGTGCCCAGTGCCCTCAGGCAAGTGGTGTCCTTGTGTGTGGCCCTGTCTTGGGACTTTGAGGTTGACCTCCCATTTGTTTCCTGGACCCTATAGTTGCCCAGTCCTGGGTAGCCCAGGTCCAGTCAAATAGGGCCACTCCATGCTTGGGGTTGAGGTCCATGGGCAGTCCTGGGCACATCTTCCTCAGGGGAGGTCTGTTCTACCTGTTGTCCTGCTGGGCCTCATATGGTTCCTTTAATTCTCTGACCCTTCTGTGTCTGGCCTTGCACAGGGAGTGTGTGAAAGGCCACCTGAATTTTTAGTCTATTTTTTTCATTTTTTTATCGGTACCGGGGATCGAACTAACAACTGCCTGCTTGCAAGGCAGGTGCTTATGCTGCTGAGCTAAATCCCCAGCCCCTTTAGTCTATTTTTTTTTTACATGAACCACCAAAATCACAAATATTCTTCCTTTTTCACAGACTCCTGGCATGGGGGCACATGTGGCAAGGAGCATACCTTCCCTTAGGTTGCCTACCTCATGTTTTGAGCTGTGTGTTGAAGGGATCCTGCCCTCTGCTCATATCTATGGGGTGCTCTGTACCCCTGTGACTCAGTGGAGCTGCTGCTGGGCAGATCTGGGGGGCTGTAGTACTCTGGCTGAGGAGGGATAGGCACTCAAGGCTGGGACATGGGAGATGGCCTTTGGGGGCTTGGGCAGTTTTGGGAATGGTGTTTGGTGTAGGAGCCAACAGAGGGCTTGAGCATAAGCTGAGCACCTTGGAGTACAGGTACGGGATAGCCAGGACAGCCAGGAAGCAGAGGGCATCAAAGTACACAATGGGGCAGAGCCTCATCTTGCTTCCTCCTTGGCCTCTGGCCAATGGCCTGGTGGCCTCAGGAGCTAGGAAAGGAGTCCATCATTTGCTTCCCCTTTCTCTTCCCTTAAGTTCTTCCTGTAGACTCCATGCTCAATCCATAAGTCCTTTATTTAGAGAAATACGTAAGTTCTTATGAGAAACGGATTTTAATATAACAGAAAACTGAGGTGGGTTCATGCTCTGGATACCAAGTGAATGTCACTTGGCCCTGGGGCAAAGGAAGACAGGTCTTGGCTGAGTTAGGATAGTGGCCCAGAGTGGCTTCTGACTCGAGGCTATGAGGTATACCCTTATGTGTCTTAGCATCCTGCATCCATTCCCAGACTGCTGCGGGCCAGCCCTGGGTTCCCTGGACCTCTGTTGCCTTGCCTAACCATCAACTGTTTGGGCCCTGTTCCATCTTTATGAAAGCTTTCCTCTTCTTTTCTTTGTGATACTGGATATTGAACCCAGGGCCTTCATACTGAGCTATGTCCTCAGTGTTTTTCTTATTTTTATTTTGAGACAGGGTTTTGCTGAGTTGCCCTGGCTGGGTTTGAACTTGGGATCTTCCTGCCTTAGCCTCTCTGACACCTGGAATTCTAGGCATGTACCACAGTTCCTGGCTCTGTCCCCTGGTTTTCATGTGTAGGTATTGGTTGTTCTGACCCAGTACCCTAGGGGCCTGGAAGCAGAGTCTCTGGGCCTCTGGCATTGAGTCTGGTAATGGTCAGCGGGTGGTAGCGGGTAGGAGTGGGATCCTGAGGCAGGAGAAGAAGAGTTTTTGTCCTTCCATCCCACGGCCAGATGTTGCCAATGCAGGCCCATAGGCTTGGTGTTCAGCTTGTGTACTCATCTCCATTGTTGGGGGGCCCAGGCTCAGGGACTAGGTAGTTGGGCACAGATAGGTGCTGGGAACCCTGGACTCGGACCACCTGCCAGTGGGCACAGGAGTTCTATCAGCCCCAGATGCTTGGGGGACTGCCACGGAGGCTGCTGCCTGTGGCCCCTG